GAACCCAATACAAGAAAGATTGAAATTTGAAACACTATTTCTTTCTCAATAAAACTTGAAACTTAAATTGAAACAAAAGAGAAAAACGAAGAAGAAGAATAATCCATAGCTTCCTCCACGGTTCCATCGAGCAGCGAGAATCAGATTGGGGATGTTACCCCCAAATTTAAATTTTAGGGTTCACGAAAATTAGAGATTATTCTCCACTTAGAGTTCATAAAATTGGGTAATTTGAATTGTTTAAAACAAAATTAATCCTAATTTTCATAATTAGGGTTCTATAAATTAAACGAGACATGAATCAAATATGGGCGACTCCGATACCAATTGATGGAAAAACAATAATAATAATAATAATAATAATAATAATAATAATAATAATAATAATCCCGATTTTGATTCTAACGATCAAACATAAACATAATCACATACTCGATAAACATGCTGTAAGCTGAATGTGAAAGCGTACCTGAATTAGCCATAACGATGATGTCTTTGTAGAGCACTATATTGATCTTATGGTCTTCCACCTGAAGAGCACCTGTATTTCCCTCTTGATTTTCTCTCTTGATGGGGATAGAAAGAAAGGAACGGGATTGATACTTACGTTCTGTGTGTGTGCTCCCAGAAGGGGACCACGACCCCTTAAAATAACCAGAATTAGGTTAATTACTTAAGTTTTAGTATTTCCAATTTGGCCCCTCATCAAATTAGAAATTTCTCAATGGTCTCTACACAATTTTATTTTCATGACATATGCCTTTAGCCAAAACTTTAATTTAGTCAGATCACTTTATTATTTGGCTTAATAAATAATGACCCTAACACATTTAAATTATGTATCATATATATACATGACCCAAATTTTGCCAACAAATACCACTAGTAAACTTGAGGGAATGTACTAATGTAGATGAATTAAGGACCACTAGTGAATTTGAGGAGATTTACTCTTGAAGGAGAGATTGTTAGGAAATCCAAGTGTGAATTCGAGTCTAACATTGAGGAAGAATAAGAAAGTTAAACAATATATAAAGAAGAAAACCCCATAACCTAATGTCTTAAAGTTTTTAGTTGAGAGTGGTGTCTATTTCTTATATGGGTTGAACTCATGTTTCATTGATATTGTTTCTCCTTAGTGAATCCCCTCAAAAGACCCAATAATTTTAACTCATGTAATAAAAAATATAAAATAATTTTATTAGTGTTAGAAATGTAAGTCGAGATCAAGAAGAGTTGAATTGATCTTTTGAAACTTTTTTGCTCTTTTAAGAATACAAATTATCTATTTCAAATATTAAGAATTCCAATCAAATACTGATCCAAGAAAATCAAGCAGTTTTGCATAAGGCACAAACAAAATTAAAAAGTGTAAAAGAATGGAGAAAGAAACACAAAAATTTATACTGATTCACCCAAACCACAGGGCTACATCCAGTTCTCAACCAAATTCCAGTTGAGTTTCACATAGATTGATTATGTTTCTGATTACAAACCTGAATCACAACACCTAACTTGCACTAAGAACCAAATTCCAGTTCTTTCACCAAACCTTCGCCAAGAACCAAATTCCAGTTATTGAACCAACCTGCAACTAAATTCTAGCTACAGAACCAGTGCCCAAAACTTCCAGACACCACTCAATACAATTTATGAATTACAGAAAATAAAGAGAAGAAACTAGAACAACCAAACCCGATTATGCAGATGTAATTCTTCCTCTGCAGAATGAGTTTCTTCACATGCAAGAATGTAAAAATGTCTCAAGAAAGAATTTTGAAAAACTTCACAGAAACTTGCGCACTTCTTCTTCTTCCTTTAAAAGATCTCTATTGATTGCTTGATTGATATCTCAAAGTTGGTTATTTTAAATGTTGAAGCAAATCTATTTATATAAAGACTTTTTCTAACAAACTAGTTTAATTAATCGATTAAAACTTCTTTTAATCGATTATTAATTCTTGATTAATCGATTAATACTTCTTTTAATCGGTTAAAATGAGCTTGACCATTTTTCAGATTTATTTTTACTGATGCAAATGTGATTTAATGGATTAAAACAATTATACAAAAATTTTCTAAGTTATTTTATTTGATTAATTTGCATTTTAATTGATCATAATATCGCCAAATAAATTCTCAAAAACTCCATAAGTGATTTTAACTGATAAAAACATGATTTAATCGATTAAAACATTTAACAAAAATTTCTTTAAGTTGATTTAATCGATTAATTCGATGTTACATCGATTAAAATTCTGGTAGAATACTTTTCAAATCATCTAAAGTGATTTTAATCGATTAATTCGAAGTTACATTGATTAAAATACTGACAAAATACTTTTCAGAACATCTCAAGTGATTTTAATCGATTAATTCAAAGTTACATCGATTAAAATATTGACAGAATACTTTTCAGAACATCTCAAGTGATTTTAATCGATTAATTCAAAATTATATTAGTTAAAATTTTGAGAGAAGGTTTTCAAATATATGTCTAATGAAAATAGTTGATTAATTCGAATGTGCATAAATTAAAACAGTGACAGTAAATGTTTTAAGTGGTTTTAATCGATTATTTTGAAAATACATCAATTAAATTCTGTCAGGAATGTTTTCAGCTGATTTTAATCGATTAATCTTAAAGTGTATAAATTAAATCTTTAGTCTTAAGAACATATTAATCGATTAAACTGATTTTTAACACATGAAAACATTTTAGAGGCATTTCAAATTCTTTCCAATGATGAACCCTTTATGCAATAGAAAAGAATGAATTATTATATCTATTAATATTAATGCAGACTCACTAATCACTACACCCTTAAACCCCAATAACTTTTGACTTCATCAAATCTTTAAGATAAATCTCTTCATAAAGATTAATAAGATTTTCATCACTTTCAATTAATATATTTAAGTCACAACATATATCACTAAATTTTTTATGTTACATATAAATTGTTTTTAAACAATTATTCTTAATTTTCTATAAAACAAATTATCTATAATTTCTTGAATTTTAAAAATTACACAATATAACCCAACAATTTCCACTGTCTGTAATAAAAAATATAAAATAATTTTATTAGTATATTTAAGTCACAACTATCACTAAATTTATAAATTTTCTATAAAACAAATTATCTATAATTTCTTGAATTTTAAAAAATTACATTATATAGATATTTAGGGTTATAATATTTATTATATATAAATTTATATGATTAAAATATTTTATATTAACTATTACATATATTATTGTATCTTTTGAGACTATAATCGAAATTTTATCATATTTAAAAGTTTAAATTTGTATGTTATTACCTCTCCAATAAAATAATTTTGAAGATAATGAATGAATATGATATAAAATAATATTATTATAAATTTTAATTATATTTGTTATGTTATTGTCAATTAATTTAATTGATACAATGATTATTCTTAAGTATTCAATTGATTTTAAAATTCAATCCCTGCTAAAAAAAAAAAGAGAGTAAGAGAGTAAATTATTAAAAAATTACGAAATAAATAAAGAAAAATAGAAATGTTTCAAAGTAAACATATGAATACCTTCTATTTATATTTTCATTTAGCAGTAATATTTGCTTGTATTTTATGTTATCTTTAACATAAAACTAAATTTAATAACAATATTTCTTTCTATATTTAATTCAATAGTAATACTTCCTGGTATTTTATGTTCTTTTAACCTAAAAATAAACTTAATGAAAATATTTTTTTAATATTGAATGAAAAATGATAGTAAAATATGAAGAAATATTTAATAAAAACTGACTTTCAGTTATCTGTTATATTTAAGTTTTTTATTTGAAAGAAAAAAAATACTTTTTTATAAACAAAATCACTGAGTTCATTATTTTTAAACTGTTCTCTGGTACTAATACTGAAATTTAATATAAATATTTAAACATAGTAAATTATAATTAATAGTTAATTATTTATTAATAATCTTTAATCTTATATAAATTTGTTAGAGATGATAATGGTAAAAAATTAACTACACGTTATTCCAATGATTGGAGAAGATATTATAAAAAAAATAAAAAATCATATATCATATATGAGAAAAAACTCATTTAGAAAAAGTTAATAAACAAAGAAGTTTTGATGACAAAAAAAATATTGCTATCAAATTTTTTAAATGAAGTTTGTTAAAATTTAACCTACAAATTTGATTGTACTTTGTGTTTATAAGTATTGAGAAATTATTGTTTAACAACCCAATCAAACAATTTATAAACAGAGGAAAAAAAGAAAAAGAAAATTAAAATATTTAATTTTTTCAAATGGTTTAGTTTCTCTCTATATAATTCAAAATTATTATTATAATTTAATCACTAAATAGTTTCTAACTTACTGAAAATTAGTCTTATGCAAACAGAATAAAATTACACGACTTTTTTTACCCTATTAAATACAAATAAATATTTAATTATTTTACAAAGTAAATTAACCAATCTTTTATACAATACAAATTAATCATTTATAAAATATTTATTTAATATTTTCACTTAAACATCTTTATTTACTTGCTCCTATTCCATCTATCCACACACAACAACACAACCCAACTACTTATAAGTTTGATATTTTGATATTTGTATATTGTAAATTCATTCATTTAACAGCTATTAAAATATTAATTATTATATTATTATTATTATTATTATTATTATGAACTTATAATGAATAATTTTAAATAAGAATATAATAATAAATAATATTTTTATATTAATATATTTAGTTGATAAATAGATATTTTTGCAATAAATAAATCTGAAAGATCATTTTTCGGCTATTAATATATCAACCCTGACCTAAAACCCTAATAACCAAAACCCTGAGAGAAGAAACCAGAGCGGTAAGAATTGTGTAGGATTGAGGCTCAAATCATCTTCATCAATCATTTAATCATCAATATTCGATTTAATCATTGGTCTTCCACTCAATATAGTAGAAGAAGAACAACAAAAATGGGTATATTTGAACCTTACAGAGCAATTGGATGCATCACAAGCGGCGTCCCATTCTCCGTTCAGAGACTCGGCACTGAAACTTTCGTTACTGTCAGCGTCGGAAAGGCTTTCCAGATTTTTAACGTAATTTCTTACCCGCACCATGAACATGCTTGCTTTTTCCTTTTCTCTGTTTTTATTTTCCCTTTCAGATTCAACTGTCATATTGACGTGCTATCTTGTTGATTTCACGTTGGACATGAATTTCTCCGCAGTGTGCGAAGCTCACTTTAGTTCTCGTTGGTAAGTCTCCGGTGTTTCCTTTCCTTTTTTTTTTTTTCAATAATTGTTGGTTACCTTAAAATTTTCGATTTTATGTGAAGGTCCTCAACTGCCGAAGAAGATTAGTGCACTTGCTTCTTATCGCGAATACACTTTTGCTGCGTATGGAAACAACATTGCAGTTTTCAAGCGTGCGCACCAGGTTCTCTCGTATTTCTCTATAAACTACTTTAAAAAAAGTACGTAAAAAAAATTGAATGAACTTCCCTATAAGCTAAATTTAGCTTCTGCATAGGCTAATTTGTAGAAGCAATCGCATATAGCTTCTCTATACAATTTTTTTTTCCTATTATTCTCTCTTAAAAAGACTTATGGGAGAAGCTTGTTCAAACAGACTTTAAAATTATTTATTTATTTATTTACTTAAAAAAAGTGTACCTTTTTTGTTCTGTTGGAGCATTAACATTGATGTTTTTCTAGGTTGCAACTTGGAGCAGCCATAATGCTAAGGTTAAGTTGCTCTTGTTGTTTGGAGAACATATTGTCAGTGTTGATGTTCGCGGCAATATGTTCTTGTGGGCATTTAAGGGAATTCTAGAGAACCTTGCTCCGTCTGGGCACGTTATGCTAGACGAGAAATTTAGCCCCAGCTGTATAATGCATCCAGATACTTATTTGAATAAGGTAAACATCCTTCTTTCTTCAGAAGATTCCTAGAGATTGTATTGGTTTCTTTGTGATGCTTAGCATGCAAGCAGGTCCTTATTGGGAGTGAGCAAGGTCCTATGGAGCTTTGGAACATTAGCACAAAGAAAAAGATTTTTGAATTTAAAGGATGGAATTCACCCATATCCTGTTGCGTTTCATCCCCTGCCTTAGACGTTGTTGCAATTGGCTGTTCAGATGGAAGGATTCATGTTCACAACATTCGTTATGATGAAGAATTGGTTTCATTTACACATTCTACACGTGGATCAGTGACTGCCTTATCTTTCAGCACTGGTAGGAACAGGAAGCTTTTATTGATTCATTGCACTCTTTTATTGTAAATATCACGCTACTCTGCAAATAATTTGTTTGGTTTCCATATGTCCTGAGCAACATATAACTTCATCTTGTCCTTTTTATTCTTTTTATATATCTTTTGGAATGGAAAAGATTAACAACTTACAGGAATAGGATTCCATTTGTTCGTAATGAAGTCATCAAGTAATATTTGTTACTACTTGCCAGTTTACTGTAAATTTGAATGAGACACATATTTAATTTATAACTGTCAATACGTGTATTTTTGAAGCCTCCTAGTCAAATTAATTGTCAATTTACTATTCATTGTCTCAGTTCTGATTCCCTTAAATTGAATATGTCCAGCTTATAAGAAAGGTGTTGTTGCATTAACCAACTTAATTAGTTGGCTTATGGAATATTTTCTTTTTTAATGATTGTCGTTATGTGTTACACTTCTCTGCCAGGGAAACTAATCTACCGTCTTCTTCCAGTAAAAATGTATTGAATTGAATATGCCTATCTAAAAGCTTTTCTGTAGTATTTTGTGGTTGTGCTTATTATTTTTATTGGTCTATTCATTTTACCTGTTTCAGATGGGCAACCTCTTCTGGCTTCCGGAGGTTCATCTGGTGTTATAAGCATATGGAATCTGGAAAAGAAAAGACTCCAGTCAGTTGTAAGAGAGGCTCATGATAGTGTGGTCACATCATTACATTTCTTTGCTAATGAACCAGTGCTAATGAGTTCATCAGCAGACAACTCTATTAAAGTAAGAATTATTCTGAAAATGAACACATGCATATGTGTAATTAAATTTTTTGACCTTATACTTTGGGAGAATATTATTTTCTGAATGTAGTTTGAGATGTTTGTCTGTTGACTCTGTTCAAATTTATTATAGAAAATAGAAAGGAAGTTGTTTGTGTGTTGAAGATATTTGAAATATAGCAGGCAAGCTTGGATGTCTGCCATATAATACCAACTAGTAGCAACTTGACACTATTTATGATAATGACTTTTTTCATAGAAAACTATAAATTTATAGTGACTAGAAGCACCTGAGCTACATGGGTATATTTTTACCGAGTGACCATGGTTATTGGTTTTCAGTGTGATGAATTTAGACTGGACTTTATTTAGTCCTTTGTGCTTTACTTGTTATTATCATGATTGAAGCAGGTGCTCATATCAGTGTCCATTTGTTTCATTTCCCATTTGACTAAACAAAGTGTTTCTTTGCAACTTTTTTGTTCTGTAGATAAGCTAATTTATTCTAGCAATGGCTGAATACAGTTTTTCATTTTTCATCTTGGTTTCTACATTTAATTAATTTTTACTTACCCATTATTCCGATGATGTAATAATATGTCTATCTTTTATTTCCTTAGATGTGGATATTTGATACAAGTGATGGTGATCCTCGCCTTTTGCGCTTCCGAAGTGGTCATAGTGCTCCTCCCCTTTGCATAAAGTAATATTTTTATTCCAGGTGTTAATTTATACAGGAAACATTTTGTTCAACTTTGTTGTATACTTAGAAAGTAATGATTGGCATTTATTTTTTGAACTAATCGATAGTTAATTATGCTTTTGAACAAAATGATTTACTTGGCCTCTGGTGTTCACCATATGGATTCTTGTGTGGAGAGCTGTTTTGCTGAGGGAATAGAGCTACTTTCTATTGATAGTTTTGTTTGACATTTTTATTTATTGATTTTCTGTGATTAGCATTCTTATTACTTTTGAAAGGAGGAGGATATATTATAATGTTAATCATATGGATTTAATTAAGATATTCAGCAATTTTTGGTATTTTGACCTTACTACATAACGATTGTGATCTTTCACTTTTAATTTGGCATTTGTCATCATCACTTACACCTGCAAATTATTTGGCAGGTTTTATGCCAATGGAAGACATATTCTTTCTGCGGGTCAGGATCGTGCCTTTCGTCTTTTCTCTGTAGTTCAGGTTGGTTATAATTCGTTTATAAGATGTATTTGTAGGGAAATATTGTTTTGCACAAATAGTGATCCCTCCCTCCATATCAGTTGCTATTTGTTTGGGGAAAAAAATTCTGTTTCATTACTAAAACTGTTGTGAAAAACTTACATACACGACATTGCCAAGTCGGGCAAACAGTTTTCTTTGACTACTAAGATAATCCTGGAAATTTACTTATTATCTAGTCAAAGGATGCAACCAAAGCCAGTTCCTTTGCTAATTTGTATTAACATTAGGTCCTATCTTTTATGAGATGGGCCGACTCTTTAAGGTTGAACTTCTTGTGAACTGATGTGGTTTGTTTACTGAAAGTTCAGTGAGATGAGTGAGACTTCAGTGTGACAATAGAGTCTAGTGAGAGTTCAGTGAGATGAGAGAGTTTAGTGACACGAAAATAATGTGCCTTCAATGAGGCTGTTCTATGGAGGAGGTTTGCCTTTGCAGAGGAATGTGTGCAGTGGCTCTGTTAGGGTTTGCGGTTTTCTTTTTAGTTTGAGTGAGAGGGTGCATGACTTTGAGTGAGAGAGAGTTGACTGAGGATACGAAGAGGGAGTCTGAGTGAGAAAGGGTTGGGCTGGACTGTTGTTCATAGGTGGGCAGCCCTGCCCACATGTGTTCAACCTTGGTGAGACGGTTTGTAAAATTACCCATTGTGAAATTCAACAAGTTTTTGACCTATTTCGAAAATGTGGTGGGCTGGGTTGGCCCATGGGCTGTAGCCCACTTTGACTGCTCTGCATAATAGTCTTCTCTTCTCTCCAGTTTCTCTTTGTATGGTTACCTAGTTCTTCAGATGCAACAATCCAATGCTGTTTTGGATTTAGATAGTATCAGGTGTATAGTATTATTTTAGTTCTCCAGCTTTTATTTTTTATATGCTGGTTGTCATGTACATTTATTTTCCCCTTCCAATATACTGACTATACTTCATGGCTGAATCCTTTGTGCCTCTTTACTGTGCATTATCTAATCAACTCCTCATTTACAGTATGGATATGTATTTATTGAATTTTTATAGGATCAACAAAGTAGGGAGCTTTCTCAACGACATGTTTCTAAACGTGCTAAGAAACTGAAAGTGAAGGTATGACTGTATGACTGGTTCTCATCCTGACGCACTGCTGCTTAACTGTGCATAAGTACTATTGAAACTGATTATGAAGGATTTTGCGGTGGTTTAATGTTATTTAGGTGGAGTTCTCACGGGTTTATATTTCATGTTTTGTTTTCCTTTGTTTATGTGAGTTTTCTTTTTTCTGTTTATACTTTTCGCACTAGTTAAAATATGTTTAACTTTTCAACCCGCAAACACTAATTTTTCAACAACCTTCAGAGAGTGTAATCATTGGAATTTTTTAAATGTTTCGATTGTAAGATTCAAATGCACATGATTTGGACGACTTGTATATGTTGGGTGCAGTACGTCGTGGTTCCTACATGCCATGCTAAAACTTGAATGTTGGCAAAATGGAGATTTTAGTTATTTTTATTCTATAATGCCATGCTTCTCGTGTGAACACTAAATTTGCAACTTCTGTTTTAAGAACTTTAATTTAAATTATCTACTTATCCTCATGCATTTAATTTAATTTATCTACATATCCTCATGTATTTTGTGTGTATGCTTGTTGCTCAGGAGGAAGAAATAAAATTGAAGCCTGTGATTGCATTTGATTGTGGTAAGTTCTTTTTCCGGCATATTTTTCACTCACGTGTAATTGTGCTGAAGACCAAACTCATAAATGGAACTTCATCTAATGACTTGATGTAGATAATATGAATTGATTCTTTTGATTTGTTAAAAGTGCAGCTGAACTGCATAATGATTGAGGGTTATTTGGCCATAGGCTACAAATAAGTTTGTGTTAATGATAATATTTGTGTTAACTTCTGGTCAGTTTGATTAAGATTTAGTATTGTCACAATTTGGAATAAACTTTTGCTGTTTTCTGGATAAAAGAATAAAATGATTGTGACGAACAGCAGAAAGTTACTCTGATGAATTTGGAGGATAAAGGATCCTCCATACGATAACAGGTTATAAATAAAATACCAAAGAAAAAGAGAAAACATAATGGAATAATGTTGCGTATGCACCTCTCTGTTTAGGAAACCCTCATAAAAGATCATTTGCGTTGTACACCAAATAGAACCCAATCACTAAATATAGTCCCTAATTAGCTCTTGAGTGAAAGAAAAGTCACTAAAAACTCGTGATTAAATTGACACTGACAAATGTAGTTTATTTATTGTTGCACTTTCAGATTTCTTTTCTTAATGAATTTGTTATGTAATCTGCTGTCAGAAGTATAACATAATCTTTTATTGTGAAAACCTCAGCCGAAATTAGAGAACGCGATTGGTGCAATGTGATTACTTGTCATATGGATACTGCCCAGGCATATGTTTGGAGACTTCAAAATTTTGTTCTTGGTGAACATATATTGAATCCATGTCCTGAAAATCCAACACCTGTAAAGGTTAGGAATTCCATTTTATTCAATATTTCTGTTTCTTGGAAATCGTTGCTTTGAATTCCTTTTTATCATGACAAACCCATTGGATGTGTGGCATAATAACATTGCTAAGTTTGTGGCATTCTCTTAGGGTGTCAATATTTAAGTGTGTTGACAAAAACGGAATGGGTTCTGGCTGACCGCATTTTTGGTATGGTAACAGGCTTGTGCTATCAGTGCTTGTGGCAATTTTGCCTTTCTAGGGACGGCAGGTGGTTGGATTGAAAGGTTTAACCTTCAATCTGGAATTCGCAGGGGTGCTTACATTGACATGTCAGAATCAAGAAGCTGTGCTCATGATGGTGAAGTAGTCGGAGTTGCTTGTGACTCGACAAATACTCTCATGATAAGTGCAGGATACCAAGGAGATATAAAGGTTCATATTTGCTGTTTGAAGATACTCTGATTTCCACTTGTTGAAATTAATAGAAAGAAATCATAGTCATTTTGTTTAGCAGCTACATTATACTGGGAATTCTGATATATAATATATTTCATTGCAGGTTTGGAATTTCAAAGAACGTGATCTTAAATCCAGATGGGAGATTGGTTGTTCTGTTGTTAAGATTGTTTATCATCGTTATAATGGTAAATTGGATTTTTCATTACTTTTCATATTCCATTATCCAGGTGTTTGTTTATCCCTAATTCTTGTTTTGTTAAAAATATAATTTTAAAATATATGAAAAGAAATTCCTGTTGTATAATTCAAATTCTTGGAACATGAAGTGATTATAGAGCTTTATTGATTTTAGGTCTCCTGGCTACAGTAGCAAATGATTTAACAATTCGATTGTTTGACATCGTGGCTCTTAGACTTGTTCGTAAATTCGAAGGTCACACAGATCGAATAACAGATTTGTGCTTCAGTGAGGATGGGAAGTGGCTTGTGTCATCTAGTATGGATGGAAGTCTTAGAATTTGGGATGTGATCATAGCAAGACAGATAGATGCAGTACATGTTGATGTACCTGTCACAGCATTATCTCTGTCCCCAAACATGGATATATTAGCAACTACCCATGTTGATCAAAATGGGGTATACCTCTGGTGAGTTTCCAATTTATTCTCTTGGTTCATGAAACCTAATTTTGGGAAAACATTTTCTACTTTTCAAAATGTTTATTGCATGTGATTGATATTCTTTTCTGGGCTTGGGTTTTAATATTTCATGTGATTACATATTGGGAGGATACTGATTTTCTCTGAAGTGAATTGACATTTTCTAGAATTGCTAGATATTAATGCTTTACCTGATGTAACATTTTCCGCACAACACATTTACCCTATCATATTTCTTTGGAATAACAAAGAGTGATTTTGTTAAGTTGTTACAATAATGAACGGGAGAAAGTTGTTACTTTTGTGATTTAATGACATTAGATAGAGGAATGGTTCTATTAACTACTGAATGAGGTCTAATATGTTACTGAGAAACCAAAATTGATAGTGAGAAATTGTATCAGGGTAAACCAGGCAATGTTCTCTAGTACATCAAATGTCGATTCATATGCAAGTGGAAAAGAGATTGTGAGTGTCAAATTGCCATCTATCTCTTCTGCAGAACGTTCTCAAGAGGAGCATTCTGAAAAGCTAGTGAATGCATCTCAACCCAAAGATAATCTGGATTTCCCAACTCAAGATAAGCAAATTCCCGAGTTGGTTACACTTTCATTGCTGCCTAAGAGCCAGTGGCAGAACTTGATCAACTTAGACATTATAAAGGTCTTCACTTCTCAGCAGTATTCCTTCTCATGATATGAACTTTGTGAAACCTTGGGGGTCATTTGGTTTGAGAAAATGTTATCTATTTTCATTTTCTATTTTACTATTAATTACTAAAATTTCACTTTGTTTCCTATTTTCAAAAGTTTATAATGAACCATGGAAAACAGTAGTGGTTGTTTGTATTGCTTTTAAGCAAATAATTTAAAATGTCTTAAATTGAAAAATGATGACATTTTTGTAATTAAAAGTATAGAAAATGAAAACATTTTTTTTCCAAATCAAACTTCCCCTTATTTCCTTGAGTTTCATTTCTATTTTCTGTCATGGTCATAAATGACATATTTGTCCTGCTTGTTGAATTACAAACTCTAAATTTCAGGTTCGCAATAAGCCTATTGAACCTCCAAAAAAACCTGAAAAAGCTCCATTCTTCTTGCCTTCTGTTCCATCCCTCTCCGGGGAAATATTGTTCGAGTCTGAAAAGTTATCATTAAAGGATAACGATGGAACAGATGATGATGGAAAACAAATGAAGACAAGATCAGATATGCCACAATCACGTTTTCTGTATCTTCTTCAATGCTCTAAAGAGACAGACAATTGTAAGACATCAACTATTTTATTTTTATGAGTATGACATGTTGATTGTGATCAATTAATTATAATTTATTTCCTTTGAAACTCTATTGCAAGCATCTCTAAAATTTAACATTCCACATTGTAGACGCAGCGTTCACTGATTATATTAAAGGATTATCTCCATCAACTCTGGATATGGAGCTTCGAATGTTTCAGATCATTGATGATGATGATGATCAGCAAGAAGCAGAGAAGAGATCTGAGTTGGAATCTATCAAATGGTTTCTGGATTATTTTATTCATGAGCTTTCCTGCAGAAATAATTTCGAGTTTATACAAGCTGTAATCAGGCTATTTTTAAAGGTTAGTGATTTCTCTCGTTATTGGTCAGCTACTGTTCAATGATTTCAAATGAATGTTATTTTCTTTTTAGCCGATTATGTCTATAATATTTCTTCATCTGCGTAGATTCATGGTGAGACAATTCGACAGCAGTCATTCTTACAAGAAAAGGCAAGGAAACTTCTAGATATTCAATGCATGGTATGGCAAAGGGTAGATAAATTATTTCAAAGTTCGAGATGTGTGGTCGCCTTTCTTAGTAATTCCCAAATTTAGGTGACAATTTTAACTTGTAATGCCAACCTAGAGTCACAGTAAAGGCGCCCAGCGTGGACATGTATTTGCTTCAGACTTCTTTTAGTTGGGATTCAAACAAAAAGTAAGGGCAGCCATGTACAATTTCAATGTTAAATTAGTGCTTGGTGGATGAGTCTCTTATCATCATAATGAGAAATTTTTGTCACGGGATAAACCAATATCCTACATCATACTAATACAATTTTTGTAATTTACATTTTGTATCAGCAGATGTACAATTTAAATGTTTCACATTAGTGCATTTAATAGAAATTTTTTACCAATTATGCTCGCTCTGGCTCCTTTACTGGCAGTTTTGCATTTGTTCACTTTTATAAAGATTGAATAAGATCTCAATCACGACGTCCATGCCAACCAAAAGATTTTAGTTTTTTCACAGTACACAGAATGAGCCATCAATTTATAGACGGAAGAGTTGATGACATCTTTCTATCAACCTTCCATACTTGATACTAAACACCATAGTTAGCTCTGTCTTGAAAAAATATTTCTGGATGACATCTTACTATCAAATTCCTCTACTTTCTTATAGTGTTGAAATTAAGGATGAGAAAAATATCTACACCTCCAACCATTTGTAAGTAAAATATGTAACAAATATAACCCAAGTATTCTTGATGGATGTGTTATCGGTTACAAAAAATATATATTTCGTATTTATAATATAGAGCGAGGGGTGTGGCTGCACTTTTAAGTATTTTCAAATTTTAGGTGACGGACCTTCAACTTGGAAGTGTCAATCAACGGGTCATAACAAAGGCAACAGAAAAACTTAAAACAAAACATATATGTGTTAGGCTTCTTTTCATTGGATTGATAGGAAATTAAAAGCAAAAGTATTGTTGAAAATTGAAGGATGAAGTTTCATATTGTGAATATCAACATTTTAGTAGTGATCATAACTAGGAATGGGATGAAATAGTGTATGGTAATACTAAAGCACACACTCACTAAGTGTATAAGCCAAATGACAATTTACATTTTCTATCCGTGGTCTATTTGATAGAAATTTTCCAACATTACACACTTTCCTTTGCCAACAAACAAGGTAGATAAGTTTTTAGATGTAATTATGCAAATGACATAGAGAAGCATAAAATAAAACTCGCAGGACCTTTGTTACTTATTAGGACAACACAATATGCGTCTTCGATACTCTCCAAGGGCCCATATTGGAAATATGTTCCTATACGCAGAGTAACTGATAGTACAATTCTTATTGAAGACTCCCATGATTTCCTACAAAACATCATGTCATGTGTGCATTTCATAAGTCTTTTCAAAATAAACAACAGGCATTGTTATTTGTTACCTGTTGGGGAAACTCCCCATTTTCCATTTGTGAATTGATCAAAACCTTGGCCGCGCGATGCAGTGGGGTTGGATCTCTTTCACCCTACCATTCAAATAACCAATAACTTCATACAACTTTGTCTTCTCATTTCACTTTGATTATATATGGAAGAATTGAACTTTGCTGTACCTGTCCTGCTTCAATAAGTGCCAACATAGCCCACGCAGTGTTCACTACATGACACTTGTTTCCTTCTAGATTCATGTATACCTGTTTTTGTTCTACTTTTAATCAGTGTAATGATAATTAGTTATGTTATAAATTTTGAATGATATGTTCCCATATCTTCAGTGACAGGGTATATAACTAGTAAGTTACCTTTTGTTGACAAGCAAGATAGCTCTCTCCCCACCCACCACATATTTGTTGATTGGAAAGCAAAAATTCACATGCTCTTCTGATGTGCTGGTTATTTTGGTACCTTTTACCGGAAGCTATGAGCCCCTTTATTCCAAACCATGTTCCATAGGTGTAACATATTCCCCATGACCCATACCTAGTTCATTAATCACACATGTTTTATGTTTGTGATGATATTTTAAGAGAAATGAGTTTGAGGCAGAGCAAACCATGAACCATCAGCTAATTGTATGCTTTCAATGTATTTTGCTGCCTCAGCAATACAAGTTTCTATCTCCTTCCTTTTATACGTTGGGTATCGTTCTGTGAATAAGGCAAGACCTTGAATAGATGATGATGTGCATTCTACACACCTATGATAAAATTATGAACCGCTTCATTTCATATTATTATTATTCTTAAATCATACTTAGAATTGATAGAATGAATAGTCTATTCCGCCTCACTTAATCTCTATTAGTAGATATTAAATAAAAAATATTTCATAATCCACCCACAGACTAATTTTAAATTTAACCTAACCTAATCCGAGGACTAATTTTAGTTTGATTAATTTTTTTAAAATTATTAACATATTTATACAAAATTAATTCATTAAAAATATATTTAAATAAAAAAAATAAGAATATATTTTAAAAATTTATATTTTCTTGATGAAAATAATTTTTATTTAAAATATAATAATTTAATATATAAATTATAAGAAATGACATGTATTTAATTTTAAAATAAAAATTCAAAATTTATTTTTTATTATTATTTTTTATTTTTAATAATTTGTTAATTTAAAATAATAATTAATTTTAATTAGTATTAGAAATTTATTACGATATTTATTCTTAAAATAAGTAAATTCTATCAAATTAATTTATAATACGTATATATTTTTTAATAAATAATATTAATTTTATTTTTATTTAAAAAATTATTATTATTCTAAGAAATATATCGGCTCGAATGTAAAGCTATGCACTACTAGAATATAAATTTATATACATCAAGATTTAATTAGATTTGATTAAAATAAATTTGATTTAATTTAATTCACCAATTTTTTTTTAATCTAACCTATTTCTTATACATTAGTTCATCGAATTAAGTTTATCTTCTTATACTTTAGTTCATCGAATTAAGTTTATCTTCTTATCTCTATCTCTAATCATATTTTAGACGTAGTTGAATTATAGATCATATTAAACTTACTCATAATCGATCATGATATCTTCAAATAATTCAGCAGGATTCATTTTCTGTAACAAATATCAAGAACATTAATGAAAAAATTTATTCAACTCGTTATTTAAGAGAAAGTAAAATTTACCTCCAACCATGCATAAGATCTTGTTAGCTCATATGATGCAAATCCTCCATTTTTGTTCTGTAATGGGTGGGAAAATTGATTAACCCATAACATTGAAGTTTTAATTTTGATATTTCAATTTGTATGGTAGCTGTGATTCTGTTCAACTTAACTTCATATTGCTAACTTAAATTATATTTACATTTTTTTGTTGTGATATTTAAACATGTTTCAAGATGAAAAGTAAACATTTTAAAAATAGAGATAAAAAATAAACAGAATATTTGGGAAGGACTAAAATTTAGATGCAATATACATAAGTAATATAATAATATACACCTGTAGAGATAATATTAAATCGACAGCATCGCATAGTTGTTCTATTTCCACTACTTTTCCCACTCTCTCAAATGGCAAATTTGATAACAAAATGGCTGTCTGAAACAAAAACAAAAATATAAAAACATGTTAAGCAAATAATTTAGGAAAGTAATAGCTTAATGAAATATAATTGAAAAATTCTCAATCACCTAATTACTTTTATTTCAACATATATATATATATATATATATATATATATATATATATATATATATATATATATATATATATATATATATAAACCATTGTATTGTAGCTATATGTTTCAAATGAAAACTTCTCATGTGTCTGATAAGAACTTCATTTCCGTATTTCCTTTCAAAATGATAGGTTACCCCAAACTTCAATCAAAATAACATTGTGGAATTCATTCTACCACTAATATTTAAGAATTTGCTAATTTTGTTGAAATGAAGGGCAAATCCATTGATCGTCACCTTCAAGCCTTCTGCAGTGCAGTCTGACACAGGCCAACCATTGTCTGGAGTTGAAAAAGGCCAACCACCTTTAGAAATGTGGCGATACCAGTAACTCAGATTACCAGAGCTGTTTGCTGTAATCTTCACACCCAACCCCAGAAAAAAATTTCATCATCAATATTTCATACTCTTTAGTTTCTTTTACAACAACTTTAAATCAATGTACAATACCTGTGAGCATTTTATGAAATTGTTTGCTTTCTTAAGCATTGAACCATATTCATCCTCAAGATTGGTAGCTAAGATTGCTTGAACAGACAAAACAACATCCCAAAATTGAGAACCATTATATCCCTGACATTCAACTACCTTGGTTACAATTTGTATATCAGTATTTAATGACGATGTAGAAATAATATAAGAATTGTAGAACCTGCATTTTCATGCCATCCTCTGCCACCCAGAGATAGTCTTTGATTCTTGAAATGTGCAACTTGAATGCTTCAGAATTGGGGTTCTCCAACCAACAGCAAACCATGTTTAATACCTGTTTCATAAGGCTTGCCTCCTTTGTTGGCTGTCTTTACTATTCAAATTGCTAAGAAGCAAAAAATATTAACATCATTATTATTACCTTATTAATGGGACCAATACAAACATAGTTTGTATTTTCATCTTCGTAGTGTATATGTTGCATTACATGATGGAGTGCTTTCTGCCTTAGCTTGGAGTAGGGCCAACGCAAAAGAAGAGGTTCCCCTATATTGTGGACAAAACTCCGTAACATATTCTGGATCATTGGGCTCGTATGGTACAAATCTTCCTGGTAAAAGATCATAATCATCTCATAAATATAACATGGAGAGAGAAATTTTGAGAGAAGAGAATATACCTTGGCACATAAATTTGTAGCCTCATCCCAGTCAAGTAAATGATAGGGAAGGGTATAAAGCTCTTTTCTGAGGGATAAAATAATTGCATTGATAGGACCCACAAATCTTCTTCCGTATAAATAGGACATCGGTAGGTACACTAATCGAGAGTGACACCACATTCTTCCTGCAAGTCAGAATAATACCATTTTTATATATAATGAACCCTAATTTATTATCATTGTTGTTGTTGACGAATTCAGAAGAACCTGGGTGGAAAGGAAGAGAGTAGGGAAGAAGCCAAATCTCTGGTGGAATTGGCTTCATACCTTTCCATTCGTACACACCAAGCACCTATAATCCATCAAATTTCATTAATCTCATCGTATTAAAAGCAATATATATGCATGCATTCATGCATGGAGAGTTATATATATATACAGAAAGCCAGAGTTTGCCCCATGAAGGAATATGAGTGACTCCGCCACGATGAAGAATCCATGTCCTTGCTTTCCTCATGCTGCCCTCTCCACCGTCCATCTCTTCTCCAAGCAATCTCAAGCTCACGTAGTTGAGAGCTGTCGAAAACATTATGCTGTGCCCTTCTATGTGCAACCCCCACCCTCCATCTTCGTTCTGTGAGTACATTAACAAAATCTCAATTCATCATATTAACATTCAAAAATCAATAGCCATTTATATATATAATATATACCTGGTGATTCATCAGATACCGCCGCATCTCGCTTTGATGCTCCCGCGTCAACACTGCATTAAGGGCACCACTTACCCATAATCCTATTACCTACACATGATAACTCTTCTTTTAATGCACCTACGTGTTAATGAAGAACATAGATATTTCAGAGACATACCAATCCAGGTAAAAGAAACAAAGGTCCTCCATAGTCAGCGGGCCAGAAACCATCCTCAGTTTGCAGAGTCGAGAGACTCCTCAAAGCTCTTTTCAGTGTGCTTCCCACCACTTGCTCATTTATATCTTCCTCCCTTTCTATTTTTATCTTCCTTGTTACCTTCTCCCCCTTTATGCCTTTTTCCCTTTCAAACTGACACGCACACACATTCATGCATGCATGCATGCATGTAAATTAAACACAGCTACGAATGTTCGTATAAACTATATATATGTATATATAATTAATATATATGCACCTGGAGTCTCATTATAAGATCAGAACTGTGTTTATATTTGAAACGATTCTTGTTAAATTCTTTGCGAACTTGTTCCACTTCAGCTCGCTCTTCTTCGCTTCCAAGACTTTGATCGAACTCCCAGAACTGTCTTCCCAAATGCTTGTTCATGCTTCTTACCCCCTCCTCCTCCTCCTTCTTCTCTGAAACCTTCAGCTTCCACATCCTCTCTCTCTCTCTCTCTCTCTCTCTCTCTCTCCCCTTTCTGTGTTTCTATTCTCTTTTTAAACATCTCAACCCTTTAAATTAATTCACCTCACAGGACAATAATTCTAATATTTATATATAATTGTAATATTAATAATAATAATAATAAGCACCCATATACATGAACAACATTCAAAACAAAGGAAAAAACAAAACTGTCTAATGGATCCATCACCTCTTTGTTTATGTATATTTTGTTTTGTACAAAGTCTCTATTATATGCCGTCATCGTGAACAACCCAATAATTTCGTTTTTCAAGTGAAGAAAAACATATCAACCGATAGAACTTTCATTGCATGAGTAAGACCAACGGATATCTTAATTCTAGATATAAAATTACACAGTCATACCCCACTTTATCAAGGATTTATTAAAATTTTTATTCTCAATCATTCATATATAAATAGTTGTATGATTTAGATTTATTCATCACATACTCTGACACAAGCAGACACTCCTCTCACCTTATCAAATGCACTCAAGTTTATCTAATCAGAAACTGCATGCACCTGGAATCGACATGAAAAATTGTGTTTATATTTGAATTCTTTACACACTTAATCCACTTTAACTGGCTTTTCTGTGGTTCCAAGAGGTGGATCGGATTCCATCTTCCAATAAGGTTGGTTGGTTTTCAGGTTTCATATACTCTCTTATGATATTTGCTCTCTATAAATGACCACATGCAATGCAAGCCAAATGTTCTTGAAATATTAATTATATTTGGTCAAACTACATGTCTTTTTAAATAAAATAATGGATTTGATTTGATTTGATTTGTAAGAAGATCCATTGTGTTTCTTTGAATATCATGTTGAATATTTGATAGTGTACATCATTAACGAAGATAAGAAATTGAATTTTATTCTATAAATAAAATAAAATAAATTATTGTAGTAATAATTTGGCTTAATTAAACCTTTTATCATTCAATTATCTTCATTTTTACAAAATTTACAATTTTTTTCACACATTTAACTATCATATATTTCAAAGTCTTATACATAGGTTAGCTTTACCATTATGTTGGTAACAAGATGACATTGTTTTATTGGTGGTAAAATTATGTCAAATTTTTTTTTTTGGAGAAGCCAACTCTTAACTAATAAATCGGTTAATGATTAAAATTAAAAAGTAAAACAATATGCAAGAAAAAAAAATCTTAAATGACAAAATTAAAATTATAATAATGAGGCTAAAATGTGATATTTAGTTTAATAATTTCTTTCGGGAATTATTTTAAAAATCTGTTTTCTGATTTTATCTTATAATAATAACTACAACACCAACAATAATAATAATAATAATAATAATAATTTTCACGTCAAATTGTTACTGTTTTAAAATTATATATTCGAAATTAATTGGGTATGAATTTTATTGATAAAAGAATTACCTTTTTATCTTATAACCAAATATAAACTAAAACTTTTTATTTTATAGATAATTTAGATTTATGTTATTCATGTAACAATTTATTACAATCTTTTTTTTTTATTTCTCAAACATTAATTATTTATATATTTTACACACATTTCTCTATCTTTTATTCTTTTTGTATAAAATACTACAAAAAGTTAATGTTCAACTAACATGTCTCTAGTTCTAATTATTGTAGTTTCATTATATTTTAAAAATAAATAAAAATACCTGTAAAACTAGCTCATCAAACTAATCTAGTCATGAATTAGAAAATAGTCATCTCAATGAGCATAATGCATTGTGAACACCTGTTAAAACCTTTTTAATTTTGAGTGGTCAAGATTAGGCATTTGTGTGGTGGTAATTAACGTCATATATTAACTAATAAATACAAACTGTACTATTTTTGTTGTTAATTTTTATAGTTATAAATTGATTAATTTCATCTTTTGATTTTTAAAAATATATAACTTTATTTTTTTATATTGAAATACTCATACTTTTGCAATTAATTCCTCACTGACATGTGCAGTTATTGTGATTGATACTGTATTTACTAATATAGGTAAGGAACCAGATGCTGATTCTGACGTTCTATAAATAAAAATATTAAAATAATAAATAAATATATAAAATATAAATAATTTTATTTTACTTTTATCATTTTTATTTCATTTTATTTTTTTCTTTAACTTAAACAATTTTATCTTTCATTTTTTTTTTTTTGATAAATTTAATCTTGAATACAAATAAAACATTAAAGGTTGTAAATATTAAAAAAATAGAAAAGATAAATCCCACTTATGAAAAGTCTCACGAAATTTCATCTAAAGTATTTAAAGAAAGTACTTATTTTTCAATTTCATCAACATGAGTCATCTTTCAATTAATGACACGCCTTCTAGAAGAGTCTATTGTTGAGCCTGGTGATGAGATTAAAATAAAATTTTCATGTTTTAATAGGTTTTTTTAAAATTAAATTGAAATAATTATTTACACTGTTTTTGGTTTTTAATTGAAGCGAAAAACAGTAACAAGAGTAACGGTATAGGGTTAAGAAAAAAGAAAAAAAGAAAAAAAAAAGCAGCAGCAAAAGCCACTCACGGAACTCGTATGACCGAGACATACATACATAGACACATGATCCATGGATCCATAGAGAGTGGCCGTGGTTTTGTTCGTGCTTTGCAAGCTCCGCCGGTGACAGTTGTTGCTTGTTATAAATTAAACGCAGGAATTTGAAAGTTTCCACATTCCCTTCCGTAATGCGTTGCAGGGAGATGCTACATTTCTGTCCTGGAAGCAACTACTAAGTCAATAACGATTACATTATCTCACATTTCACCTTCCCCATTTTGATTTGATTCATCCATTTTCCCACCAAACACAACACAGGTTCATGCTATTCCAATTGCCACTCTAGTCTCTGCTCAATCAGTTAATCACTGTCATTTGATCCTCAATTCTCTTGCTAATTGTAATGCAATCGTTTGTTTCCGTTTTCAGAAATTACAATGTGGAAGCTCAAGTTTGCGGAGGGAGGGAGTCCGTGGATTCGGTCACTGAACAATCACGTTGGAAGACAGGTCTGGGAGTTCGATCCCAAGCTCGGATCGCCGCAAGATCTCCTCGAGATTGAGAAAGCTCGCCAGAATTTTCACGACAATCGCTTTACCAACAAACACAGCTCTGATCTCCTTATGCGCTTGCAGGTCTCTCTTCTTCCTCCCTCAATTCTCACTCACATTACATCTTTACCTATTTCTTGTTGCTTCCCCTCCTCAATCGAACAAACCAACCATTCAACCTACTGCATGTGCTTCTTCACACTTACTGGACCTAATCGCTTCACAAATTCATTTTATTCATTTCCTTATTTTGTATCATATCATCTTTACTCATTTACTATGCTATCAAACTTGTTACACTTCTCATATAAAACCTTTTCATCTTTTAACTACAATACTATCATCTTTCTTCCCTATGAAACAACAGTTTGCAAGGGAGAACCCAGTACATGAAGTCTTACCCAAAGTTGGAGTCAAAGATACTCAGGATGTCACCGAAGAGATTGTGACAAGAACATTAAGAAGGGCTGTAACTTTCCACTCAACTCTACAGTCTCATGACGGACACTGGCCTGGAGATTATGGAGGTCCCATGTTTCTGATGCCTGGCTTGGTGAGTTATATGTTCAACATTTCATCTTATTTGTCGAGCTTATTATTCTATGCTATATTATCAGTATTCTGGGAAACACTTAACCATTGCCTACAACACTTGCTGTTTTCATTTGGTTTCGATCATTTTCTTTCCACTCCCGTTGATGACCATGAGATCCCTCTACTCTCTGGGGTATACAATTAAATAGGTAATTACTCTGTCAATCACTGGGGCACTGAATGCAGTCTTAACTGAAGAGCATAAAAAGGAAATATGCCGTTACCTCTATAACCATCAAGTGAGAACTTCACACCATTTTGCCCCTTAATCTATGGGCTTGTCCCAAAAGTTCTCCTAATTAGTTAAATGTAACTGCAGAATAAGGATGGTGGGTGGGGTTTGCATATTGAAGGTCCAAGCACCATGTTTGGCTCTGTCTTGAGCTATGTTACCCTGAGATTGCTTGGTGAGGGGCCTAATGATGGACAAGGGGAGATGGAGAAGGCACGTGACTGGATTCTAGAGCATGGTGGTGCTACTTTTATAACGTCATGGGGGAAGATGTGGCTTTCAGTTAAGATATTAACCTTATTCTGATGAGAGATTGGCATTCTGGTGTACTTATGTTTAATTTTGTTGTGGAATAGGTGCTTGGAGTGTACGAATGGTCTGGAAATAATCCCCTGCCCCCAGAGATATGGCTCCTTCCATACACTCTGCCATTTCATCCAGGTTCGTACTCTTTGTTCTGTTTGCATATGTTTTAACTTGTTGACATGGACGACCTGTTAGGGAAATCTACATGTTGGTTCATGGCATCATATTACATCCTCTATGACCACTTAGTCTGAAGTCCGCACCATGATTTTCATTCTTCTTATAAAAAGTTAAGCTTTGGCACAAGGTAGGCGGACTTGTGCATTATCCATGCTTTCAAGTCTAAAGGACACTTGCATTAAAGATGTAATAAAAATTATTTATATGCATGCCTTCACCCCAAAGCTGAAGTTGGTTCTTAGCATATTGTATCCATATTTTTCAAAGAAGGCATCTTTTCATGACTTCAAGTGGTATATGATGGAAAAACTTGATATTTATGAATTTTTGTGAAATGCTTTAGTCATCTTGAACGTAGTTTTATGTTCCATTCATTTTTTTGTGTTGGAGATATTAGATTGATTAGAAATATAACCAACTTATAATATATGATTGAGGTTCAAACCTCACTTTGTAAGCCGATTTTTAAGGGTTGAGTTTTGTATTTCTTTATTTCTAATATTATGTAAACAGGAAATAAATCATATTTTTATGCCTTACAGGCAGGGACGGAGGAGGGGGGGACTGGTGGGGGCTACGGTCCCCCCAAAAAAAAGAATTCTTTTAAAATTTTATTAAAAAGATATATTATGACCCTCCTAAAAAATTAATTGTTTGGAATGATCTCTTAAAACTAATTTTCTGGTTTCACCTCTCCTTACAGGAAGGATGTGGTGTCACTGCCGGATGGTCTATTTGCCAATGTCCTACTTATATGGAAAGAGGTTTGTTGGTCCAATCACACCAACAATATTATCTTTGAGAAAAGAGCTTTATACTGTACCATATCATGATGTAGACTGGGATCAGGCTCGCAATTTGTGTGCAAAGGTTAGTGAAACTGCTCAACTGGGTCTACCAAAATATTATGATAATTGTTTCACTTGGATTGTTTCATTTGTGAGGCATGCAGTAGAAAATGCTGGATCTACTCATACTAATCATTGCATTGAAAATAGCAGTCTTACATTACCCCTCTCTGTTTGGCTTCTTTTTCTAGTGAAACCATATGTTAGGTTCCCTGTTCATTTGGTGCAGGAAGTTGCCTGAGCATTGGTTACTGCTTTTATGTTATCACCACCAAATTTTGTCATCACAATGGCAATCATGACGTTACTATTACAACATTCTACTTCTTTTGTCACTGCATAACCAATTTTTTGCTAGGAATTCTATTTTATCCCCATGCCAACCATATCCTTCGGACAAACATTGTTTCCTCTGTAACCACTAGCTATAGAATATCTTATCTAGTGTCCATAATGATTTTTATATCATTGGGGATGAACCATTTGGACTTGAAAGTCAGGCAATGCACAGACTAACCCTTTCATGTGCTGTGTTGACTTATATTTGGGAGAAATGGGTTAAAAATAATTGAACTCTTGATCACTTGGTGGTGGGTGAGCAGGTACATGAATTGTTTTACTTATCTACAAATAAATTTTGGCATTTGATATCACTAACTTCCAGAAATCTATTTAATTGTGCTGGAGATAAGAATTACAGATGGATTAACTTCTCTCTTGTGCAGGAAGACTTGTACTATCCTCACCCACTTTTGCAGGATATTCTTTGGGCATCTCTACACAAGTTCCTTGAGCCAATTCTGATGCATTGGCCTGGAAAAAAGTTGAGGGAAAAGGCTATTAGTTTGGCAATGGAGCATATACACTACGAAGACGAGAATACACGATATATTTGCATAGGTCCTGTCAATAAGGTAATTGTTGAAGGGGTCAGGGAGCTAGGTCCTCCTTTCAAATTGATCATTGTTCTTTTACTTGCCAACTGTTGAGTAGGATTGTGAGAATACTAACATTCTGTTAAACTTATTGGTAGTTTTCCTCTGCTGGGTTTACCATTTAATTACTTTTGCATCAATTTATTTTCATTGTGTTAATTATATTTTTTGTGGATGCCTGAGCTTTCCTTCCATTTTCCACTATAGATTAATTTATATTTCCATCTAAGCCACTAGATGCTTAGGAATAGTAACTACCTAGTAATTATTATTCTTAATGGTTATTGTTCAGGTGTTAAATATGCTTTGCTGTTGGGTGGAAGATCCAAATTCTGAGGCCTTCAAGTTGCATCTTCCAAGGATTTATGATTATCTATGGATTGCTGAAGATGGAATGAAAATGCAGGTGAACATATAAATCAACTTATTTTCATTTTGCCAGAATGATTAACTGATAGTTCTTGTTTTATTGGCCATATACAATACTATAGTGTTGTCTTCTTATAATGTAACATGTTAAACTAATTTTACTTCACAAATGAGTTTTTTTTAATCTGAGTTACAAAATTAACTGTAGCCAATTTTTTAATGCAGGGCTACAATGGAAGTCAATTATGGGATACTGCTTTTGCTGTCCAAGCAATTGTTTCTACTAACCTGATTGAAGAATTTGGTCCAACTATAAGAAAAGCTCATACCTATATTAAGAATTCACAGGTGTTATTTTGCATTTATCACTATAATTTGCATTGATTTGCCCGTGTTAATAAGAAATTTTCTCTTCTTCGATAGGTATTAGAAGATTGTCCAGGTGATCTTAATAAATGGTATCGTCACATTTCAAAAGGAGCTTGGCCTTTTTCAAGTGCAGATCATGGATGGCCAATTTCTGATTGCACGGCTGAAGGACTGAAAGTAATTGTTGATAAAAAACTAGTTAGACTTTCTTATTTAATTCTTCTCACTTGATTTATATTTTTTCTTTCAGGCTGTTCTATTATTGTCCAAAATTGCACCAGAAGTAGTTGGTGAGCCATTGGAGGTGAAGCGATTATATGATTCTGTAAATGTCGTTCTCTCACTACAGGTAGCTAGACTTTTCATGATTCGAGCCAAATTTTCTGAATAGTTTGAGAAAATATACCATGTAGATCATGAGTTATATATATATATATATATATGTATGTATGACTGTATGTATATATATTTATTTACTATGTATAATTTTAGTTTTTTTTTAATTTCTTATAATATATAAAGAGAGAAAGGGGATCCGCTTAGTCCAAGGGTAAGAGTTAGAAACTTATTCTTCATTTTTACTATTAAATTTTTTAATCTAATGATTAAAATTAAATACGATTTTATGTCATTAGATTATAAAACAATAAATGGTGAGGATGAAAAATAAGTCTCTAACTTTTACTTTTGGAGTAAGTGAATTCTTTATTAGTTTTATATATATACTGTAATCCACAATTGCATTTGATACTTATAAAATCAATTCAATCTATTTTGAGAATCAATTGTATTATTTAGAAGTATTTTCTTATCATTGCAGAATGAAGATGGTGGTTTTGCAACATACGAGCTTAAACGATCTTATAATTGGTTGGAGGTATCTTTTCTCATCCCTTAGCCTATTCTCATTAGTTTTTAGGACATTTTTGAAATGTGAAATGTGTGATGACATGCCATGCATATTTATCTTCCTACAAGAATAAAACTGTCCCTATTTCTTGTTTTAAAACTTTTAATTTAAAAGCGGTGCTCCTTGAGCTCCCTATATATGTTATGAAATTTGTTACCTGGTAAATAAATTTTAACTTTAATATATCTTCCTTTAATTTCACTAAAAGTTTAGCTGTATTTTCCTTTCTGTACAAATGAATTATGATTGAAAATTGGAAGTAAACCACTAACCTACTTTAAAATCATATAATCAGTACCACAACTACTTTTATAATTCATGTGTCTGGTCGTAAAGCCCAAGTTTTGGATTGATGTTAGTTGAATCATAGTACAAGAACAAACTTATTTCAGTTTCATTGGTTTTCCTTTAGGTTTCAGAATGATGGCTGAATAACTGGTCCTGAGAATTTGGGTTGTTATATTCTGGATTAATTTTAAGATATGAGCTCAAAATATTGATAATGCTTTCTCTGTTGTCAGATAATCAATCCTGCTGAAACTTTTGGTGACATCGTGATTGATTATCCGTAAGCTATCAAATGATTAATATTAGTTTTTGTATTCATCTTTCATTTCTCCTACTTCATCATTTTATTTTCTTATTTAAACATTTTAAGGTTTTCTTATGTATGCTCTATAGTTATGTGGAATGTACATCAGCAGCAATTCAAGCTTTGGCATCATTTAGGAGATTATATCCTGGGCATCGCCGAGAAGAAATACATCGTTGTATTGAGAAAGCCGCTACTTTCATTGAAAAAATACAAGCTTCAGATGGTTCATGGTATTCTCCTCCCATTTGGGAAACTTTTTCATAACCTTTTTTTTATATTTTATATAATGGTGAAGTGTATTTTCTGGGGTATTCAAGCATCTCAAGTTTGCTCTACTCTTTTTAACCTTTCTGCTTCTATTTCTGCACAGATTTTAGCTTTCTTTCTTAAGTAGACCTCTAATCACTACTGCTAAACAGGTATGGTTCCTGGGGAGTTTGCTTCACTTATGGTGCTTGGTTTGGGATAAAAGGATTGATTGCTGCTGGAAGGAGTTTCAGTAATTGCTCAAGCATCAGGAAAGCTTGTGAATTTCTGCTGTGTAAGCAGCTGCCTTCTGGTGGCTGGGGAGAGAGTTATCTGTCCTGTCAAAACAAGGTCAACTTTGCTGTTTCTAACTTCAATACAGTTATTTATTTATTTATTATTATTATTATTCATTATTATTATTTTTTACACTGCACAATCTATAATAAGCACCAGCTAGTTAATCTCTATATGACCAGTGTCCTCCCCCTCCCCTTTAAATTAATGTCTTGGTTCCAAGCGATGTGTGCAAAAGTGTTATAAAAGAGTGTGCAAAATGAATTTAAATCAGATAAAGAGAGAACTGCAAAAACAGGAAGAAGAACAAATAACAGGCAGAGCAATTGATATCGGGAAACTCCCACAACCCCAAGGGTTTCCCTTGAAAACCAAATTTTGGTTTTGCTATTGGTCATTGTAGAATGAATTCCATTATAATGGGTATCACATTTAACTGCGTAACTGACAGCCATATCCCAGTTAATTAAATGCTTTGGATGTCGAACTGAGTTGGTATGGTGTGACATTAAATGCTTTCTGTCTGGTTAACTATATAATGAAATTAATAGCATTAGCGGTTTCATATTTTTGTCTATAGAGAAGTGGAATCTCATGGTTACCTGTAAAACAGTATCAAGGGAAAGTTTACTCAAAGAAGATCAACTGATGAACATATTTGTTACGGGTAGTTCTAGGACATGTATTTTACATCAAGATTTTAAATTAAAACCGAGCTGGATTACTTCCAGCAATTTAAATGAGGAGATTTATTGAATAATATTTCTATCAATTTTTATTTGTTCAGGTGTATTCAAATCTGGAAGGAAACAGGTCTCATGTGGTAAACACTGGATGGGCTATGCTGGCTCTTATTGATGCTGGGCAGGTATGAAGCAAAGTTTACCACTTTTGCAACTGAGCCATTATATTGATTAGTTTCTTGTGCAACACTCATTTTGCATTTATGGTAAAATACTTAATCATTACTCTTAAAGAGGACGATTCTGCTTTTTAGTTAAGTAGTTTAGAGACAACTACAAAGGTAAGGCTGGATGCGATGGTAAGGTTGCTGCCCTGTACAGGTTTGAATCTTGGAAATAGATTCTCTGCTTGCGAGGGTTAGGGTGATTATATCTACTCTCCCCTGACCTAATTAGTTGGAAGACTCTTGTACTGAAGCCATCTTTCATCTTAGAGATAAATATGCCCATGGCTGAATAAATTTATAATAAAATATAATGAGCCACCCAAGCTTAGAGATAGATATACCCGTGGCTGAATAAATTTACAATATAATATAATTAATTAACTGCTCTCCCTAGATTTCTTTAGGTGGAAGACTCTTGTACTGGGCCACACTTTTAGCTTTGGGATGGATGTGCCCATGGCTGAATAATTTTACTAATAATTTCATAAAATGTTATAACGTATAAGAATGAGGTGAGGGATCACGATTAGTGTCAGACGACGACAAGGTGGGCCATAGCAGGTTTTTACTAACCATAAGTAAGGAGTATATTTGGAATATAAATTTAGCTAAGTGGAAATATAAATCATAAGATTCAAGCAATGTGGATGAAGTGGGTTTCTAAATTGTATTCCAATAGAATAATTTAACATTTGAAAATTTCCCAAATAAATGGATACTAGTCAGCCTTATAGCTGAACCTTGTTCCTTTGTTTTTTATAAACACATCTGACTCTTCTTACTGTGCCGGAGAAAGACAGAATAGAAATGATGTTCAGATTATACTTGTTATGTCTCATTCCGATGGTAACAATGAAACAGGCTAAGAGAGATCCAACACCACTGCACCGGGCAGCTGCATACTTGATAAATTCCCAAATGGAGAACGGTGACTTTCCGCAACAGGTACGAAAACATACATTTTTTTTTTATTCAATATTTACACGGGTGTACACTTTACATGTGTAAAGTGAGGGAGTGAGAAAGTAAGCATGCATCTACTCTTGATTTAAAGTTAGTTAAATTAAAAATTATGGGTATTTAATTGAAACAATTAGTAGATGATACATCTCTATACAGTTATTTATTCACTCTAAATAGAATATATGGTGGACTTCATCTAGTGTTTAAATAATTTTGATTATCTTATTTTGTCATCACTTCAGGAAATAATGGGAGTCTTCAACAAGAATTGCATGATATCATACTCTGCATACAGAAACATATTCCCCATTTGGGCGTTGGGAGAATACCGATCTCATGTATTGCAAGCCCGTTAATCTCGACTTAATTAGGTGTATCCCAGTTATTTTGACTTGTAGACAGTAAAAGAAAATAATAATAATAATAATAATAATAATTATTATTAGTATTATTTCCATCTATTTTTCTTTTATTTCCATGTCTCATAAAATGTTTGTGACTAACGAGTTTAGTAGTGAGCTAAAAAGAAAGCAAAGCAAACTCGAGAAGAATGTCAGTAAGTATTTTCTATTACTCGTTCTTACACGTCTCTCTTGCTTTCCCTACCCGGATGAATTAATATATACATAAATAGAGATATAAATGTTTATGTCACTTCTTTTATCCAAAAAGAAAGAGCTTGTACTGTTTTCTCAATGGTTTGTTCATCAAGATTATAGATACAGGAATATGGTAGGGCAGCAAGTTAAGAATAAAATAATTAAGTATTAGATAATCTATAAATAGTGATTTGAATTATTTGCAAATAACAGTAGATATTAGGAATAAAAGAAAAATGATTTTGAAAAATGTTTATAAATATATTTTTATGGTTAATTAAAATGTTTTAAATTGTTCCAGAGGTCTCTTCAACCTCTAGACTTTTAAAACAGCATTACTTTAGAAGATGGTGAAAAAAAAGAAAAAAATATAATAATATATATTTATTTATTATTAATACTTTTATTGTTAGTGTTCAAAAAAGTGAAATTATAAAAATGAAGCACAGTCGATTATATAATTATGTCTTTGATTTTCAAATGATTTTTATTTTTTATTATAGAGTTGAATATGCTATAAACAAACAAAAACATAATGTAACGAATGTAATTGATTATGTAGTTAACACTTCAAATTTTACATCTTTCTTTCTTATTTTGTATTTAAGGCTCTCTTTTTTTATTATTATTGTATCGTGAGTTTTCGATCTATTCATCTTAACCAAAATAGGACAGTTTCTTGTTTTTATTTTTAATTTCATCTGCGCAATTTGACCTTTCTTTCATGTGCTAACTTTAACATAGTAGTTTTTGTAAATGTTGCAAGTAGAGATAACTGTCGTTGAACCTCATCGAAGATCTCATTTTCATCATTCTCATGTTCTACATCATAATAAAAATGGTAAGTGTGTTTCATTAAATAATAAGTAAAACTTATAAAAATATTGTCTTAGAAAAAGGACATATCTAATATTAGATGTAGTACAAAAAACACATACCTCTATGTCAAAAAAGGGTGTGAGCATATAGCAAAAGTGACTCATTTCTAGCAACATATGCGTGTCATTTGCTTTATGCCAAGTGGTGAATTAAACACGTGATATAGTAAATAAATTTATAAATTTCATAATTTTGGATGGAAAAATTTAGTGGAAATAGTTCAAAATAATAAAAAGTATAAGAATTTATGAAACTAATTAATGATAAAAGAAAACAATAATTAAGGGGTTTTTAATATAATTTTATATCAATTAATTTTTTTTTAATATGTGAATCAAAACTTTAAACAGCTAGAACTCTGTAATGGAAGAAATAGTGTGTTTAGTGAAGGTGACAATGTAAGGATAAATTTGTTTATAGATGAATGTTGCTTGGCTATTATTTAAAATTTAAGTTAATTATAACCTCAATATTAATGATGGGTAAAAGTAAGAATAAATTAGAAATGGTTACATTGTGATTAATTTATCTTAAACAATGCTTGAGTAGTTTTGTGTGTGATTAGTTTCATGTTTGAAAACTCCAAGCTATATTTTAGGTGAATAATAGTGATATGAACATGTTTGAAAAATGCATAAGAAGAAAAGCCCAAACCAAAAACCGAACCCAAATTGGATTTTTATGGGCCGGAAAGAAAACGCTACGGAAGCAGAAATTCAAATTGATGGACAGGGCGCGAAGGAATTGGAATGGCAGGGACAATAAAGGGAATTAGCACTACAGTAGTGAACAAAAATTGAATTTTCTTATCTCTTTCATTCTTTCTCTCTCATCTCAAATCAAAAACAGAAAACAAACACAAATGAACATGAGCGTGCCCTCTGCTTCTTGTTCTCTGTTTGCGTGCGGGGGACAGATTTTGCGGAGCCCGAGGTGAATTCGGAGAATCTCTACGTTTTGAAATTTGAATACATCCTAATGGAACGGTGATCTGAATGAGTGGAAGATGAAGAAGGGACAGGGACAGGGTGGTAGCTTGGAGCTAAAACAGAGAATAGTTGGTGCGCTGAACAAGGTGGGGGATCGCGACACGCAGCAGATAGGAATGGAGGAGCTGGATCGTGTGGCGCAGGGTTTGAGGCCTGAAGGTATATGGTCGTTCTTGTCGTGCATACTGGAGACGGAGTGGGAGCAAAAGGCTTCCATAAGAAAGGAGTGCGTGAGGCTAATGGGAACGTTGGCCACTTACTACGACACCCTCCTCCTTCCGCACCTTCCCAAGATGGTTGCCAGCATCGTTAAGCGCCTCAGGGATCCCGACTCTGTTGTCAGGGACGTCTGCGTCAACACCGTTGCCCTTCTCGCCTCCAAATTGGGCCTTTCCCTTCCCCACAAGGACAAGGTCTTTCTCCTCTTGGTCAGGCCCATTTTCGAGGCTCTCGGGGAACAGAACAAGCATGTTCAGTCCGCCTCTGCTCTCTGCCTCGCCAGAATCATTCACAACACTCCCAATCCTCCTCTTTCGCTTTTGCACAAGATGCTCATCAGGACTCTCAAGTTGCTTAAAAACCCTCATTTCATGGCTAAACCAGCTCTCCTTGACCTCACCAGGACCATTATCCAGGTTTCCTTTCTTTCCTTCCTTCAAGTTTCGTCCACACTATTTTTATACACTTTCCCTTTCACCACAATTCAAGTTCTTTTCACTTTTTAGGCTGGGGGTGCTCCTACGCAAAACATTCTCTCTGCTGCTATTGGCAGTATTCAAGACGCCCTAAAGCAGAGTGATTGGACCACACGCAAAGCAGCTTCCGTGGCACTGGCGGAAATTGCTCTCAGCGGTGCTTCTTTCTTGGGATGTTTCAGGGCTTCCTGTGTTCAGTCCCTTGAGTCGTGTCGTTTTGACAAGGTGTGCTTTATCATATTCAACTTATGACTCAATTTATTACATTCTTATTCATACTTGGTTGTATTATAGGTAAAACCAGTTAGGGATGCTGTTTTGCAAGCGCTAAAGTATTGGACAACTCTTCCGGCTCCCGATACTCCTGAGCCTTCTGAAACTGGATCCTCCTTAAAAGGTTCACCTATGGTGTCTCTTTCTTGGACAATAATACTTGATATTTTATGTCAAAAATAGACACCCAATAACTTGCTCACCTTGTCGTCATCATTATCTATATTGTGAATTTTTTATGCGCCCTTCTGATAGTTATCCTTTTATTCATCGACATGCTTTCAATTATTGTTGTTTATGTTGTGTTCTGCTCATGCTTTTCACAGAAAACATATGCAGAGGTGACGCCTCTGATCTTAGCAGTACGACTGAGTCCAGACATCAAAAAGTTAATATGAAATCAACTATGGGAAGGATTCCTTTGTCTGTTAAAAAATCATGTCAAAATTATACCAGGAACACTGATCATAAACCTGATGATTGGCATGTTGAAGTAGCAGTCCCCAGACCCCACTCCGTGGTGGAATTCCAGAATGAAGAATCAGAGAGTTGTTCTGTCACTAAGCCATTGGAAACGATGAGTGCTGACGTTACGAGCATACAAGATGTTGGTTATGATTATGTGCCCATGGATGACAAGCAGGAGTGTTCTTCTGTCTCTAATCTAGCCTCTGATAACTTTGAGACCAAGTTTTTATCTGCTTCTCATGACTGCTTTATAAATAGTGAAATACAGAAACCAGTTTCAAGAAGCCAACGGTATAGTGAAGAAATAAGTTCTGATGAACAAGTGTACTCTGTAAAGATGCAACAGCCTAGAAGATCTGATTCTACAATCACAGAGCCAAGTCGCCAAACTACACATGAATGCTGTATGCAAATGGCAAATGAAGTGATTTTTATTCAGAATCAACTTTCAGATATTGAAATCAAACAGGCTAACATGATGCACCAATTACAGGTATTATACATACGTATATCCATAGCATGTGATTCTAAATTCTTCACTCTAGTGTTGCTAATCAGTTTCCTCTATGCGATGGCTTCTTGAGCATAGGCTTCGTTGTTGTTTCTTTTTCTAAATAGTGTGAAACTGCTGAAGTACCTGAGTTAGTTTTGCATGTTTCTTTCAGTCGTGTACCAATAACAAAGGGAATGAACTGAACACCTACGTAAAAAAAATATGAATTCTGTAATTTCTGGCACACAGAAATAGACATACTCTTGTTATATTGAACTTTTAGTATTTTTTGTTATGCATCACACAGCATATGAGACACCTTTTATTTAGCATACTGCCTAATATTTTTCAGATGTTTACAACTGGCATAATGGATGCTCTTTCTACAATCCAGTCAAGAATGACAGGCTTAGAGAATGTATTTGATAGATTAAGTCGAGAATCTTTGCAAGGAGGAAGACACTCTTATTCTGAAACCTCTAAATTAGGGAGGCAGAGTGAAAATGTTGCTTCTCCCAGGTTCTCCATATGCACTCCAAGGCCAGCTGTAGAGATTAATAAGCAATCAGGCTCTATGTCAGTTAAAAATTCTGAAAGTTGGGAGAAAAAAACATTTTCAAGGAGCCAACCCAGGATTCATGCTGGTGATAGTTCAGATATGTGGAAAGGTTACAAGGTCAAGCCTGCCAGAAAAGGTACAGAGAAGGATGTTTTCAACAGCTCAGCAAAGGATACAATAAGAATGGGATTGGTAAAAAATAATGGTATCTTCTCTGCTACCAGAACAACCAACGTCAGAAATGGCTGTTCTGAGAGTAACACCAACTGCTGGAAGCATGTAAAACGTCTTGTGTGTGAAGGGGATCTAAACACTGCATATATGGAAGCTTTGTGTTTCAATGATGAGCTTATTCTTGTTGAGCTTTTGAATACGACGGGTCCAGTTATAGAAAGTTTATCAGTGAAGACAATCAATGCTCTTCTGAGCACTTTAGCATCATATCTTCTGGAAGGAAAATTATTTAATATGATAATCCCCTGGTTGCAACAGGCAAGTTCACTTACTCTTATTATGATTAGCACAGCGATCTGCTGATTATCATTTTGAATTCTACATTCCTTTTATTAAGTATAACTAGGAGTCCTTTAAATCAGAAATGCAGAATCAAGGAATGGAGATACTAAAAGTTATCTCGTATTCTTGAGTGGTAGTTGTAGTAAAATGGAATGCCATTCCAGGTTAACTTTAAACTATATATTAAATAGCTTAAATTTGCACAGATCTCAATGATCCTCTGATGGTTATTTACGCTTTTTATGCCACGTGAAAAGATATTGATGGAAACTGATAAATAACTGTCATAAGCAGAAATGTATTATTAGATGTAAGTGTATGAACAACTGGTAGTTATGGTAAAATTTAAGAGTAATAGTGTATTATTAGATCATGTGAGAGTAGATTATGTGTAGTAAATAACTTGTTCTGCATTAATTGTTCTGCGTTACTTCTGTTAGAATTACAAACTGCCTTGCTCAAAAGATGCATTACTCAAACGACAAATAAACCTTTTCCTACTTGATTAAGTCAAGTAAATTGATCAACCGATGCCATAATTGTAAATCATGTCTATAGACAAATTATTGGCTATTGACGATCTTTTGTATTGATTTGATTCCTCTAAAGAGAGGAAACTTAGAAAGTAAGGGTGCATCAACCATTTATTTAACTTATGATAGGTAAAGTTACGTAAGTAAAAATCAGAATACACATTTCCTCACCTCATGTGGGAAGTAAAACCCTCTTTGCGCTGTCCTAACTTTTACCGTAATGCATTTATTTTATATTTTATATTGTCTAGTATATTTAATTGTCCAATATCTTATTTTTGTCTTTGCTGCATTGAGTTTATTCTCTTGATAGTGTTTTACCGTCCAATATGAATTGCTGCGAAGCGTTGTAAAATTAGAACTAGAGAATCAATTACCGATACCCCTGGTTGATGTAAAACCAGGTGAAGCGGGTATAACTAAAATATCAGCAGGTTTCGGGTTTTACAGCTTCACTTTGCAATAATAGAAAGTGAATTGTGTCAATACTAGGTCAAAAAATTCTCACTTTCCTGTAATAAGCTTCTAAGTGGGGCACTCTGTCTTTGAATTTATATGCCTTATACTACTCTGTGCTACCAAGTAACTTTGGGAAATCTGAATCTTTGTGGTAATCTTATTTTTAGATTGTTGAAATGAGTACTACCCATGGACCAAACTGCATTTCTATCTCTATTGAAGCCAAGGAACAGCTGTTATCTGCAATTCAGGAGGCCGTGAACCTGCACATTTTCAGTCATTCCGAAAGAAGGTGTGCTGCCGAATTAGCAATGAAATTACATCATGTATGGGTTAAGACTACTGAAAATTGATATTTGTGTGTGAACAAAAATTCATCTATGTAGCCATTTTCTGTTGGGACTCAGATCTCGTCGATCCTGGTTGAACTCAGCCAGTTCTTGTATGTATTTCGTTAGTGAGTGAGCGTTGGGTTTTGCTAGTATTTCTGGAATTATTCATTTGTGAAGCTTTTATTTATTTTTTTCCTTCTTTTCCGGCTTGGTAGCTGTGTGTAGGCTGATTTGGAAGAAGAGTTTTGCATCTTTGATGATGGATGTCACATTTCTGTTCGTTAATTGAATGCTTGTAGATTTTTTTACATTATTTTCAGTTCATTAATACCGGCGGCATCACTAAAGCTAGATTCTCTTCAAATGCCTCGGCTCTATGATTTGGAAAAGAAAGAAATCAAGGAAAAAGAGACAAAATAACAGAATTTATGCGTACGTGTTTGGATAACAGCAATTTATAAGGAGAAACAACGCAAAAGTTTTGGAGGATCAACATATTTCATCCTTTAAAATCCTCCCGAAAAGAGAACACGTAAATAATGTTAAAGCCAGTTTTGGAGGGTCCACATGAACGGTCTCCCTCGTGTTAAAAAGATTAAGTTATTCATAAAGTGTTCAGCAAGATTATAAGTCCGTTAAATTTCTTTCCCAAACGTGTGTTAATTCTTCCGGTCCTGCTGTACTGATCGTTATTCTGCTGGTACATTTTGTTTTTTATGACCTGCGATAGTTACTGTCGAACATACTTTTGATGATTTTTCAAATTAAAAACAGTTTTGCTTATTGTGGATTATGTATCCGATTCCCTGCGCCAGGGATTTGAACTTCACGGTATTAATCAAACTCAAAGAGATCAATACTAATTGTGTGCAGAAAAAGAAATTATCTTGAAATTTAGTATTGTTATAAAGTATGCTTAGTGTTACAGCCAACGTTCTGCAGAATACTTATTGAAAATCACAATCACACCGATTTATTTTATATGCTGCGGGCAAACACATATTGGTTGAAATATAAATTATACTACACATGTAGGAGTTGATTGATGTGTAGAGCACAGCCAAACCAATTAACAAACACTTAAATTGATGCAAGGCAAGTTGAGTTAAAGGCTTTCGATCCTTAAACTTAATCGTACAATACATGGCGACGATACTCTCCCAAAGCCCATATGGGAAAGATGTTCCGATACGATGAGTAGTTCAGGGTACAGTTCCTCATGAATACTCCGGTGATCTCCTGTCAACCAATAAAATAAAAAATACATATTGATGACTAATACATGTTATGCTGTGCTAATTAAATTTGTTTGTTTTTCTGTGTATGAAATCAACTACCTGCTGTGGGAAATCTCCATCTTCCATTTGTGAATTGATGAGTAACTTAATTCCACGATGTATGGGTGTCGGATCCATCTCAGCCTTTTTTTCAGCAAAATATTCATAATTAGCACATTAAGAAACTATAAATCTGCTGAAAAAGCATTGTTCTTACATTTCAATTCGGATCTCTTGTACTTATTTTTTTAGAAAATGAATATCTAATAGTACTTTATTACTAACCTGTCCTGCATGGATAAGGGACAACAAAGCCCACGAAGTTTGAACTAAGTTTGCACGGTTGCCTTCGAGGTTTGTATAAACCTAAATGACAGAGAAAAACAGGTGAGTATAATTCATAATTATACTTGAATTTGTTTATCTTATTTTGTGGGCATATATTGAAAGCTAAATGAATGTACCTTGTTTTGGCTGGACAAGTAACTCTCTCCCCATCCACCATTGGGAAGCTGCTTTGACAACAAAAATTCACAAGCCTTGCGTAGGGAAGGACTGTTATGGTAGTTCTTTCCAGAAGCAGTTAGTCCCTCTACAGCAAACCAGGTACCATAGGTATAGCAAATACCCCAACAACCGTACCTGTTCAAGTGCATCAGAAGATTAGCATAGAAGAGACAAATGAAGGACACACAACGCTAGACACAATACCATGAGCCATCAGGATTTTGCTTGTTTTCAATGAAATGGATTGCTTTGGAAATACAGTGATCTATTTCCTCTCTTCTGTGCTTTGGGTATAGCTTTCTGAAGAGAACCAGGCCTTGCACTGCTGACCCACTGCATTCCACGTACCTATTTCACATCACGGATCATACCAAGTTAGTAAGTGCAGGCATAACATGTTTGTTTGTCAATTAAATGTCACAAATTGTAATCTTACTCTATCTCAATGAGAGTGTCTTCAAAGAATTCAGTTGGATTCAATTTCTGCAGCACACATAGCATAAGATGCAAGTCGTGACTTAGTTAAAGGCAAAATCCAGCTTTACTGTATTTTCTTACCTCTAACCAACGATAGGCTCTTTGAGGTTCCCACGCAGGGAAACCGCCATTACTGCTCTGTAGAGAGAGGATGACATTAACAGCATCACAGAATCGCTGTGTTTCCATTTTGTCCCCAACTAGATCAGTTGGCATTTCTGATAGAAGGAGTGCAGCCTGTGCATATATACATGTATTATAAGAAGGAAAGAAAGAAAGTGCGTTATGTTTATGGATGGATGAATTGATTAATTTTGGAGAATCTTGCCTTGAGTCCTTCTGCAGTGCAGTCGGAGACTTGCCAACCTTGGTCATGCATTGAGAATGTCCAGCTTCCTTTCGATATGTGTCTGTACATTGCTTTGAAATCACCAGATGGGTTTTCCCTAACCTTCACATAAATAATCAACACCCACCTCTCATTATTTGTTTCAAATCAAGTATTAATTATATTGCATGAGCCAGACAAGTTACTACTTGTGAAGCCTTCACGAACTCGTGTGCTTTCCGAAGTGTAGGCCCATACTCTTCACTCAAATCACAACTGAGTATTGCTTGAATAGCAAATGCAGCATCCCACATTTGGGACCCAAAACTCTGCAGTAACATTCTTCAACATCTTCATTAACACTTCACAAGATTCAAGTTCAACAGCTTCAACATTGACTTGTTCCACAGAGTGACTAAATTAGTAAAAATGGTACCTGGATTTTCAAGCCGTCTTCTGCGAGCCAGAAGTAATCAGGGATTCGGGCTAAATGAAGTTTGTATGCCTCTGAGTTAGGCTCTTCAACCCAACGCGCAATCAGACATAACACCTGTAATTTCCATCAAGGAACCCAAGCTAGCTACTATATTATTCATTAACTAATTAATGGTTATTGATATTAATTTACCTTCTCCACACTTCCAATGCAAAGGTATCTACTGTTCTCATCCTCGTAACGCACATGATTAATTGCGATTTCTAATGCCTTCTGTCTAACCAAAGAAAAGGGCCAGCAATTCAGAAAACGCTCTCCCACGTGATGAAGAAATCCCCATAACATGTCTTGGATCAAAGGATGTGGATAGTACAGATCCTCCTACACCATTTATGTGTCACTTGCATAAATTTGTATATAGTTTCACATATATTAATTAACAAGCAAATATAAACATTTTCTTCACCTTAGCAACAGTGTTCCGTGCTTTATTCCAGTTTATTTGTTCATAAGGCTCATTATACATTTCTTCTCTTAGTGATCTGATTAAGCCAGTGATGGGACCTACGAACCTCTTCCCATATAAATATGACATGGGCATGTAAACCAATCGACAGTAGCACAGCATTTTTCCTGCATATTTAATTAACCAAAATCTCTGAGAAAAGACAAGGAAATGCTTCACACTATACAATTGTAAAAATAAATGTATAAAAAGATGATATAAAATGGTCAAAGTTGTAGAAACCCTGACTCACCTGGATGAATAGGGATGGCTTTGGGAAGAAGCCAAAACTCTGGTGGAAGTGGATTACAGCCACACCATTCATAGACACCAAGTACCTACTCAAAATCATGTTACATGACTCACTCCACTGAACAACATCAACTGAAGTGTGACATATTGATTAATTAGTTATTTTACCGTGACCCAAAACTTTCCCCAGGAGGGAATAGCCACTAAACCACCATGGTCGAGGATCCACTTTCTACCTCTGTACATTGCCTGGTCCACACCATCTTCAAGCCCTTCACCAAGTATCCTCAAGGCAATGTAACTCAGTGCCGATCCAAACATTGTACTGTCACCCTCTATATGGAATCCCCAACCCCCATCTTCATTCTGTCTCAAGACAAAATGCCAACCAGTAATCCATCAAGATCAAAACTTTATTTTCATAAAATTACCAACTCTTCGTCAAATTCCCTCCTTCCATAACACTTCGCAAGTCATAAATTTTATTGATGAAGCTATTTAAATACAAATTTATCAGGTGGTTCAAGTATGTAATCTTTTATAAAATTTTAACATCATCTGTGACTCATTAAATAAATTTAATTTAACATGTAACCTACTTTTTTAAATACTCAATTCATTATCATTACCTCTCCGTATATTAAATAACGAATAATGATCAAAACAAAGTATTATGATAAAGTGGTAAGTATTTTTTATTCACAAAAATATTATAATCTTGATCTAATCTATAATAATAAGATATGATTTTCTTTTATTTTTTTTCACAATAAAAAAAAAGCTTATTGAAGTAAAAAATGTTCTTAACGACGTTTGTTGTCTTAACTCTTGGTTTGTTAAAGGAGGAAGAAATAAATGAAGAAAAAGGTAAATAGGTGAGGAAAAAGAGAAAAAAAAAGTTTTAATTAAAGGCATAGAGAACAAATACAAATAATTATATTACAAATTAATAATAATTTTATAAATAATATATATTTAAAGTAAATTTTGTTCTAAAATAAAGAAAAAACAATTATGTGAAATAGATAATCACTTATATTTCTCCTTTAATTATTAAAACGAAATGAGGTATAATTAACACAAGTGTTTGTAAATAACACATTTTTATTTTAAATGGAACATGATATCACACTTTTTTTTTTAATAATTCATACTAAACTTTACAAGTTCTGCTCTTGTATAATTTTTATACGCACCCATATTTTTATAATATTTACATTTCACCTTTTAACAAATTTAAAATAATTTAATTAGTATAATTTTAAATATTAGTATAATATAATATTTTAATATTAAAAATTAATTAAAAAATCATATATTTATTTTGATACAGACAAAATATACAAATTAAAAAAAAAACTATTAATTATTTATAATAATAAATATGCATTTTTTTAGTTTCATGAAAATTTGTTAAATATGTTTTATCAACTGATGAACGACCTTAATAAAAATTATCATATTTATAATAAACATTATTTTTTATATACTGATTCTCAATATTTTAGAATAAAAAAAGTTTAATCATTTTTTAAATTTTGGATATGGTGAATATTTAAATATTTTTATTTACAAAATTTCAAATATAAAAGGATAATAATAACGAAAAAAAATAGTTGATTTTTGAACCATTAAAAAGAACAAAAAAGTAAAAGGTAAAATCTATAAAATGAAAATAAAGAAATGATTTCTAACTGATGAAAATATTTAGGAAAAATTATATATATTAGATGATTTATTTATTCATAATTTTAAAGAAAAAAATTAAGAAACTCTTATTATTGCATGGATAAATTCCAATTCAATTAATTGTTTAAGAAATTAATGTGCTTTTTATCTGTATGTGTGGACCTGAGACGTTCTATTTTTATTATTCCAAATAAGGAGTTTTTGAAATCAGTGTATTTCTGTGCTCCTTCACTTTGTCGTTATAAACTATTTATAAGACATTCTTTATATAATAAGATAGTACGAATCTTTTTGAGACTTGAAGGAGATCGTCATTTTTTTTTTTTTCACTTAACATTATTTTAACATAAATTTTCATATATAACATTTCAATATTTCTTTTCTTTATTAATGTCTTATTAAATTTATAATCCAGAAATAACATCATTCTATCAATATTTATTTGACTAGCATAATTTCTTAGAGAATTTTTAGGAGGCCGAATTTTAACCTCACTAATTAATATAATTTTAAAAATAAAATAATATTTATTAAATATAATAATTAAATATAAATATATATTTTTTATATAAAATATATATATATATATATATATATATAATATTCTTTTAAAAAATTTATTTATATAATTATATTATTAATATATTTTTATAAATACAGTAAAAACAAATATATTTAATATATATATAATATTTAAATATTTATTTATATTTTTATAAATATAATAAAATTTAATATATATATATATATATATATATATATATATATATATATATCTTTCTATATAACATTTCTACATAAATAAATTATATAAATTATTTAAATATATAAAATAATTTTAATAAGTAAAAATAATATTTTTTATAGAAATATATAAATATTTTTATTATATTTTAATATATTTTTACTATATTTATAAAAATATATTAATAATATAATTATATAAATATATTTTTATGTTATTTAAAAAAATATATTTATATTTATTTCATATAATTATATAAATAAATTTAAATATAGATATATATATAATATTTATATATTTATTTTATATAAAATATATATATTTATATTTAATTATTATATTTAATAAATATTATTTTATTTTAAAAATTATATTAATTAGTTAGGTTGGAATTTGGCCTCATTGAAACCGAATTTCAATAGGGTATGTAAAAATGGTGTTAGTTAAGTAAATATTGATAGAATGATGTTATTTCTGAATTATAAATTTAATAGCATGCTAATCATGTAAATATTGATAGAATGATATTATTTGTGAAATATAAATTTAATAGCATGCTACTAAAGAAAAAAAATCGGCCGTGACTCTCGTAACTCAATCTATGATTTTGGACTCCCAAACTTAATGAACATTTAATATATTTACTTGTATATTTATAATTTTACCCTCTCACTTCCTCCTTATAACTCTCATATAATTTATAATTTTATTCATCTCAAATTTAATGATTATTTAATATATTTAAGTATATATCTACAATTTTATTTTTTTACCATTTTTTATATATATTTATTTATTATTTATTAATAATATATTATTTAACTGAAGATAAATAGTTAAGATTCACTGATGACGGCGGTCATAGTTTGTTTGTGTTTTTGGATCTGTTGAAAAAAGATTATAAAAATATACCTGATGATTATACAAATATCGAATTATTTCCTTCTTGTGTTGAGGCCCTAAGACATCGTCAAGGGATCCTGTGATGTATAATGCCATCACCTGAAAACACTATAATTATTGTTATTAGGCTTCAATGCAATTAATTTCAAAAAGAGATGGATGTTGAAATCGAAGGTGACCAAAGGTTGAAGGAAAAACAAAGGCCCAGCTGATTCCGCGGGCCAGTGACCATCGTGGGCTTGAATTGATGAATAGAAACCGATGGCCCTTCTCATTGTTGTAATCAATGCCTCCCTCGTTACGTCATCTCCCTCTCTCACTTTCACTGCTCCTGCCATGGGCCCACACTGCTTCTCCTTCCTCAGCTGCATAAGAGAGTGGTTAAGTTACGAAGAATGTAATCGTATTTGTACCCACAAAAAACGTCAAATGTCGTAGTTTCTTCTTCTCTGCGTGTGGCAGTTATGAAAGCAAAATGATTAATTATTATTCCTTCCACGAATTTTCCTCGTGATTTTCACATTAATTTATGTACAAAGTGAGAGAGACCGGAAAGAAAGTTGAAGAAAGGAAAGCAATATTAAATATTAAAAGCTACGTATTATTATATTTACAACCAAATTATTTTATTCATTTTTGTTTGTATCAAGTTGATAACTAAAAATTATTTATTTACCTTTATATATTAATGACACACTAATGATTTGTATACTATGATTCATTAATACATATATTCTTTTATTATTTTTCTTCCCATTTTCTCTTTGATGTTTTTAGTTTTAATTTTATTTTTATCTCTTTGACTTCAAAGGATCTTGGACTTAAAATTATTCAAATTATATTTGTGTAAAAAAACATTTTTTTCATAATTATTGATGTTTATCTACTGAAAGATAATTTAGTAAATATCATAATTTATTTTAATTTGATAGAATTTTATGACATACTTAACATGATTTTTGCATTAAAGATATTATTTTTATTATAAATTATAAAGATTGTTAGTACCATGTAAAATTGATGGTTGTTTATGCAATATATTTTGATTTTAAAAAGAAATAATCAGTTTGTTTTTATTTTAGAACGTGGTAGATAAATGAGTATTAAGGGATAACATACAAACTGAAGAAGCACTAACGACATTAACGTAACTATATTTTTAAATGTGACACTGAATATTTTACTTGTTTCTCTCGTCAAAGATTAACCATGAAACATATATCTTCACTAAAGATAAATGGAGAAAAAAAACTACTTTAAAAATAACCACTAATACTCTCTAAATAATGTCATATACGAAGGGTTAGAAAACTATTAAAACACTAATTACTATTGAAATTGAGAAAAGTATTAATAATTTAATAAAATTATATTTTTTTTATAAATACAAAACAAATCATTAAATATATTGAATAATAATATATTTTATATTATTTTATTATTTAAAAAAGTTATAAACATAAATTAAAGTGGAATCATGTTTATAATTGAGAAAAAATATTACATTCTCTTCTTCAAACTCCTCTCTGGACCCTTCATTCTTTACTGTTATATTTGATACTCATGGTAGGCGTAATAAGTTAGTAATTGTTGTGATAAGATAATAAAGGAAATAAAGGAGAAAGGATGATATTTATTAAATGTGAGTGAGTGAATATGGAATAAGAGAGTTAAACAGAAGAAAAGGATGGAAGAGAAGAAGCGAACCTGCATTCTGACGAAGAGATCTGAGCTTTGTTTGATGGAAAATCGGTTTGATGTGAATTGGCGTCGGAGTGTTTCGATCTCAGCGCGTTCTTCAGGAGTTCCTGCATTTGGATCAAAGACCCAGTGTTGACGCCCCACGAAGTTGTTCGCTGATATCAGCCTCTTTCCTCCTTCTCCTATCTTCAACTTCCACATCTCAACTCTCTTCTCTTCCTTTCCCTCTCTATAACACCAACAGATTATATATACAAGTTTTTCGTTACACCTATCTTCAACCATCACAAACTTACGTATAACCTTCCTACAACTTCGAGTATATATAATAAGGATCGTTTGATAGTATAAATTGAAAAGAGTTCCAAATTTCGTTGAAACAATTAATATGTTAAGTAATCTTTGTTAATTCAAATAATATTAATAGTGCAACTCACTTCAATATTTCAGCAAAAGTTATTTATTATATTATCAGTGTTTATTTGTATCACTTTTATTATTAATTAAAAATAATAATATTAATAATTGTTTTATGTCTTTATTAGCGTAACTCATTTTCTTATTACTTTATTTTTAAATTATAATAATTGTTTTTTTAGGTATTGTAAGAAGGTGAAAGAGAACCGTGTATTATATATATATATATATATATATATATATATATATATATATATATATATATATATACTGTGTTTAAAAAAAATAATCGCGTATATAATTATTTTTTATATATCATTATATATTAAAAAAATAGTATGATATATATATATATATATATATATATATATATATATATATAATCACTTATGTAATTCAAATAATGATAAAAAAAAAAAACTTTGACTAGATGAGTTGAAGCCTTGTATAAGGAGAAATCAATTTTATTTTTAGCTTAATTATCTATCTACTTGGTTATTTTAATTGAATAATTTATATTTTATTTCATAATTAAAAATAATTTATTTGAGATAAAAAAAATTGTAAAAGCGGTGACATTTATAGATCAATAATTCTAAGAGAGTTAAACAGTATATTATTAAAATATAATAAATAAATATAAAAGTGTGAAAGAACATAAATAAATAAATAAGAGGTTAAAATTATAAATATTTTTTAGATTATGTTTATTAACATGATAGGAAACATATACTCAAATATTTTAATTAAAGTCTTGAAATTAATAGTGGTGAAAAGAAAATAATTTACCAAATATTTGTGCTTTCTTCTTACTTAGTAACTCTTGTTTGCGCAAGATATTTAAATCTTAAATGTTTAGGAGAGCTTGACAGAAATATCATAGACCAACTTGAAATTTTATATTGAACATTTTTATTATTAGAATTTATTATAGATAATTTCTTGTAAATGCTTGATGGATCACCATTTCCTTATCAATATGCAATTATATATTGTCTTGCTATCCAATAATTTAGTCAATTTATATGAAGATTCAGTCGAGTCCATCCATACCTAGATAATTATCATGATAAAAGTCTATTTTTCAGTAAAGATTTGATATTTTAAATATAATGGCTCAATGATGTAAACTATATACTACCGGTTCAAATTCTCGCATATCTATTATAGGGTAATTTTTTTATATATAAGGAAGTCTTTGATTTCTTGGAAAACCAATAAATAAGATATTGATTTAAGATCATCGTGAAGGGATATATAGAGTTTATTTCTGGCATTAATAAATTATAATGAATTTCTTATTTGTTACTAAGACTTTCATGTCTACCAATAAATCTTATTTTATAATAATCAAAATGTATTAAGCATAGTTATTAATCTAATTTACCACCATCCAATTAAAAATCTTGATATTGATTAACATATTATTAAATAAAATCTCAAAAGTGTCTATATTCCTCTACTCAAATTTTCATCAAAATCTTGTCTTTAGCACTCAAATTCAATCTCCAACTTCTAAGAAGTATAAGAAAATAATCATAATTGCAAATTGTCTTGCACATTGTCTTAAATGATAAATCCTGACCATGAATTTGTGTATGATAATATTTAAAATTTTGTTGGATGATTATATAAAAAATAAAATAGCTATTATATCCTTATATAACTTTGTAATAAAAAGTTTGAGATGTTTATTTTGTTTTGTTATTTCATTGCAATTACATTTTTTTATCCTAAATAATCCAAACATATGATAGAAATCAATTAAAACAAATTATACATTCTACTCAAATTCTAATTAAGATAGCGAGCTTATGAACTAGGAAATATCATAATTAACTATTATCGATAGATAAATTGGTAATCACTTAAAAATAATGTTCAACTTTATAAGAGGAGATTCTAATATATAATTAATTTAAGAGATCAAATTATCAAAGGGATTACTTCTACAAGAAAGAGACACACCTCAACTCATAATTACTCTTATTATTTACATTACACTTTTATTATTCTCTTTATAACTTGATAACTAGTCATTGGTAAATTTAATTTACTTTATTTCTTATGAGAATTGAGATCGTATGTCATTGTTGTATAGGGTATTTTAAATAATATACTTGAGCTCCAAAAAGTATACTTCTTTTATAAGTTAAAATATTTTAAAAATTGTAAAAAATATTTTACATATTTTTTAATAATTTTTTATAATTTTTAATAACAATATAGTATATTAGATAATATATATGTTGAAGTTTTAATTGAAAGAACAATAGTTTCTTTTATATATCCATTTTTAAAGTTCTTTTATAAAAAATAATAAATACAATAAATTTTATAGATATTAAAATATTTGAGATTTTCTATTTTTAATTATTAATATACATAAAGTTGTTTTCATTTTTATTTAATTAACTTTTATATATGTATATACATTAGTATGATTTAAAGAATAGATAAAACAATATGATTTTAAAAATTGGAGTTACCTTAAATTTTTTTTTTTAAATTTAAAACATAAAGGAAACAAATAAATTATTCATTAAAGTAATAAATTGGAAATGGATCATTGTCGACGCGGACAAAGCGATCATAGTATGAATAAATAGGTGGAACCCAACATAAATGTATCTGTTATTCGCTGGAAGTTTCCAGTTGTGTAATTTATTAACCATAACATTGGTTGGTCCCAATTTATAATTGCTTTAATAATAATAATAATAATAATAATAATAATAATAATAATAATAATAATAATAAATATGAAGCATGTTATGAAAATATATATACTAATATTTTGGTTGTCTCACTAAACAAATATATAGATAACAACTTTTAATCAACACGAGCAACTTTTTCTTATTATTTGATTTGGTTATATGATTTTTGTGTTTAAAGTTGTAATTTTAGTTTAATATTGTATAAATGATTCCATATTCCTTTATTCCAATAAATTTGAAGTGCTGGGATAAATTTGAAGTAGTTTAAGAGAATATTGGGTTTGATAAATTTTGATGGATTTAAAAAAATATTAATTAACTTGTTAAGTTTTGTGATTGTAGGTGGAGCATTTATTATGGATAAAAAAATGTTTGAGTAGATTAAATTTGAATGCCACAAATACGAGGGATCTTTAAGTTATTTTGAATGGAAAATGATAATTTCTGAACCTAAATCCATACCACTCTTATAAATAATTCTTTTTTAATATTATAATAATAGTTTTATTTTATTTTTATTTTTATTCAATCATTTTATAGATTATTATATTAATAAAAGTGAGTTGTTTAAAGGGTTGTATGGTTTCAGGTTGTCAAAATATCACCACTACGTTTTCAATCAATCAAATAGAAGAAGGGTTTTCAAAATTCATTAAATACTTGAGAAGAGTTGTATGATTTTGATAAAAAGACATTGAAATAATGGTAGAAGATTTTAGTGGTGTTTATATCCATCTTTGTTTGATGGAGAGGTTATATATTGTAAAACTTTTAAAAATATGTATTGAAATTGGTATTAAAATTAACCAACCAATATGAAGATACAAATGAAATGTTATTAAATTAAAGGAAACATGGGAATGTGAATGATACGGTAAAGGCGGTGATATTAAATGTCAAACTAAGTAATGATTTCAAAAGGGAGGAACATTGCTTATTGCATGTCATGTACATAATAGTTGTAAGAAATTGAAAGCTTTTCCACATGAAATGGAAGGAAAGCGACGTTGACTTGGGTTAGGGTTTGGAGGAGATATCAACCAATGAAAAGGAGGATAGCTTTGAAAATCAAAATTTGAAGATTCTTCACGTAATTATAATTAAAGCCACGTTGCAATCTCATCTTTGACTATAAACGCCCTCAATTTAATGAATTTCTCTTGGTAGATGTTGAAACAGTTATTTAATACATGTTAGTGTCCAAGATTTCTTTTTAGGACTCCATCATGAGATTGATGGAACTTGCAAGTTAATCTTAATTAACAAGTTGTTGAAAGCATTTAAATCTTCACAAATAAATCACACTCAATTGGCTTCTATCAATCTTAATTACAAGAAAGGACATTTTGTTGAAATGTTTTTCTAAAAGCAATATTAGTAAATCTTAACTCTAACCATTTTAATTATGTAAAATTTAGCATCACCATTCTTTGTTTTATAAAATATAGAAATAGAGATTGAAAAAAATTACTCTTGGTTTTTCCCTCTTTTAGGGGGTACATGCAGTGATATTGCATGTGACCACTGATCTTTTGGTAACAGACAAAATAAACTGAGAATATATATATAGGATTGACCAAAATTGCATATTTGAAAATTTTTGGTGCAGAGCCATGCATGCATTAAATCAAATTTAAAATAGATTTCATTACAACATATCTTTATAACAAAAATCACGGGATTAATTTCTTAGTTTGAATAAAGAATTTTGATTTCTTCCATCACGTTTAAACTTTACAAATTATTATATTGTTAATAACTTTAAATAAAAAAATTATTCGATCTAATGTTAATATTATATATATTATCATAAATATTTATGTATTATTTTGAAGATTGAAAAATAGTGAAAAAAATATCTGTGTTGTATTTATAGTACAGTTAAAAATATATATTAGATCAATTTTTATTTATATTAACGAGATATTAAATAGTTTTAATTAATATGCAATTATATAACCTACGTGAAATGCATTTTTAATATAATAAGGAATATGAAAAATAAAATTGAGTTAATCGAACAATATTATTGTTTCTTCGATTATATATCAATAGAGACCTAATTAAATATGTCAAATCAATAAGAAAATATAAATATTAAAAATGTAAATATGATAAAATAGTATGAAAATTTTTAAACGTTTTATTTTATAAATAAAAATAAAAATTCAATAATTTTAATTAAATTATTTCATACATTTTTTAAATTTAATTTCTTTTAAATTTCTCCATTCAAATAAAATATTTAATAATAAAATATTTCTTTGTAAAAATCAATTATGTGCTCTAGAAATTTTTCATCAAACCCTATAATCTGTTCCTATATTTTTCACTTATTTTGTATCTATCTTTATTTTATTTTTCTTCTCTTGACCAAACATTCCATAAGCTTTTTACTAAATAACACTGAAATATATGAATAAACCATTTTTATTCTAAATAATTTGAAAGTTTTGAAATTATTATACCATATAGGGAGGAGATCACTAGTGTGTTTAAAGTGTTGTATTAATAATTACTTTCTAAATCATGAATACTCTGTATTGATATATGATTGTTTCAAAAATTTAAATTATTTAAGTATGAAATATTATTAACCCAATTATACATGTATTTGAGTAATATTGTAAAATTAATTTAAATTTTTAATATATAAACTATAATTATTTATCTTTTATAAGTTATTTTTATCACCTATAATTTTTTTTAGTGTAGCGTAATCTAGAGTCATATCAAAATTAATTTATATAATTTGTGGTTTTTTTAAACACACACCAAATCAAGTTTGACCTCCAAAATAATACTATATTAAAGAATTTATGATTAAAATATTTCATAAATTTTTAACATTTCACTTCATTAATATGTCCTCAAGTAGTTTCAGCTTTTAGCAAGATGAGAATAAATTATAATTTTACCTTACACATTTTTATGTTTCTTTGAAAAGTAATTAAAATAATATGAAAAAATATATTTCTGAAATTACTTAAAAAAACCAAAAATATAGTTGAGAAAATACATTTTGGATTGCAAAGAGAGAATTTTAAGAAGTATTCTATGGGAAACTTTTTTCTCTTTTCAGAATTACTTTCCATAACATAGTTTTATTTTTATTTTTTTAATATTTCATAAAGTACTTTTTAAAATATATTCAGAAAGTACTTTCCAAAATGTTACAAAATAATGTTTTGAAGAAAGTGCATTTCAAACTGTAAAAAAGTGTTATAAAAAGTACTTTCTTATTTCTCTTTATAAATTTTGAAAGATACTACTGAAGCATATTTTGAATTTTTTTTTTAACATTAAGTATTTTCTAAAAGTTGAAATTTAAAGATAATATTCTAGAAAGTACTTCTCATAATATTTTAAGAAGATTACATGTTTAAAATACAAATTGTATAAGTGATTTATATTATTTTTTACTATATAAATGTGAAAAAAATGCTAAATTTAATGATTTTTTTATATAATTAAATTTAACGTTAATTAGAAAAGTACATTTAAAACATAATTTTAATTACAAATCTTGTGAAATATAAAATAATAATTAAATATTTAATTATTTTGTTTTAAATAACTTTTTATATATGTTCTAATTTATCTTATATAAGTTAATCTTCAGACAAGATTTTAGTAGAATAAAAAGTGACTGCTCACATGATCAAAACCGTGTGATCAAGGAAATGAAATTTTGCGGGAAGCACATAATTTTATAAATTCTTATTAATTCTCTTCTAAACAAACAAAAGGAATAACCAAAACTCATCCTAAATTCTGGCACCCTAAATCTCTTCCTTGTAAATCAACCACAACAAACAAAGACTTAACCTATTTGTACTGTAAGCAGGTACATACAGAGCATTAGACTATTATCTCATTCCATTTTGGTTTCAGAGCTATACATAAGTGCATGCAAGTATTGCATACACAATCTCCTATTACAACTCAGAATAGAGTAAATAGGAACCAAACAATAGACATGTCTCCATTTAATACTTTTTCTTCGTAAGAAAGAAATGAAACACACATACACAGCTATATATTGTCAACTTCAACTACCTGAGTCCCATATTCCCTTCTAATTATCAGTCTATGCTCTTCAACTCTTTTGTTTGTTTTTCCAGAATCAGTCAGCAGTCATTGGTTGTGTCATGCAACATCTAAATCGGGCCTTCCGAACAGTTGTCATGATCTCAGTCTCTGCATTCTCAAGCATTCCTACAATTTCAGTAAATGGTGGCCTGACATCAGGGTTGGGATCCCAGCATCGTGTCATGATCTCCCGGAGAACAGGTAAACAGTCATTGGGTATGATTGGGCGTACGTTTTTGTTCACAACTGCAAATGCTGCCTGTACAGCTGTCATATTCTGAAATGGAAGCATTCCTGTGATGAGTTCCCATAAAACAATCCCAAAGCTATATACATCCACCTTTTGTGTGTACGGCCTATGCTGGATCATCTCCCTGCAGCAGATCATAAAATAATAGATTTAAGTATGATGTCAACTAGTACTCTTCTAATTAAAAACAAATATATAAAACAGTGACCAATTTTACATCAGCAATTCAAATAAGCTGGTTCATATTAACCATAGGTATATGGGTAATCAGCATCTGGATTTTAAGGGGTAGTAGAAACATAAGAATGCAAGCTGACTCAGGTATTCTCCATGTGGCTATCAAGTACTGCCTAGTTTTGACAAGAAACAATATCTAAAAGGTCATTCACTAAATAGAAGATACAGTTAAGAAATTACGACAATAGGATTATACCTTCAAAATACATTCTTTATTATTCTTGTAAGAATTTTCAATTCATATGATTATCAATATTTATTAAGTTGAGTGCAAAACACAATTTTCAGAGATCTATCCTTAAATTTATTCTCAAGTTGGGGGGTATATGAGCAGTCTCATTCTTTTTTAAGCTAATAGTTCCTCAGTACTTCCACTCTGTCCAGCAGATTCTAAATCCTCAAAAGTTCTTTTACATGACATCATTCTCAAATTTTTCAAAAAATTCCTAAGTATCTGGTTTCAAATCAGAAACTGAAAAGACTCAGAAATGTCATCAAATCTGTTCGGAAATTAGCCTATTTAAAACAGAGACTAATTACATGACTTACTCATGTAGCTCAAGCCCATTGAAGAACTTTATAATGTTCTTAGATGCTGATTCATAGTAAGAAATAAGACAACTTGTTAAGTTGTTTGTGGTGTTGATCCTACATAGTTTGCATTTAGATTTTTTATCATGAATTCTGACTGGTCAAGAAATCTCCTCGCTTACGACTTAATTACAAGACTTTTTTCATGTTCCTACTCTTGTAAAAGGGGAAAATCCAACCAAAGTGATTAATCTTCTGCAATGGAATCTTCCCAAGGAAGAGGTCATGAAGACTGGACAGGAAAAGGAGGTAGAGGTGGTCATCCTCAGTGTTTTTTATTGCAAGAGGATGAATCAAACCCAAGAAAATTGCTACTGTCATCATGGCTTGTCAGAAAAGACAGCAAATCTATCAGAGTTTGAAAAAGCTAAAATAAAGGTCCATGAAGATTACCTAGAGCACCTTCAAAAAAAAAAAAAAAAAACTACAAATAAAGTTTAGTTATCTTTTAATCCTAGGCTTTGAACAGCATGTGTTTCTCAATCAACTGCTAATTAAACTTTGCGGATTCTTGACACAAGTACTTCTGATCACATAGCTAATAATGCTTCTTTATTTTCTTCCATGACACCCCTTAAATTTCCTCACCTTATCATCTTAGTAGATGAGTCTGGAATTGTTTTCAAAGGAATTGGTCAAGTCTCTTTATCCCTGATTGTGCCTATAATTTAATCTCTTTAAGTCAATTGCTAAGTCCTTAAATTGTTCTATAACATTTGATTTTGATTCTTTTATCATTCAGGAATGTGATCTAGGTCAGATAATTGGCATAGCACATGAATTTGGGGGACTTAACTATTTTGAATCAACCATTTCTATCATGTGTTCCTTTTTTGCTTGGTTCTCTAGGACTGCTTGGCTCACCCAAGTTTGTCAAAGTTGAAAATTTTGGTTGCAAATCATGTTAGGTCTTCTTTCTCAAACAAACCGAGAAAAGATATTAGTCAGATTTTATTACCTTTTGTTTGAATATTTGGGATCCAAGACATGTGATATATTTTGATTTCTAATATCTTGTTACATGAATTAATGAATGAACTTTTAACCACTCTTGTATATTTCTCCAATGAGATCAAGAACTAGTTTGAGAAAATTATTAAAATTATTAGAAGTGACAATGTCAAATAATATATTTCCTCTAAATTTTTATCTTGTCTTATATGTGCATTGATGTAAAATTCCCTTATAAGACAAGATAAACGTTTAATGAAAAAAGTACATTTTAATGCAAACATTTTGTCTTAAACGTTAGGGTGCAGACATTTTGTCTTAAAAAACAGACATGTAGTGGAAACTGCCCGCACCCTAACGTTTAATGCAATTTTTTGCTTGTTTTTTTAACTAAATAGAATGTCCTCTTCTTCTCTTGGAAATATAATTCCTCACTCAATTGTTCCATGAACATATTTATTTTATATTTCTCCTTGAATCTTTGGGCTACATGTTGTGTTCATGATGTTTCAACAAATTTGGATAAGCTGTCTTGTAGAGCTATAAAATGTGTTTACCTAGGATATTTTCACTTCAAAAAGAATATAAATGTTACTCTCCAAAGACCAGAATGTATTACACGTTTGTACTCCCTTTTTCCCATCCTCCACACAAGAAACTACTTCAATAGCTCAGAGGAAAATTAGCCTCAATCTCCTCCAAACAGTCAACTGGAGTTATTTTATCGCCTCTCAACACCTGATATAAAGAACTAATCCCGTAATATTTGAAGAGTCACCTGATCCTGTCCTTCATCATTAGCCACCCCTACTACAAACCTAAAAATGATAACTCAGGCTGACCCATTGTTCTTAGGGAAGGTATTCAGTTTACTAAAAACCCTCATTCTCTTTACAATGTTTAGATTTATCATTATTTATCTACTTCATATTTCTCCTTTGTTTCTTCTAAATCTTCCCTCTATTTCTAGAAATGTTTTGGACACTTAATCCTAAAAGTAAGTTTTGGACACTTATTCCAACTAATAACTTCCAGAAAATGTGATATTATCTAACGGTATGTGGTAATTATAGTTGAAAGTTAAATATTATTAAAAGATTATTACACATCAAAAGAAAGTTGATTGGTAAAGAATGAACTAGTTTTTAAATTATATGAAATTCAGTAAATTTGACCTATTTAATGAGAACTTTCAAATTTCAATCCAACCATTGGATTGATGAACTTCAATGTCCATAAAGAAGTTATTAAATGGAATGAGTGTGTTAGAATAGTTATTAAATCTATGTGTAATCATTAAGTCTGAGTAAGAGGTAATGTGTTGGAAACACTTAAAAGTTGTACCTAGTTTTGTACCTAGGTGTCTATGCTCTCTTGTATCAGATTTTTCATTATAAATCGAAGATGATTAAGAGGGGTAATCAAGCCCTCCAAACTATATTTTCCTGTTTCTTAACGTGTTGGTATCAGAGCAAGTTGATTATGCTTTGCCTGTCTCAGTCATCTCCAGAGCCACCTTCCGCCACCATTCACTGCCGTCCGCTGGCATCCGCCATCACAGTTTTGTCCGGCGACCACCGGATCTGAATCGCCTTTCCAAGTGATGGCCAACCCTGCCGGTCTCGGAAGCTAGTTCCCTTCCACGCGCCTAATCAAAATCGGTGCATTCAGGCGCGTGTCACACACACTATCCCCTACTCCAACTTAATGATTACACATAGATTTAATAACTATTCTAACATAGTGCAACAAGAAGCCCAGCTCCTGAATTAAATGGACCCCACCCATATCACTCTTTATTAGAACCATTTTTTTTTTTTAAGATAAATTTCAGAAACATAAAGCACGAATGTTCATTAAAATTATTATCAAAAGAAGAAAGGAAGCTAAAGAATCTTACGGAGCCATCCAGCGGTATGTTCCAGTCTCAGGCGTCATTCCTTCAGTTTGCACCTCTATCCGTGCAACTCCAAAATCAGCAATTTTAATTGATTTGTCACTAAAAATCAAAAGATTATCAGATTTTAAGTCCCTGTGGATCAACCCAAGACCATGAACATATGCCATCCCCCGTGCAACATCTAAAGCTTGTTTAACAGCCAATTTGAGGGGCACTGATCGATTTTGTCGCTTCATTAAAAATTGCCGAACTGAACCCCCTTTGGCATATTCTGTAACAATACACCATACCATTGGCTTATGGCATGCACCAATAAAACGAACAATGTTAGGATGTTTCAGTGTAGCCAGCATCATCACCTCCTGCTGAAACTGTTGTTCCATCAACTGGCCTTTTGCTGAATCATTTTCAGGCCTCTCTAAGATTTTGATAGCAACATCCTCGTTATTGTAAGTACCTCTGTAGAGTTTTCCAAAAGCTCCTTGAGCAAAAGCCTCACCCATAATAAGATTCTTCAAATCAATTGTCCACTCATCAAAATTGCGAAGCCCCTCAGTTGGGGAACTACTGTCCATTAGAGCTTGAGCCAAAGCATCATCACTCAAAGCATGTGTGACTCTTCCTCGATGATTGACACTGTATGCAATGGAGTAATTATCACTGGCCCGTCTCCGTAACCCTTGGTGGTTCAATATGCGAGTATGGGAATCATTGGACCCAACACTGCTATTATCAATGGACATTGCAACAGATCCTCCACCATTACTTGTTTGCAAGCTACCAATGCTGTCAATTGACATATTGGTTCCCTCCTCAAGCTTATGATAAAAGCCTTGAGAGAAATCATAGTAGTTATCGTTGTGTTTGTTGAGGTCTATTATTCCAGAGAATTTTGCACCACCTTCCAGCATCTTTCACGGTAAAGAAACGTTTGGAGTCTCTTTATTTCCTCGTCATCAGAAATTCTAAATTAAAACACCTGAAAAAAACCCTGAAACCAAAACATGCAGCAGAAACTTATTTGAATTTATAACATTCAAATACAACAACAAAGGCACTCCATCTTCAAAATTACCCATAATCAATGCACAATTGTGCATGTACAAAAGTGCAAACAAAGACTGAACTTCCAACCTTACAGAAGAAACAGGAGCTGACATAGTAAACTTTAGAAAATAAAACAAAGACTATATCTAAACCCGTAGATTGTTTCCACAAATCAAATTAATCGAAGATAATGTTTTTGTAATAAAATAGGATTTGAATGCATAGGAACGAAGTGGTTCGTCATGACATGAACAACAGCAGAGTGATCTTAGAAAGAAAAAAGCTGGAGAGATGAAAAGGAGCAGAAATCTGAAGGAACCCTAAAATTTGGGCAGCTGAACCAGAGATGGGAGTGCGTACCTGGATGGAGAGTTCCGACGCATCAGCGGTAGATGAGATCGAGTAGGGTGAAACCAAAAATAGAAATCAAAAAAGTAGATTGAGTTCCAAGTCCAAGAAGAAGACTAAACAACAAGGATGACTTTTTTTTTTTTTTTTTTAAGCTGTGTTGTGTTGTGTCCAATATTTTTTTCTTTTTCAGTTTCATTCAAATTATTTTTAATTTTCAATTGTGAAATTAATTTTAATTTAATATTTTTATAATTTTCGTTACATTCCTAGTTTTGAAAAAATATTGATGATTAATACCTTAAATTTATTTACCTTACATTAATACATCATTTTGTAGTGATTAGTTATTTATTTAAAATATATGTTATTACTAAATTAAAAACTAAATATATATCATTTATAATTCAAATAAATACTTAATTTTATCCATATTATGAATATTATTTAATTCCATTTAATTATTGTATAAAATAAAAAAATTCTAAATTACTTTTAATTACATGAAGATGATATACACGTCAAATATAAGAATATTTTTAAAATAATAATATAAAATTAAGTTAATTATGTTTTGTGTATATATAAATTTAGTAAATATGGTATTTTTTATTGTTGAGTAGAAAGAAAAAATAAATACGATAAACTCTTTTGAATTACTAACATAAAGATATAATAAAATAAAAAGTATTTTAGAAATTTAGAGAAATATATATGATAAATTAATAATTTTAACCCTTTTCTTTTTCTATTTTTTACGCTTCTCCATAAAAAATATATATAATATCTAAATTTATATATTTAGAAATATTTGTTGGTGTAAATTTTTTTCTTATATTTTTTATGATATTAAAAGGTGTGGGTAAAATTTTAAATACTTGTTTTTCATTTATTATGTATTAATGCATGTTTCTATTTTATGTTTAAAATTGTATTTTGGAAAAATTGTATTTTTTAGAACGAGATTTCGGATATGAAAAATTCAATTAAATTTTTAATTTCGAAACATTAATGTAAATAGGTGAAAAATGAAGCTGTATATTTCAAGAGAAGAGCAATACATATTGATTATTAGGAAATAAACTGAGATTTAGAGGAAGAGATAAGATAGGAAATGTTATTAATGAAACAAGTTATGAACCTTTATTATATAAAAGAGGTAAAAAAAATAGTAGATATATTAAATGAGAGAGATTTATCACCTTAAGTGAACAGAGATAGAGACGCATTTAATTAAGAAAATATGTAATATGTTATGATGTAATTAAATATATTTGATATTATTAGGTGAATATTGATAAGAGGAATAATGTAATCTAATTTTTTTTTTACTATTTTTCTTTAGAGATATTGTTTTCATGTATGGTGTAGATATTTATTTTTTTTATTATGTGTAAATGAAATATATTTTATACCAATAATATTCATGCTTTCACTAAAGAATACTGATGTAATAAATTGACCGGAAAAAATACTCATATTTACAATCCTTTTATTAGTAGAACTTGATGTGTCATAAGAAACTTAACGTAGTTTTTTCACAGAGATAAACTAGTATAAAATATTGTATTTGTTTATTTTTTTATTTATTATCTAATTTTTGAACTATATTTAAAATATTTTATAAATTGTTTGAGAAAACTATAATATTACATTTTATATCATATGAACTCATGGCAACACTTAAAGTGTGTTGTCTAGGAATTATACACAAACTTGTTATTTAAAAATTATCCAAAAATTGTGTCTTATTGTAACATTTTAAGGCAACAATTCTAAATAAAATTGTTTGGTCTAAGGAAAAAAAATTACCTTCACTTTTGTTTAATTGATTAATAATTAATAATAAAAGCAAGATAATATAATATTTTTATAGATGTTAGTATTCTTCTGTTGGTATTTTCTGAATAATGAAACACAATCAATCATATAGAAAAATATTATTATATTACCTTCCATCCAAAATTTTGAGATTAAATTATGAGTTTTTTTATTGGTATGTTACACAAATTTCTTATTTGTATTCAATATAAGATTTTAAATCATACTTGAATTTTCTCTATCACATTTTTTACTTTCACTTAGAGCAAAAACATTTCTATTTAATTTAATGGGTTTTGTTTGCTTAAAATCCTTTTTTTATCACTTACTTCAATCTAAGTACCACTACTAGGTATTCCGAGGAGGGCTAATAGAGGAAGATTATTATGAACGAGATAAAATCAATCATATAAGAAAATACTATAGGACCTTAAATCCAAAATTTTAAAATATTAGATTATAAGTATCTTTTATTTATAAGTTATTCGACTTTCTTATTTATACTTAATGTAGGATTTTACTCACTTGAATTCTCAACCACATTGATTTACTTCCTCCTCTAATGGAAACATTTTCATTCAACTAAGTGGGATTTACTTACCTAAAACTCTTGTATATCACCTACTCCAATTATACTTAAGTAAGTACTTCTGTTGGGTATTTCCTAAGAGAGCTAAAATAGAGAGATTATTATATGAATGAGACGTAGTCAACTATAGGGGTGTCAAAGTGAGCAAATCCAGTTCACACGGGTTGACTTACCATAGGCTGAGTTGAAAATAGACAAGTTCAACCCGGCTCACTTTATGGCGAGCCAAAAATTTCACAACTCGGCTCAAACCATTATGGGTTGGTGGGTTAGATGCGTTGGCTCACTAACCCACATTTTTTTTTTGTTTTTTTCTAATATAAGCACGACTAAATAGCGGGATGAAATGTAAATGGAATTTATAGAATCTGTAATTGAAATGTCAAATCCAGCAAACAGAGTACAATGAAATCAACATTAACCGATAAAATTCCAGTATTCCGAGCACGCAAGAAACCTGAAAAATAAGAATTAATATCTTTTAGTGGAAGGAATTTGATAAGAGGGAATCAGGATTCTAAAAGTCAGATAGAAGAGAGTTTTATCAGAGGAGAGTGTATACTATTTTTCCCTCCTTAATTCCATGCGTAATCCTTGTATTTGTAATTGTGTTTCCTTTCACGAGTGCTGCGCCTGATCCCCACTACTTCTGTATCATTTGCCACGTGTCCAGATGCTTCAACTAACTCTCCCGCCAGCTGTCTCTTCCTTATGCACGTTACATTACCCTCCTCATCAACAACAACCTTGTCCTCAAGGTTAAAATGAGGATAAGAACTTTGAATATCACTCAAATTCTCCCACGTGGCATCTGAAGAATCTGTCACATCCCATTGAATTAAAATCTGAGGCACTAAACCATTATCACGCTGTATCATTCGAGCATCAAGCACTGCTACAGGTTGAATTATTGGTCCCAACTTACTGGAAGTTAATGGAAGGGGCAAATACTGTTGAGAAGTATTGCCACGAAATTTCTTAAGTAATGAAACATGAAACACAGGGTGTATTCTTGCTGATTCGGGAAGTTGGAGTTTGTAAGCTACATAACCAATTTTCTGCAAAACTTCAAAAGGTCCAAAGAACCTTAACCCAAGCTTAACATCCTTTCTTAGTACTACAGAATGTTGCCTGTATGGTTGCAACTTAACCAATACAAAATCACCCACTTGCAATTGTACGTCCTGTCTTTTCTTATCAGCCTGCTGCTTCATATAATTTTGAGATTTGAACAAATGTTGTCTTAGTTGAGTAAGCAAGTGATCCCTAGCTTTCAGTGTTTCTTGTAAGGAAATAGGATCGGAAGCTTGAGATTCATAACGAACAACAACTGGAGGAGGTCTGCCAAATACTGCTTGAAAAGGAGTCATTCCTAAACTGTGATGGAGGGAGGTATTGTACCAGAATTGAGCCCATGGTAACATAGAGACCCAACTTTTAGGATTATCAAAGACGAAGCATCTTAAGTACATTTCAAGAGTCTTGTTAAGGTTCTCTGTTTGTCCATCAGATTGTGGATGATAAGATGAACTCATTGCTAAGGTAGTCCCTTGAGCCTTGAATAAGTATTTCCAAAAGGCACCAATGAATACGCGATCTCTATCAGAAATAATAGATTTAGGGAACCCATGGATCTTGACAATATTGGAAATAAAAGCTTCAGCTACTGATTTGCTATTAAAATCTGATTTCATAGGAATGAAGTGACCAAACTTTGACAGTCTATCAATGACGACAAAGATAGTGGTAAAGCCTTGGGATGCAGGCAAATTAGTAATAAAATCCATTGCTATTTCTTCCCAAATTTGATGAGGAATGGGCAAGGGTTGCAGTAAGCCAGCAGGGACCATATGATCAGTCTTGGCTTGTTGGCAAACAAGACACTCATTCACAAACTTTCTAATATCGTTCCTCATATGAGGCCAATAAAATTGAGCAGCTATCCTTGCGGTTGTCCTTCTAACCCCAGCATGTCCACCTATTTTAGAACTGTGAAATTCCAGCATCACCTGTTGTAATAAGTGCATAACTTCTGGCAATACAATTCTATTTTTGAACAACAGTAACCCCTCATGAACACTATATTCTGCTGAATGTAATTTTACCAACAAACAATCCTGATAGAGTTTAAGCCATTTGTCATCCTTTTGTGTGAATTCAATTAACTGATGAGACCAATTAGCAATAGGTTCAGAGAAAGCCATAAACAAACTTCTGGAAAGAGCATCTGCTGGAACATTTTCCTTACCAGGATTATACTGGATGGTAAAATCATAACCTAAGAATTTAGGTAACCATTGTTGTTGTTCAGGTGTTTGTAGGGACTGATTTAATAACTCTTTTAAACTTTTCTGATCAGTCTTGATAATGAACTTATGACCCAAAAGGTAATGTCGGAACTTAGCAATTGCTTCAGTAATAGCATAGAATTCTCTAGTGTAAGCAGATTGTTGCTGCATCCGATGTGAGAGTTTCTTTGAAAAGTAGGCTATAGGATGTTTTTCTTGACTGAGGACAGCACCTATGCCCGTTCCAGAAGCATCGGTTTCAAGGACAAATGGAATTTGGAAATTCGGAATGGCTAAAACTGGAGCAGAAGTCATGGCGTGTTTCAATTGATTAAAAGCAGTAGCAGCTAATGGGGTCCACTGGAAAGCATCTTTCTTTAGTAGATCTGTTAAAGGTGCGGCAATTTGAGCATATGACTTAACAAATCTTCTATAATACCCAGTAAGTCCAAGAAATCCCCTTAACTGTTTGATATTAGCAGGCTGAGGCCATTGTTGAACAGCTTCTAATTTAGAACTGTCCATGGTAACACCATCACCCGAAAGTGTGTGTCCTAAGTAATCGATTTTCTGAACACCAAAAGAACATTTAGAGAACCGAGCATACAATTGATGTTGTGTCAAAATACGTAAAACCACTTCTAAGTGATTTAGATGATCCTTCCATGTAGTGATATATATATCAATATATCATCAAAGAAAACCAATACAAACCTCCTTAATAATCCAGCAAAAATGTCATTCATGAGGCTTTGAAAAGTAGCAGGTGCATTGGTCAACCCAAAGGGCATAACCAACCATTCGTAATGACCAAAATGGGTTCTAAATGCAGTTTTAAACCTGTCCTCAGGATTAAGCAAAATCTGGTGATATCCAGATCTTAAATCCAATTTTGAAAAGAAGGAAGCTCCATATAATTCATCAATTAATTCATCTACCGTTGGAATTGGAAATGTATCTTTGATGGTAATGGCATTTAAAGCCCTATAATCAGTACATACCCTCCATGAACCATCCTTTTTTTTTACTAGAATAATTGGGGAAGAAAAAGGACTCTTACTTGGCCGAATAATGCCTTCATCCAACATTCCTGTCACCAGCTTTTCCATTTCTTCCTTTTGACTATGCGGATATCTATAAGGCTTCACTTTGATAGGCTGTGACCCTTCCAATAAAGGAATTGAATGATCATGAGACCTTGGTGGAGGAAGTGTAGTAGGAGTGTCGAATACCACGCTATAAGTATGTAACAATAGAGCTAACTCTGGCTCCATATCAATAGGTAGTTCCAAAGGAGAACAAGAATGAGAGTTATCTTCTATTAACTGCATACTATACACCTCAGCAATAGAATCTGTATGAATCATTCTTCGAATATGATGAAGTTGAGCATGATCAGGTGAAACATTAGAATCTCCCTTCAAAGTAGTAAACTTACCATTCCACAAAAATTTCAGTTTTAGTTCACCATAATCAGCTATATGAGGTCCGATAGTCTTTAACCAGCTAGCCCCAAGAATCAAATCAGCGCCAGAGATCGGCAATAAGAATACTGGGAATTTAAACGTATTCCCTTGAGCTTGCAGTGTAAGATCCTGTATAACACCCTTAACAGTCATATAGTTCCCATTCCCAACCATTACCTTAAATACGGTAGCAAGTTCAACAGGTAATTTCAAAAACTTAGCAACCCTGGGCTGCAAGAAATTATCAGAACTACCCCCATCAACTAGAACTGAGACTGGCATTTTATCAATATAAGCCATAAATCGTATAGTGCCAACTCCACCCCCACCTTTTAATGCATTTAAAGATAAATGATGATCATCAACCTCATGGGCCTCAATCTCAGTAACAGATTTAGACTCATTAGTGGCAACAGTGTCATCACACTCATCGGCTTCTAACTGTAAAAACATGAATTGCCTATTTGGACATTTATGAATAAAGGTAAATTTATCATCACAAAAATAACATAAACCTTTTTCTCTTCGAAGTTGCATCTCAGCAGAACTTATTTTCTTAATTGCAGAATTTCTCAATGGAGGTCCTGGAGGAGTAGGTAACAATGGAGGTAAATTTGTCTGAGAAGCAGGCTTAGATGGCACATTAGAGTTGTGACTAGTTGAAGAAATACGAGAATATCTAGGAATATAATTATTGGTAACATTTTTTGGCACAGGTAGATATCTGTCTTCAAACAATTTAGCTAAAGCCACAGCCCTTAACAAGGTAGGAGGAGACATCGCAAGAACATCACGTTTAATTTCAACATGTAAACCACTTAAAAAGCAATTCAAGCAAGGCTTCATCGAGTAAGACCAACAGATCGATTGGCCAATGACATAAATTTCATGTAATAATCCGAGACTGAACCTGATCATTGCAATTTAAACAGATCCGCCATGGGACAATCAAATGGGGAAGGACCAAATTGTGATTCTAACGCTCTAGTCAAGTCTTGACCAAGTATTTACCGCAGCCATTTTATGAAGCATCTGAAACCATGGAACTACCTCTTTATCGAAATGCATTGCAGCAATATCCACCCTAGAGTCATCTGGAGTGTTATGGTAATTAAAAAATTTCTCAGCCTTAAAGATCCATTCAAGCACCGGTGTTGTCCCATCAAAATGCGGAAATCCCAACGAAATATCCTTGATCGGAAAAGCAACATTTGTTGAAGTACCCAGCGGAGAACCATTGTTCGAAGAACTTCCATGAAGGTGAGAATTGTTCTGCAAAAGTAAAGCCAAGGAAGCCTGAATCTGTTCTATACGAAGATTTTGCTCTTGATAACGCAATTCCATTGTTTCACCAATGCGACGAATGTCATCAGCATGAGCGTTCACCGCATTTTGCAAATCTCGCAATCTCGTGTTCTCAGCCATGGAAGTCAATGAAAGCACCAATGAAATGTAAATGGAATTTATAGAATCTGTAATTGAAATGTCAAATCCAGCAAACAGAGTACAATGAAATCAACATTAACCGATAAAATTCCAGTATTCCGAGCACGCAAGAAACCTGAAAAATAAGAATTAATATCTTTTAGTGGAAGGAATTTGATAAGAGGGAATCAGGATTCTAAAAGTCAGATAGAAGAGAGTTTTATCAGAGGAGAGTGTATACTATTTTTCCCTCCTTAATTCCATGCGTAATCCTTGTATTTGTAATTGTGTTTCCTTTCACGAGTGTTGCGCCTGATCCCCACTACTTCTGTATCATTTGCCACGTGTCCAGATGCTTCAACTAACTCTCCCGCCAGCTGTCTCTTCCTTATGCACGTTACACGGGACTAAACGTAGTAATGCGGTGACACAAAAAACTCTATAATGCAACTGAAATGCGGCAAATGTTATAATACAATTGAAACACAGTAACATGGTGATGTGACGAATGCACTGGTGCGACGAATGCGGTGGCGTGACAAACTACCATAACCCAACTCGAATCCGTAGGTTGAGTGAGTCAAATTTATTTTTAACTCATTATTGACAAAAATGAAAAAAACTGGACAAAACCTAATTTCAACTTGTGATGAACCGAATTGACTCACAAATTAAAACTCATATTGACACCTCTACTCAATTATACAAAAGACAATTTTCAACCAAAACAACTTAACCTATTAAATTATAAATCATTCTCGTTCATATACTCATTTATAAGTTATATATACGTGTGATTTTAACTCACATTCCAATTATCAATATTATTATATTTTATAAAATATTGAAACTCTCTAATTTCAAAGAGGACATTATATTTCTTTAAATAAGTTTAAGATAATTTGTGAAATAAGAATCTAGATTTGTCTCCCTTTTATTTATTTATTTTTATTTTTCCAAGCAACCAGAGTACCCATAAAAAGTAAATTACATCTTTTACTCTGTTCACCGAGATTAGTCTACATTACTTTAAACGGTTCAGTTAACTCATTTCATCTTGAAGATATTCCTATGAAAGATGTCTTTCTTACTTCATCGTGTAGTTATGATTCACTTGAATGACATCAAGAAAAGAAAAAGATACTTTTTTGAATTATTGTATTTTTTTTATGGTGTTAAAAACATTATTATAATACTATTTTTAAATTTGTATAAATTTGTATAATACTATTAAAAACATTATTGTATAAATTCTGTAATGTACGGTAGGCGACCTGATCGGGAAAATATTTCATGGCGTTTCAACTTTCAAATACTAATCCACTTTTAAAAATCCATCCCTATCAAACCAATTCCCAGGATCTAACCAAATAGTCGAATGTCAAAATCAAAATGATATTTAAGGCTTGTATTTATTTGTTGGCGGATTTATGTGATGATTTAGCCGGCCGCATAGAAACTCCTCCAGCTGCTGCCGTCTACCATATATAATTGAAAGAAAAGCCAATTAGCATCACAGACTCTTTTTCTCTTTAACAATACGTGCTTAGTAGCAGCTGAACACATCGAACAGATTATTAAACAAAACGATGGACATTGATTGCAATATAAAGAAATGTATGCAAGAAACTGAATTTCTGACGGCTGAAGAAAACCGACTTACCCAGACTAGTGACGTTTCATTTCCCGAAATATATTTGTCACCCTTGGGGATAAACGTGGAAGGAATTTAAACAGCTGCATAACAAAAAAAAAGATGGTGATACCCATTAACAACTACAAATTGAAACAGGAAAAACTTCAATAGCTGTACACAGAATAGAAATTTTCATATTACTAGTAATGATATTGTTCGAAAATAAAAACTAAAAAGGTTATTGCTCACAGGAATACTATCTACTAGAGATTGCACAAAAGCGGCAGTTGCAGGTCTGAGTGCAGGACAATGATGAATAATTACATATTAGAGTGGAAGATGTTGGGTCAAGACCAAAGAACGACCTTATATTTCTAATTCTAACACCATGAAAATGTACATGATAACAGTAGTATTTAGCAGCCACTATAGATAATAACATACCCAAAGTTTCACGCATGCATCCATGACAACTGGAATCAGGCAGACAAAAATAGTTATAGCAGACTGATCAACTTCAAGCCCATAGTGCTCAACAATTATCTCTAGCAAAGTTTGCCAACCAGATTCAGAATGATACCTGCAGGAATGCCAGTATCCAACAAAAAGAGTCAAAAACATGCTTAACAACCACCGCAACAAAAAAAAAAAAAAAGTGATGACACCGTTCCTTGGAGCTTAATTTCCTTTTAAAATGATCCTTATCACTAATTACTAATACCATGCATGCAGCCTAATTATATCCTTTGCAAACCATCCCTTTTGCAGTACAAGGGTGTTTGAGAAGGATAAAGGAAGCATACTTCAATTCGTCAACAACTAATACAGCTTCATACCTTTTTGACTTCGGTAGCTAACAGACAAGATGAAGACAGTCGAGATTAAATGAATTAGATATTATACTGAAGGAAGGGGTTCAGAATACACGTATGGTATTATAACCTGACTAAAGCTAGTAAAGGTAACAAAAGTGAGACAATTGGAGCTGAAAATATGTGAGGGTGAGCGGGTTATAAAACCAACTCTTTCACTTTTAACAGCCCACAATAAGAATTAGACATGTGTCCCTTGGGCTAAATTGTAGATACTTGTCATGACAGTCAATATCTTGATGTTGTAGCTGAACTCATGAAAGACCGGATAGCGGCAATGCGTACTGCACTGTTGTCACAGTGGAGAACAACTTGTTTGGTGCAGTGAACATGAAGTCATCAAGTAGGAGCTTAAGCTACTGAAGTGCACTAGAGCCTGTGCAAGGGGATGATATCTTCTCCAGCAGAGGAAGAGGCAAATTTATATGCTTCTTTGATTTTCAGCTGATTACAGTGTCTCAAGAAAGAAGCAGTAACCACTGATTGAAAGCCTTGGGTTTGGGCAACATTCCCATTCAGCGCTACTAAACCCATAATTTCAAGTACAGAGGTGTGAGGGCATTCCTTTGCCAGGATTGCGTTTTAAATATGTAGGAATTCTTTGGACTGGTTTATAATGCAATATGGTGTGCAGACACAAGAATTGAATGTAGCATTCGTGAGCCCTCCATTCAATGGTAATAATTACCATGCCTGGACAACGTTGAAGAAGGCTTTGATCTCTAAAAACAAATTCTAGTTCTGTGATGGATCATACCCACCGCTGGACAAGTTCGATCCCAGTTTCAATGCCTAGGAAGAGTGTAATAATTTGGTCCGCTATTGGAGCATGAACTCTGTGTCATGCAATCCATAGTGCACAGCTTCATTTACGAGGAGGTTATTGTTAAAGTTTAGGAGGATCTTAGGAAGCAATTCTCTTGAGGGGATCTGGTTTGAGTAGCAAAATTGGAGCAAAAGTTGTATTGTTTCAAGCAAGGATAGGGATGAAGAACCTAAACCTTAGCAGTACCTGCAAAATTATTCTCAAATGTATAGGGTTTGGGTTAAGTTCAAGACAAGAATATTTTCCGCAAATTTTGGTGGAATGGATGTGTATTATAGTACCGCCCCGCCCAAACCTATTATATCTATATCTATATAATATCTTATATAAATAATCATTTTATATAGTTTAAATTTAAGAGTTATGTTTACAATACTTTTTACTTTTTACTCATATTTGGATAACTGAAGGTTATGTTTGTTTGGTTGAATACTGTTAATGTATCTTTGAATATTTTGAGTGTCATCTTTGAGCTATTTAATAGTAAAATTTCAATTTTTACTGTTTGGTCTTTAAATTAAGAAAAAATTTATGACTACAAAGCAATGAAAAATATAAAAATAGTATTTCTTTTCTTCAACCTTTATATTTATATTTATGTATAATATAATATTTTATTTTATTGTAGGAAGAAAATAAAAAATAGTGAAAGTTTTTTTGTGTGAAATAACACGGGAAAATGTTGATTGCATGTGTAAACTTTTTTCATAGTAGAGATGTTTATGTAGAATTGATCTAAAATTAAATATAAACGTAAGTTTTAATAGAATACAGGCATGCAAAGACATCACTATATAAACAATGTCAGAATTTTAAAATATGTTTACAGTATTGTTTTTTTAATGTTATGTTCATATGTTTTTAATATTACATTTGAATACCTCTAACCTCATTTAAATAATTTTTAAGAGTGAAATTTCAATTTTTAACAATTTATTTTATTAAAATGAGATATCATCTCTAAACAAAAAATTGATCAACAAAGACACTATTAATAAATAAATCAACAAATGGCAGTATATGTTGAATCTATTCCAACAGTAACAGTTTTGTCATAGTTAAACAAATAAATGCTACATGCACTATAAAAATCTAAAGATAAGTATATTCCACAATATACATACATTCCCGTATGAAACTTCCATTGGAAATTTTGGACAGACTAATAGATACAAATCTATCAACAATAGTCCTTGTATGTTGCAGGTGTTATTATGTGCAACAAAAAATATTAACTACACCCTCGAACATAAAAGTGAAATTCTGTAGTAACTTTTTAATTAGTATTTTTTATTAATTTATTGACTTTATATATAAGTAAAATGTGGGTAATGGATAGTTTAGGCATACAGGTACAAAGTAGGTAAGGTGATGGAGATTGAATTTGCTACCCGAGCGGGTACGAGTATTTTTCTAAAACACAGTTACGGGGGTGCTACTGTAGTACCTACCCCAAACCTAACCGCGCCATCGCTAACCAAGAATCTATGCCTGTGACTAATTTTTATATAGGATTGAAGGTATTCTGGGAGGAGCTTGAAAATTAGACCTATGCCTCAGGGTATTTTTCCCTGTAAGATGATGCACTTGTGACGCAACGAGAAATGCTAGAAGGTACAAGGATTAGGATTATATAATCTGATTGCTAGTGGGATTAAATGATGATAATTTTGCTCAAGTTTAGATCTCAAATGCTTATGAAGGAGTCGATACCTAATATGAAGAGTTTTTTTATCTAATGGTTTTACAGTGAGAGGCATAGCGGTTTCGCAGAACTGTTGTTAAAACCACAACTCAACGTATAAGATCACTCGATTTTAAGAGGGGAGACCACGCTTTACACAATTGTCTTTCCAACAGCTTAAACTATGTAGATTCAAAGAACTGTTCAATACCTGACAATGACTTCAAGCTCAGTCAAATGTTCATTGTCTTTTCAACAGCTTACACTAGACAGATTCAAAGAACTCTTTGAGGCTTGATATCGACTTCAAGCTCAGTCAGTCGTTAATGAATGCCTACCTCTTCTGGCCAAGTAGAAAACTCAACCATAAACACAAAATATTACATTTCTTAATAAATTCAAAATGTTTCTCTCTCTAGTTGATAGTTTAGCTACCTTTTCTAGTGCCATGATACTTCTTTTGAATGCATTGATACATGGTACGGGTAATACCATGAGCAAAATAATAATTCATTAGAAACCAAGTTTCACTAAATGGAAGGAAATTACAAGATTCAAAGGAAATTACCCTAAGAATATATCTGTGATCAGTATAATTAGAAAAGCCTTCCCAGTATCTGAAATATTATTGATAATTTTATAACCTGTAAATTTGAGCAAGGCTACCTGCACAACGGGAGAAAAGAAACAGATTAAAAGATAAGTAATATGTATATTTCAGATTGAAACACTATAACATATTGGTAAATATCAACAATCAAAAGTTGAAAAAGAAAATAGTAAAAATGCAAATGCCTAAACAGAGCCCACATCAATTGCTATGCTAAAGATGTCTCCTAGAAGATGAGTATGCTCCAACCTATGATGAATGGATATGACACATGTATTGGACACGGTAAACATCCGATACGACGATATGCTTACTCTATAAATAATAGGATACAATATATATAAGGTACATATTTAAAATGTATTAAAATTCATAAAACATAATAATTATTTAACTGCAATTATTCAATTCTAAGTTTGAAGAGGTATGATCTTGGGTTGTTCGAAGATAAACATAGTTTGAAAGATGTTCCGATTAATTTCAAATTTGCAAGTTACAAGTATTACATTAAGGAACTCCAAGGGGAAGATGGCACACATGTCATTGAAGATGCTTAATGTATTTGTCAAAAGAAACATGTTATTTTATTATTTCTTTTGTATGTACCAAGGTTCAAGCTTAGGATTTAAGATAGACATCTTCCCTTTTTTGTTTTGTACTGTCCTATATATAAATACAAATACATTAGCAATATAAACATTGATTTTCTCATTACATTTTATTCAAGTTGATACCAGAGTAGGAACGGTTCTGCTTTGTCTTCACCCATCACTATCTTTATCTTTGGCCACTCATTCAACAAACTTAGGACTAGATGTGCCTCAAACAGTGCAACCCAACCCCAATGGTCACATGACCAACCATCATTAGATGCGTTGATCTATGCACAACTTGTTTCTTGTGTGTGTGTGCTCCATGTGTTGTTAAATCAAAGCTCTTGCATACAATGGTACTTGGAAGCTTGTCCTACTTTCTCTTAGGAAGAAGACTGTGAGTTGTAGATTGGCTTATGCAGTTAAAGTTGTTCCTAATGGTGAAATAGATCACCTCAAAGCTCATTTTGTAGCAAGGGATATTCTCATATTTTTTACATTAACTACCATGACACTTTTTCTTCCATGGTTAAGATTAGCATTATTTGACTTTTCCCTACCATGACTGGTATTTGTCATTGGACACTACACTAAATTTACATTAAACATGTTTTTCTTCATAGCAACCTTGAGAAGGAAATTTACGTGAAGCAAACTCCTAAATTTGTTGCTCAGGAGAAATCTGGTTTAATTTGTAAATTACGTAGATTTTTTTATGGCATGAAACAATCTCCCTAAGCATGGTTTGGTAAATTTAGTTATATTGTGTAGACTTTTGGATTGAACTAGAGCAAGATAGATCATCCAATGTTTGTCACACTTATCTGGGAAGTGTGTTTATCTTATAGTTTATGTTGATGATATATTTATCACAAGAAAATATATCATAGAGTCACTCAAATAAAAAGGCACTTATTTAGCCACTTTCGGACCAAACATTTTTACTATCTAAAATATTTTCTTGATATTGAAGCGACTCAATCAAAGGCATTATTTTTTCACAAAGAAAATATGCTCTTGAAATATTGGAGGAGACATGTTTGGCCTACTCTCGTGGATCCAAATCAGAAATTAATAGGAGACCAAGGTGAAGTTTTCTTAGATCTAGAGAGATTTAGGAGGTCGGTGGGAATACTCACTATTACAAGACCTAATCTTTCTTATGCATTTGAAGTTGTTGGTCAATTCATGTTGAATCCTCACATTGATCACTAAAATTCTATGATTTGAATTCTCATATATGTAAAAGGGGTTCTAGGATAGGATTATTGTATGGAAAATATTCAAATCTTAGGGTATTGTGATACAGATTGGGTAAGTCATTGATAGGAGATCTACCACAAGATATACTATGTATTTATTGAAGGGAAAATTATATCTTGGAATAATAAGAAACAAAATGTTGTTGCTCGATCTAGGATAGAAACTAATCTATAGCCCTAGCTACTAGTGAACTGATGAGGATTAAACGACTTTAAGAGTTGAAATTTTGTGAAAATAAACAAATTAAGTTGTATTGTGACAATCAGACAACTCTTCATATTACCTCCAATCCAATGTTTCAATAGAGAACCAAACACATAAAGGTTGATTGTCACTTTATTAGGAGAAGTTGCTATCCAAGGATCTTATTATTGATTGTTAGTTCTAATGACCAACTCGTAGACATTCTAACTAAATCTCTAAAAGGACCTAGGATTTAATTTTTATGTTCCAAGCTTGGTGCATACAATCTATATGCTCCATCTTGAATTATTACTTTTGTATCTACCGAGCTTTAGGGTTAGAGTTTAAGGTAGGAGCATTCCCCTTTTTGTTTTGTACTCTCCTATATATAATACAAATAAATTAGTGGTAAAATACACAATTTTTTTCTCATTACATTTTATTACACTAGATCTCTTCAGATTACACAAAACTTTATACTTTGGCTCAAGCCCTCCTTTCGGACAAGAAATTTGTTTGAGTAAATTTCTGCTAACTTCTTTTTGCAAATCCATGGAGGAAGCTCTAAAGTTCTTGAAAAGTTCTGAAAATTTTAAAAAAATTGCTGGTCCCCTGTGAATTATGCAATTGTGAAATGCTCTATTCAGAAACAAATTGAATTTCAAGGGTCCCGAAAGAGAGTTATATTATCACTTTATAAGATAGGAGCAAAGTTATCCTATATGGTCCAGAAAAGAGTTAGATTATCAATTTATAAGAGAAATGGATGTTTTTAGGGGATATCACAAACTAACTGTCAACTCTATTGACCAATTGACTGACATATCCATCAAGTCCCTTAGAAGCTCTCATGTTGACTACATTTGAAACATGCTGGACTCATATGACATATGTTCTAACTCAAGAAGATTGTTAGATAGCATCTATAACAAGAAAGTACGGTTGGAGTTATGATAATTTTAGGTTTTTAATTTATTCTTATGTATTTATGATTGATTCTCTTGTACCTCTTAATATGTGTTATAAATAAGACTCTTTTGTGAACATATAAACACACAACATTCACATTTATGATAGAAAACAAGTCCAATAAAACAATTAATGCATCAAAACATTTAACAGAAAGAAAAATGGTAAACTTACCTTACTCTTATTGAAGTATAAAAGAATAAATAAAGAGATCCCGTAAACTGTATCTGACCATATGTTGGCAAATGCTCTGCGATTCTCCAGTCTCCGCTCCTCCCTTAACTCTAATCTGTCGGTGCAACAAATAGAATGGAAAAAAAGAGAATGAGTATACAACAATCAAAGGTCATCTTAAAATAATGACTCTTACTAAATAACATAACAACTAATAAACAATTCCAGAACTACATTGATTCTGCGTTGGCTCAAAGCCTTCACCAGTTCACAAGTTCTTTATAAGCAGAATTCAGGTAAAGAATGATGTGAAGATTTAATAAGATTAGTGCGAGACATGTTAAACGACAGACAGTTATAGTGCAGACTCTTTAGCATGATAGCTTTTGTGGACTTTGTTATTGAGCCCAATAATGCTCATATTCTGAATACAGCTCTAGTAACCAACACAAGAAAAAGGAAGAGCACCATTCAAGACAATAAGGCAAAAGAAAGAGGATTAATCTTACGCTTTATGCCTTAATTCCCACCAAACCTCATCATCAGAAAGAGGTGGAGATTTACCAATCTCAACCTCAAGCTCAAATCGTCCCCTCTCAGTTTTTAGCTCCTCGACTATTTCAAGTTTTTGATATCTTCTTACATCAAGCATTTGTGCTGCAAGTGGTACAGTCTTCACATATCTATACAGAAAAAGATTGCTTGAATGGTTACACAAACATTTTCAATTCAAGAAGTTAAAACTAAAATCCATGTAAAAGATGAATAATCTGAAAAACTTTTACTCAATTACAAAGAAAGCAAAAGAAAATGATAAAACCACAGCTTTCTTTCCAAAAATAAAACACAGTAATTATCAATGACACCCTCTTGAGATGTTCTCAAATTACACTTACACTCCTTTTTTTTTCAGCTTTACAGTTCCTCCCATATCAGGGGGGTGTAAGTGTAGTAGTTTTAAACTTTAGGGGATGTATGTGTAACATGAAAGAGGTGAGAGTCAAATGTTTTTAAAACTATGGGGAGATTAGTGTAGGATTTTAAAATAGTGGGGTGTCAATGTAATTCAAACAAATTTCATGGGGTATTAGAGTAACTTACTCTAAAATAAAACATAAGCTACATATAAAATTATCTAAAACACAAGGCAACCAATACTGGAAATTAAAAGTAAAATTATCGTAATATTTATTCTTCGGCTACATAATTTTTTATTTGACTATTTTTTTTACATTTTACAATTTAGTCTCACTATTATTTTCGATGTCAATTTGACCACTTCTTTTTTTAAAGTGAATCAATATCCCTTCCATCAATGCTATTAAGTTGTCTAACAGTAGTACAATGTGGCACTTACGTAGCCAATCTTACTGACATGATATTAATGTGACACTGACACATCTATGTGTCATAATTAATCAAACTTCAGCACAGGGAAAGTGGGTTTGTGCATAGATTTCAAGCCCCAAAGGCCTCGCTAGTGTAAAGGCCTAAACGGTCCTGCTATATATATGAAACAAATATAGAGCATCCACTTTATAAACGAGGCTTGGAAGACTTTATCTTTGACACAAATACGTTTGACTGCTTGAGAACAAATAATGGTAGGATCAATACTACATCATGTGCTACTCTGCTAGTCCAAATGGTTTTTCATTCAATTGCACAATTTTAAAAGGAAGGAATTATATTCTGGCAAAATATTCTTTGGCACAGGATTCGGAGATTAGCTATATCTATTATCTTGGGCTCTTCTTTTCTCAGACTGTATTTATGGGTTCCTACTTGGTACTTGAATCAGTTACACATGATATTCCTATGCGCAGAGTTTCCTTATAATGGCCTTGGGAAACCTATTACATCTCAGATTGATCTCACCACTCCAGTATTGCGTCTCATTCTGTGTACTAAAACATTGGCCTTGCCCACTGGAGTTCTATATGATGGTGATGGTGATGGGCAAGCCATTCCAAGCCTATATCTACTTGCCATTTGCCTTGTCCTCCAAACACGTCACACTTGAACGAAATACCATGCTGAGGAAGCACACACTCACAGGTATATCTGTTTTTGCACAAACCTTGAAGCAATTTAGCAAAACAAGATAAATGCGGCCAATAGAAAAAAATTTCATATCTTCAGAAGAGTGTTGATAACCAAAAAATACCTGTCTAAAAATGGCATAAGAATATAGTCATGAACCAGAAAGTCCATTGCCCAAGGTACAATAATTAACACCGCCAAAAATTTAGCCTGTAATAACAATTTTGGTATATGGAATTGAGTTAGTGAATAGAGAATATATAAGGCGAGCACCAGAACGTAATTCAATTGGTATGCAATAATAGGATGCTGGATAATGTCTGAAAATGACAATTGAAAATCTGACATCAAAGATTTAAATGCTTCCAAAAAGAATAAGTTCGACATAAAGATCAAACACACATGTATCTCTTCAAACCCTGGGCATGTGATGCCGAGTAACGAAAATTTTTATTGTAAATCATGCCATTCCAACTCCAGTTGCAGCTGCTGGGGTCAAATACGTGCTTTCCTCCACCCTTCTTAGACAAGGCTAGGCTATTAACTAAATGAGGGTTTTGGTTGAAAAGAAAAATGATTACATAGATGACAAGCATTTCATGAACACAAGCAAATGCACTAACCGAATTTGACGAGGCATACTGAAAAACACGATCTTCATAAAGCATGTCATCATCTTCCCGTCCAAAAATCAAATACCTAGCGGACTCTACCAGCCCCTTGTCAGCGGGAACATCACCAGAATCAGCTCGCACATTCTCCCTATAATCCTTCATTCCCTGCTCCCAATCCGAAGTGGAAGCGTTACCATCCTGATTAGCCCCATCCCCATCCAAAAGCCAGTCTTCCCATCTCCTATACTCTGCGTTCCTCCTATCTTCTTGGGCTTCTCTTAACTCAACTATTGCTTCGGCTCTCTGCTTCCATGCCTCAAACTTCTCGCCCTCAGATAACTCTTGTGTGCTCTCACCCTCGGCCGCAGCCACCGCCTCCGGCTCAGGCTCTACCATATCATCGTCCCTCATACCAAGCCAATTCCCATCATCTTCGAAAAAGAATTTCTGCCACCAACTGCTTTTCCTTGCATGCCCACTATGCTTTTCCGCTTTCGAAATGAAGCCATTAAGCCGCCTCGCTTTGCTGCCCAAGTGAATCACAAAGTTGGATGAACCATGCGAGACGAAAGAGTTCAAAAGCAGTTTCTGATTAAACAAGATTAAGTTGTCGCATAAAACAGTTGAAGAGCTCATGAAGAACATGAATATATGCCCACATTTTTCAGTTTCCCAAGAGAATGCACCACATTCTGGTTGGTTATGGTTCTGATTTTGCACAACCTCTTGGGTTCATATTATCCTCATCTATTTTACTCTATTCTCATCTCACTTTATTTATTCATTTATTTAATGTTCAGCACAGTCTTGGGCTTGGGCATGGCTATTGTTCCGCCACGTTCTATCCCATCTCTCTCTTCAATTCGCTATTTAACACTGTATAGTTATGTATTGTACGTAAATTAAATAGATAAAATCGTTTAACATAACATAACTCAAGAAAATTGATATTTTCTGTATTATTAATTTTTTTGAAAATTTAAAAATTATTCAAATTTTTAAATGAATTGATATTTGTTAGGATTTTCTTGATCAATATGTTATTTTTTTAAAGTTTAAATTTATAATGGTTGTTGGAATTGTTTGTTGATCTCAATATTAATGTTATGTTCTGTTAATTTTTTTGTATTAAATATTTTTATTTGGTCGTATAATATTTTATCCTAAAAACACATTTAAATAATTAAATAATTTGAAAAAAATTAATTTAATGTATTTGAGCTTTTTTAATTTTTTGAAAATCTAAAAATTCTCTTTACAAAAAACAAAGTATGATCATGAAAAATATAATTTAGTTATTAAATAAAAATGTTACAAGGTATTGTCAGAACTTCCTTGCTAATTTAATATTTGAAAGTATGAAAAATATAATTTAGTTATTAAATAAGAATTTCAAATTGATCTCCAAATATTCTAACTTAATGTCATGAATTCATTGTCAAATTAGTCCTTAAAAATATGTTTTAATAACAAAATAGTCCTATAAAAATTAACAATAAAACATAATTGCAGGATTTTTTATACATTCTGATGCTAAATTAAATATTTGTTATTTAAAAAATAAATTTGACAGCATCGACCAAATTGATCATTTATCTTTCCAATTAATTACTTTGCAGGTGACTCAGGCTTTTACAAGACAAAAATAACACTATTAAAAATGATTGACATCTAGTACTATTATGTTAGTGAAATCTAAAAAGTTGAGTGTTTGGATGAAGAATTTTTAATATTTGAATAGCATTAATTTGTTTTTCATTTTAAGATTATTTGTTTAGATAGTTGATTTAAGCTTTTTAAATATCAAACTCTCAGCATGTAAGTAATTTTCTCAGTCATTGTATTTTACATATATTCAGAAAATTAAAGTCTTAGTGTTAACTTTATTTATTAGCTTATTTTTAAATATTAATAAATAAGGATACATATATTAACATATTTTGTTTTTGTATTGACATAGAGGGAAAAAATAATAATGAGGAAAATGATAGAAAAAATGAGAGCAAATTAGAAAGAAAATAAATAAGAGAGTGATATGGAAGTGGAGAGAATAAATAGTATGAAAAATATGAAAAAGAAAAAAGGAAAATAAAAGAGAGAGTAAAGATGAAATTAAGAGAGAGAGGAGGAAGGAGAAAAAAAATTACATAAAATAAACATACAAATTAAGAAAAATGTTATTAATATAAGTGGTTTAATATTTGTATTTCATCCCCAACTTAGGCCCATGAAAGTTAACACTTTGCCCAAAAATCAACCGACCAGTAGAAAAATAAAAATAATATATATATATATATATATATATATATATATATATATATATATAACAAAAAATTTCAAATTTTTTATTTTTATAAAAAATATATTTTCAATTAAAATAATACAATAAGATATTTTACGTTGAAACATTATAAACACCAAAAATTATTTTTTATTTAATAACTTTTTATATTTTTTGGTATCAAGGAAGCGACTTTAAATAACAAAAATCACTCATTATTTTTTTTGCCAACCAATGTTTGTTACTATTTATCGTAGCGAGTGTCAACAAGTTTTTACGTTAGAAACAATAGCATTAATAAATAATAAATAAATATAAAATGATGAAAGTAGATGAAAGGATAAGAGGATAAAATTGTAAATGTATAAGTAAATATATAAAATAATAATTAAGTTTTAGGGGGCAAAATTTATAAGAGGGTTACAAAACTAAGGAGAGTCTGAGAGGATAAAATTGTAAATATATTAGTAAATATATTAAATGATCATTAAGTTTAGTGGACCAAAATCATAAATCACATTAAAGTTGCAAAACTTTGAGGGTCACGACGCCATTCAATTCCTAATAAGATCCACCACTTATTAAAAAAACTAAATATAACTTTTAAAAATATGCACAAACAAATATACACCAACACCCAACTTAAAAGACAAACAATTTATTTTAAGTCTAAATAATGTCATATGAAGTATATATTAGCTAAAATTTGAAAATGTTTTTTTTTTGTTATTAAAATTGTCCTGAAAAATAGAAATGATTTGTTTTATAATATTTGTGTCTTTGAATATATATATATATATATATATATATATATATATATATATATATCCAATCACTTATAATATAATACTAAGAAAGAATGAGGGTATGTTTGTTTATTAATTTAAAAAATGTTTTTTAATTTTCGAATTTTTAAAAACTAAAAATAAATAAAAAAGAATAATTTATAACTAATTTTCTAAAATTTTTATTTTTTAAAAATTATTAATAAATATTTTTATTAATAACTACATTAAATTAATCATTTTCATTAACATAAAATAAATAAAATTATTTTTTTACGACTTTTCTTAATCATTTATGTTAATTTTTTTGTCTAGATTAATTTTTAAAAATATAATTTTAAAAATAAAATTATTTAACAGGTTTTCTTTTCAATTTATTTTTTAAAAATAAATTTTCAAAACTGAATCTAAAACTATTTTTAAAAATTAAAAAACAAAATTAAATCCAGTAAACCATAAAAGTAAAAGTGAAGGACACACATGCGAGACAGACAAATTGGGAGAAATGTCCCTGCGGGAGGCGGAAAATAGAGTGTTTTGTGAACTGAGATTCATGAGAAAAAATTAATGCTTATGCCGGATTCAAATTTAAATAGGAGAACATCCATAATTTGAGTTTTGGTTCAGATATCAACATAACTTTATTTGGGAAGAGATTGTACTAGAAATTGCATAGCTTTTGTCATGCTAGAAAAACTGCATAGCTTTTGTCACAAATACGAAAACAACGACTTTTTATCTATCTATCTACCTCGGAGTTCCTGTTCAAATTGAAGCAACTTCTCCCGAATAGGCTGTAAAAACAGCTTCAAGTCGTTGCATATGTGTATCCTATCCTGATGCAAGATATCCCCTGCTTCACTCAGTCTGATCTCCATCTGTTCAACGAAATTGTTTGGCATAAGCAAACAGATCATATAGGTAAATGACTAGTCAAATATTAATCACAGCGACGAGGTTTATACATGCAAACCAACAAGCTTTTCACCTTGGGTTCCACAATCATATACTTCCTAGAAGGACCCTCTTTATCATCCATAAGCCTAATGCATAAAAAATGTTAAACGTCTCGAATTAAACAGAAATAGTAGATGCATATATTTCACCTTACAAACAGACTTTATAAGGCTGATTTAAGTCTAAATTCACTCTCTAACATAATTCAAAACCTTGCGTCCACTCCACCACCCACCTTTATTGTCCACCCATAAAATATTCAGTTCCTAGTGTCAATGTAAGAGAAATGTTGAAATCTTATATCAATGAGGGATATGACATCACTTCACAAGCCAGTTATATAAAATTGAATTTAACACAAATCCATTTTTTAATATGGTGTTACAGCTTCTTGGATTTATCACTCCACTCGTTGTAGAACCATTGTCCGACCACTCAAAATATTTAGACGTAAGATATATGTTTTTGGAGAGCTTTAATCATTACTCTAATATGATCTCTGATAAAGTACATATGCAACGAGTAAATGAAAAGTCCAGGAACTATAGTGTGAGCTAGAAACTTAGGTATAGAAATAGGTACAACTCTAGGTTAATAATTTCAACACGAACATATAGATTATATATACTAAGCTTGAAACAAATGAACTTGAGTCAAAGATCCCTTAATAATTTTGTTAACACATTTACAAGTTGGTCATTAGATCTGATAAACTTGGTACAAATTTTCTTAGTTACCAACTTTTCTTGAACAAAATGACAATTAATTTCAATGTAATTCATTTTCATAAAATACTGGATTAGAGGTAACGTGAAGCGCAATTAAATTATCACGATCTGAACCTCACAGAATTTAAGTTCTAGAAAGAATCGTTTCACCTATATATATCGCAAGTAAGAGATGCTATTGCCTTTTATATTCAGCTTCGATAATTGATCGGATCATTCCATTCTGTTTCTTATTTTTCCAAGAAATATTATTTCTTCCAAGGAAAACACAATACCCTATAGTAAAGCGTCTGTCAGAAGAAGATCCAGCTCAATCAACATCACAATACCAAATATTTGAGTGTTGCCTCCATCTTCATATAGCAAACTTTGTCCTAGAGCCTTTTTTAGATACCTCAAGATATGGATGATCTCATTCCAATGGTCAATGTAAGGAGTTTGCATGAATTGGCTAACAACACTTAGTGCGAAGGATAAATCAAGTCTAGAAATGATAAGATAAATAATTTTTCCAACCAGTCTTTTATATCTTTTTGGATTAAAGGACGATTCACCTTATTCCATCATTAGTTTTTTATTTAGATTCATAGGACTGTCTGCTGGTCTACAGTCAATTATACCTATCTCTCTTAGAATATATAATACATACTTCCTTTGAGATATTACAACGCCTATGACTGAGCTACTTCAATACCTAAAAAATATTTAAGATTTTCAAGATCTTTGGTTTGAAAATGCTTACACACATCCTTTTAGTTGAGATACTCTTGCAGTAGCACTTCCTGTGACATATACTATTCAGTAACACATTTATTAGGAGAAGTATGACAGTTATGGAATGATCTATTTCACTTCGTTTCAACCCAAAAGTTTGTACAATGTGACTAAATTTTCCAAACCAAGCTCATAGAGATTATTTAAAACCATAAAGAGAGCGACATAAGTTACAAACCAAATCTGACTCCACTAAGCAACAAATCTAGGAAGTTACTCCATATAGATCTTTTCAAGATCGTCATGAAAAAATACATTTTTTAATATCCAACTAATGAAGTGGTCAATGACAAATAGCTGTCATGGCAAAGAATAAACGAATAGTAGTCATTTTGGCCACTAGGAAAAAAATATCACTATAATCAAGACCATAAACATGAGTATATCCTTTAATAACTAACCATGCCTTAAGATGATCAAATCCACCATTTGAATCAACTTTAATGGCATAAACCCATCGACATCCCACTATTTTCTTCCCAGGTGAAAGGGGTACCAAGTCCCATAAGTGATTTTGGTCAAGAGTTTGCATTTCAACAATCATGACATTGCCATCCAGGGTAATCAAGTGTTTCATTCACATTTTTGAGAATAGTGATGGAAGATGGTAATGACTCAATGAGTACCTTTTCTTATGGCAATGGGCCGAGCTGAATTATTGAGATGAGGAATCGTGGTATAAGAAGATGATGGAGAACAATTGGAAGAAGAGGTCTCACCTTGGAATGTCAAACGAGTCATTTGGTTCCAATGTTGGTAGGTAAGGAAAGGAGGTGGTAATGGTTGAAGAGGATGTGTGACAGGACCAGGATTGTTTGAGGGACAAGGAACAATTGAATCAATTAATGGGATAGGTAGTACATCCTAGATGGACTGAATATCTTGATCAAACGAAGAGAATAAAAAAATTTGTCCAAAGAAAGTGATACTGTCAGACATGTATTTCTTTGTTTCAAGAGTGTAACATCAACATCCTTTTTGAAGCCGAGAACATCCTAAAAAGACACATTTGATATCACAGGCAAAAATTTTATCTATTCTTGAAGATAAATCATGAACAAAATATACACAGGTGAACACATGAGGAGAAATATGAAAAAGAGGATCTTTGGAAAAAGAATGGAATAAGAGATCATATTATTAAAAGAAGATGATATTCTATTAATAAGAAAACAATCCATTAGAACGACACCACTCTGGATTGATAGATTGACACCAAGCAATAGGTTCAAGCAGTCTAAACCAAGTGTTTATTTTTCCTTTCAGTAATATCATTTTGCTGAGGGGTATGAGGATAGGTAAATTGGTGTAGAATGTCATGCAAATTTAAAGCTACAGAGAAATGAGATGAGAACTCTTTGACATTGTTACTTCTTAAGGTTTTAATTACTTGACCAAATTGATTTTTATTTCATTAAAAAAGATGTAAAGATAGTCAACAATTCTAAATGATCTTTCATGAGATAGATCCACGTACATCTAGAGTATTCATAAATGAATGTAACAAAATATTTGAAGATAAAAGATGAGACACAAATGAACTCCCAAATATCATAATAAATAATAATAAAAAGCAAAATTACATCTTGATTCAGATTTTATTTTTTAAAATAATTTAACATGTTTGCCTAATTAACATGACTCACATTCTAATGTTTGAAGATTACTATGTTCACGAACCAATTTTTTAATTTTGACAAGTTAGGATGTCCCAAACGATCATATAAAAGTTTAGGATTATGAGATGCCAAACAGGACACAAGTGGACTAGCTCTAAAATAATATAAATCACTAGATTCATGTCCTTATCCAATCAGTCACCCCGTACCACATTCTTGTATAACAAAAGAATTGACATCAAAAGTTATTGAACAATTTAAAGACTTGGTTAATTGGCTTAATGAAATAAGATTGAAAGGATAAGAAGGTACAATCAAACTTTAAATTTAAAGAAGGTGAAAAGGAAACTTAACCACTCCCTTGTTTAGAACCATTGGCTAAGGTTACGAAATGAGGATTCTTGGAGAAAAAAAAAAAAAGGGATGAGAACAAGGAAGCATATTCAGAAATGTGATTAGAAGCACCTGAGTCAATTATCCATGAATTTTGACTTTTCATAGATTGTGAAATGCAAATTATTGATGGATTGAAACTTGATGATTGTGCCAAGTTCATGGTGAAGGGAGGACAACGTGTGGACCACACGCGGAGAAGATCTGCAGAGAGAAGATGCCCATGGAGGTGTGTGGCTTGGAATCTCCATCTAGGACCAACAGGGTAGGCCATCGCAAGGGAGACGATCTAGATCTGATGGTCACCAAAGAAAACTTAAACGGTAGCCAACGTATGGACGGTAGTCGACAAATATGGCAATGGTGGATTTTTCATCGAAGGAGATTGTAGACCAACTAAGCGAGGTTAACTTTCTTTGATACCAACTTAAAAGTAAATAAAGGAGAAAATATATGTTTTTAGAGGGCTTTAATCACACCTCATTATGATTTCTTATTTATAATGATAAAGTACAAATAGAATGAGTAGATGAAAAATCAAGAGACTAAAGTCTAAGTTAGAAACCTAGGTATAGAGATAGGTACAACTCTTAGGTTAATAATTCCAACATCTAGTTCCACATTCAAGATTCGGTCCTTAGTGTGAAAAGATACGTTGGAGATTATATATCAACAAAGAATATGGTAAAATTATATTAAATAAGTGGGTGTAAACCTCACTTAGCAAATCTTCTAATAATATTATGCCACATCAATTAAAATTTACTTATCACCTTTGCTAGGTTTTATGGTTGTTACTCCATACACACCCCTTGTTCATGTTGTTTCCGACCATTGTCTCCCCCTACCATAGTGTCTGCTTTCTCATGAACCAATTTTCACATCTTCACTCACCAATTTTTTGTATTGCCATTTATTTACAAATATGAACCCCTCTGCCCTACATGACATCATCCCTCGTCAACACCTCCTTCTTATTTGGGAATGCCTCCCCAAACCTCCTTATTGAATATTGTTCTTTGACCACACTAGAAGGGTGGTGTTTTTTATGTTGTTAGACACCTTCTGGATTTGATGCTAGTAGGGAACACCTTTATGCAAATTCTCTTGCCCTAAATTCTTTGAATCGGCAAAATTGCCCATGAGTTTGAGATAAATCAATTGACACAATAGAACAGGAGTGCGTAAAGGAAGTCCGGAGGAAGTAACTAGTTTCTGTTGTTCGATAAATGAGAGATGGTGAAAGGAAATGTGGAGGGTAGTTGGTGAAATGATAGGTGCAACTTCAGAGGATGGGAAGAGGAGTTTGTAGCGTAACCATGTTCATATATGTACTATAATGACATTATAATTTAAAATAATTGATGTGTAAATTTTGATTAATGTAGCATAATGTTATTTGGGTAACAGGAAATGAGATAGTGTTAAGATAGATGATTCTAGTCAAGGCATACAATGCTAAAACTAGTTATCTATGGGTATTAGCTGTTATACCAAGAATGGGTTGTCCTTCTCACCCATGTAACCGTACAAACTCATATAAGCACAGGCAACACACTCATGCACAAGATAAAGCACGGGGCACTCTGGACATCATCTCTATTCCTACACTAACTTGGGCAGATACTCGTCAGTTTTCTAGTGAGGAACAATGCAAGCAGGAGAGAATCCATTCCCAGATATTAAGGAACCAACAACCCCAATGCTTAAAGTGACATAAGATATTCTCCCCGAGAGCAAGCAATATTGCAATGTCAGCTCCTCGGAAGAAAAGTAAATGCTTATGCAGGTGGGTTTAGAACTTACATCTTCAACTAAGAATAGTGTCTTAGGACATGAAAACAATCAGTGTTCTAGAAAATATAGGATTGTCTTTGGGTGAATCTGGTGTATTACGGGGTTTGCAATCAAGATTGTTAAGGTTCCAACATAAAACCAATTGGCTATATGTGGAGTAGCCTAACTTGTATTTAAACCATACCAAATGATATGAGGTAGGCGATGTGGGACTTTCAACACACCCCCTCCAACGAAGCCCGCCGGACCAGGCAAAGGGTACTTTTAACCCAACTAAAGGGCAACTTCTGGCCCATGACAATAACCGGAAAGATGTTAGGCTTTGGCTCTGATACCATGTTAAGGTTCCAACATAAAACCAATTGGCTATATGTGGAGTAGCCTAACTTGTATTTAAACCATACCAAATGATATGAGGTAGGCGATGTGGGACTTTCAACAAAGATAATATGTTGGAAATAGTCAATTGGTGATCCTTTATGTGTTGAGAACAATGCTCTTGTGGAATTAATATGTGGTTGGATGGGTTCTCACATGAAACTGAAAAATAATTTTCACTTCGATGGTGACGGTTTAATTGCTAATTATGTCTAAGAGAAATCATATAATTTATTTCAGGAAGCATAAATCAAACATTTCCAACTTCCGGTATGCAAAACTGGCTCTAAGCTCAAAACTATAGGAATCGATCATCTATGCCAGCCACGTTAAGATCCTAAGTTTGTTGTAATGTATACTACAACAAGATCACGACATAAACAAGAAAATCAAACTTTATCACATGAGGTGAAATCAACTAAATGGATCAAACAACATAGCAGGGCTATTATCAAAACATTTTTTTGAAAAGCACGCACATTGTGAGGGAATGTATGATCTAGGTCATATTTGCAAGAATAAACAATACTAAGCAATGGTTTTGGAGGAGGTTGAGGAAGAATAGCAAAGAATTGAAATTGGGAAGGGCTAACTAATAGAAGAGTGTGGAAATCATTCAAGGTTTGAAGATCAATGGGAGGCAGGAGGGTTATGGTACTGGTGGATTGTGGAGCTTCCCACAATTCTTATAGCAACTAAACTAGTTCAAAATAGTACATATTCACATTAATTAACTATTATTGCGAAGGTGCATAACAGTGTGTCAAATTCTTACATATTTTCAGTATTCTCTATGCTTCCTCAATTGTGGGTAATTGAAATCAACTCTTTTGACCATGCACTATTCCAAACAGCATAACATTTAATTAGCTGGAAAGTGTTTAATTGAACATTAAGAGGTACCTGCAATTCATCTAGCTCACCAAATGAGAACTCTGGGAGATCTATATGACCCCCAACAAACTTCTTCTCTCCTTGTACGATCCATTCCCCTAATTCCATTTGCAAATTAGCACGGCTTATAAAGGAGTTGGGTTGAAATGCATAAAAAAGACAAAAAAACAATTAGATTGAAGTCCTTAAAAAGAATGGTTAATAGTACCTCACCTTTGACTTTTAAGGTCAACTCATATGTATAACCAACACGTTTCTTGTTCCGAACTATCACAATGAATGCCTAAGAAATATACAATCATGAAATATCAGTACATTGAAGATGTATATAACTTTTTTGACCAACAATGTTCAAAATTTACCATTGGTTTTGCTTCTTAGAAGCATAAACTAAACTGAATAGTAAGTATCAAGTATGAAACTCACCGCACATGGGGAATGAATTAAGTATTGAAATTTGGTATTGAAGAAGTTCATATATATAACTTTGGAAAATAGAAAGAAATACACATTAAAAGCAAAAATTTAAATATATTTTTGGCCTTTGAAGTCTAATGTTTCTTAAGTTTTAGTCCCCCTTTAAAATTTTACTTGTTTTAAGTCCTTACATGAATGAAGATCATACTTGATGAGACCTCAAGATTACGTTTGAAGTCACTGTGAAATTGTTGTGTGGGAACAAGTTAGCAATTTATTATAGGACCAAATACATTGAGATTGAGAAACATTTTATTAAAGAGAAATTAGACATAGGTCTTATTGTTACAACTCCTCAAGTTCCCACAAGACTCAGAAGTGGATAATGTCTTTACTAAGGGCTTCCTATTAGTAGATTTCCAAAAACTTATAAGCAAGATAGGAATGATTAATGCTCATCTACCAACTTGAGGGTGAGTGTTGTAAATAACAAAATACCTATAGGGTCCATCATTATCTTATTTGATCATTTACGCTCACTTTTCATTTCTATCATTAAGTGATAGCTTCTTTATTTTGGAGGTAGTTATTTACATCTAAAAGCATGTTTAGAGCATGTAATTCTTGTGATACAAATTAATAAATTTGTTCCCTTTCAAATACTCACATGACTGAAAAATTTGCATGACCTTTGGAGTGGAGTAGTAGCACAAAACAGAAAAGAAGTTTTTTTTTCTAAATAGAAGGCACCTTAAGATTCATGTCTTACACCAAGTACGTTGTGCCTAGCTTCAGTAAAGATTGAACTTGCTTCTCAATCACATTTTGATGATGCTGCGTGTACTTATTATATGGCCTTATATTCACTGGTTCTTCCCCCTCCTTCAGGTTAATGCAGTGGACCGTATTCCTATCTGGAGGTAAGCCACTGAGATCCTTAAAAACTTCTACCTAATTATCAAGTAAAATCCTCCATTTCTAGTTTCTGGACTGGTTCTAATTCAACACTCCTTCATCATCCTTTTGATCCACTATTGTCATTTAAGTCCTTGCATCATAGGTTCCTCTTTACTGATAGAACTGTACAATGGTACCCATCACTCTTGACAACCTTTTACTATGTCGCTCCACGGTAGCACCTTCTACACTACCTCCTTTCCACCCGAAGCAAACTTCATACTCATGTCTATCCAGTCCATCTCTACCCTCCCCAATTTTTTCAGCCACACAAAACAAAATCCATTTCCCCAAGCTCTTGCACATGGTCATCTACTGTTTAAAGGTTTATATCATTTGGTATTCAGAGCTCCGATTTAAGGGTTTGAATGTCAAATTGCCTTTCTTGTCTACCTAGCCTTACCGTGCACAAATATTGGAGGATTGTTCTTTGTTGTGGTCATAATCTCTTGAATTGCCTAAGAACCTAAGGAGAATTTGAGTGGTAAAAGGTAAGGGTGTTTTCATTAGAGGAAAAACCATAATTGTGTGATACACTTGAGTATGGTGAGGTTCAATATTTTTTTTATTGTTGTTTTTTATCTATTTGTTGTGATGGCAGAGAAGGAAAATTACAATCAAGAAGCAGGAATTAGTCCATTCCAAATGAAGACATTGATACAACATTTGGAAGAATTAATGATACGACATAACAATGAGCTCCATGAAAGATTGAACCGGTTGGAGAATAGAGATCCTAAAGATGAAAAAGAAAAGAGACATAGGAGAAGGAATGATGGAGTAACAAGATCAAGTAGGCTTGAAGGAGTCAAGCTTAACATTCTTCCGTTCAAAGAAAAAAGTGATCCGGAGGCATACTTAGAGTGAGAGATGAAAATAGAACATATTTTCTCATACAAAAATTATGAGGAGACCTAAAAGGCGAGGGTTGCAGCCACGAAATTTTCTGACTATGTTCTTGTTTGGTGAACAAGCTACAAAAGGAGAAAGGTAGAAATGAAGAGTCAATGGTTGATACATGGACTGAGATAAAAATGATCATGAGGAAGCGGTATGTGCCGACAAGTTACTCAAGGGACTTGAAATTCAAACTCCAAAAACTTACTCAAGGCAATAAGGGAGTTGAGGAGTATTTCAAGGAAATGGACATGCTCATGATTCAAACAAAGATTGAAGAAGATGAAGAAGTAACTATGATCCTATTTATTGGTGGTTTGAATATTAATATATGTGATATTGTTGAGAAAATGAAGAGGTAACTATAATCCTATTTATTGGTGGTTTGAATATTAATATATGTGATATTGTTGAGTTGCAGGAGTTTGTTGATATGGAAGATTTATTTGCTTCATAAAAGTAATTCGAGTGGAACAACAACTCAAAAGAAAAGGAGTGACCAAAAAGAGTTCCACCAACTTTGGATCTTTAGGTTGGAAGGACAAAGACAAGAAAGATGGGAATGCTACTTCTAGTAGTTCCACACCTACTTTTGCAAAAACTCTTTCAAAGTCCCAAGAACAACCCTCTAAAAGAAGTAGATATATGCAGTGTTTCAAGTGTCAAGGCTTAGGACACTATGCTTATGAGTGCCCCAACTAAAGGTCCATGATTCTTAGAGATGGAGAATATGTAAGTGAATCTGAGGTTGAAGAGGAAGAGGAGAGTGAGAACATTAAGGAGGAGGAGACTCCAAAGGGAGATTTATTGATGATTAGACGAATACTTGGTAGTCAATTGAAGCCTTTGGAAGAAAGTCAAAGAAAAAACATCTTCCACACTAGATGTTTAATCAATGGCAAGATGTGCATGATGATCATAGATGAAGGTAGTTACACCAATGTAGCTAGTGCTAGATTAGTGACAAAGCTAAATTTAGCTACTAAATCACATGTTAGGTCTTATAAACTTCAATGACTTAGTAAGGATGGAGAGGTGCAAGTGAAACAGCAAGTTGAAGTGGACATTTCCATTGAAAAATACAATGATAAGGTGTTTTGTGATGTTCCTGTAGAAGTCAACCACTTATTTTTGGGGAGACCGTGGCAATTTGATAAAAGAGTCAATCATAACGGGTTCACCAATAAAAAGATTGTGCTTAAATTTTTGAGTCCACAAGAAATGTGTGAGGATTAAAAAAATAAGAGAAAAACTTCTTCAAGAGAGAAAAAGAAAGCGTTAGTGAAACATTTGAGAGAAAAAAAAGTGGCATACTTGAAGTAAGGAAGAGTTATTTAGTCACAAAAAGTGAGTATAATGTTAGTTCCATATTCAATGTGTCTGTCTTATCTCTTTTTGATGTAAATGACAAATCCGATTTGAGGACAAATCCTTCTTAAGAGGGAGATAATGATGGAAACGTAACCATGAACAAGGGCAATGATCCACTTGAAGGACTTGGAGGACCCATGACAAGGATTAGAGCAAAGGAAGCTCTTCAACAAGTGTTGTCCATATTATTTGAATACAAGCCCACATTTCAAGTAGAAAAGACCAAAGTTGTAAATTTCATCATGACCCAAATGAAGGACGACTTATGCGTCACTTTGTTTCAGTCTTTAAGTTTGTTTAAATAATGACTCAATCCTTTGTAAAATTGGCTGACCAAATTTGGGTTAATTAATGGGCTTTAGTTTGATTTTGTTTCAAGTTGAAATAAGGGCCCAATTGGAAACTTAGGTATCAGCTTTTGGGAGACCAAGTGGGTGCATAACTGATTGACTTTTAGTTGCTACAATTTTAGTTACAATCAGTCATTAAGTAGTTTTCAATTTCTAGGTTAATGGATCATTATTAACATTTATTTACCGTAGTTTTCAATTCCTAGATTAATGGATTATTATTAGGATTTATTTTCTTTTATTGAGTCTTTGTAACTTTAATGACAAAAGCTTTTTATATATGCTGAACCATTTTTATCAGAAATAATAGATTGAGTTTTATACAAAAATATTAGAGTTTAACTCTTTTATCTTGGTGAGAGTGATTCTCTTAAGTTCTTGAGTGATTCAAGAACCCTTAACTGTATCAAAGGACTTTCACATCCTTTGTGAGTTGTCTCCCTTGGGAGGAGTGATTCTTTCCTTCGACATTTCACATTCACCTCTTGTCTTTTCTTCACCAGAACCCAAAAAACCCAATTATGTCCAAATTTATTTTGTGGTCATAATTTTTGTTTTAATTGTTCAAATTGAGTGTTTCTTGACTCTAAATTGAAATTCAAAAAGAGAACTTTCACCTCATTTTTTAATCACCTCAATCAAAGTTTTATAACTTAAGATATCGACATTTCAAAAATACTGCCCAATCCTGAAACTTTCACCATTTTCTAATCCACCTTCTCACTAATTTTCTACAAAGTTCTAATCCTAAAGATCCTAAGTCAGTCTTTGTGTAAATAGGATTTATATCACCCATCACCACCAGTCCTTACGGTTTCCAACTAAGATGACGAAGACGCACTCAAAATAGGAGTGGATCTTGTACTTGTGGTGTCAAAGTAGTTGACGAGATTACAGTTTGTAATGATCCTAATTGCAACAAAGTCATAAACTCCTTTTGAGGCCCCACAAAATTTGAATAACCGCCACTGAAAACCAGTTGATTTTGTGACATTCCCTCGTCCACTTCTTTTAAGTGCTCCACTTCGATTCCACACATCTCATGGCATGTCATTATTTCGTCAGTGCAAAGGTCATTATTTTGATATCTACCTTTAGTTCTCCAACAAAATAACCAAAATATTGACTCTCTAGAAACTTAGGAACTTATGAAGCTAGAGCCTCAAACCACTCGATGAAAAATTCCATTGAATCCTCTTGCTTAATCATCTTCAACTCTTCATAAGGATTGTCTAATTTATTGACTCCAAACCTCATGATTAGAGCGTGCTTCAGGTTTTCCCATGTGGGCTCCTCTTCTTCCTTCCACAAGTTGAACTAGTGGATCATACCTCCCTCCGAACAAATTTTAGTAAGTCTCACCTTCACCATCTCCATCATGCCATGAATATCAAAATATGTCTTCGCATGAAAAATCCACCTTGTAGGGTCTTCGCCATTGAAGAGTGGCAACTCAACCTTTTAGACACAAGAACAAAATCCTAAGTCAATAATTGTTGACCAGTTCTCTCTGTTGAATATAGAGAAAATAGGATTTGAGATTAATCTTCCTTATGTATAAATCACATATAGGGTAATCTATTTATAATAAAGAGAGATACAATTAAAAAGAATAATTAAAAAATAATTAGAGGAAATAGAACATATTATTTGATATTGTAATTAACAATATCTAACAATATTTTAACAATATCAAACAATATCTAACACTTACCCTCAAGCTGGAGCATACAAATCGTATGTGCCAAACTTGTTACAAATATAATCAATTCTAGATCACCATAAAGACTTAGTAAAAATATCTGCTAACTAATCACTTGAGTTAACAAACTCAGTCTTGATGTCTCCAGACATAATCTTTTCTCGAATGAAATAACAGTTAATCTGAATGTGTTTGGCCCTCTTATGAAAAAAAAAGATTAAAGTTAATATGAAGAGCAACATGATTGTCACACACCAGTGTCATTTGAGTAATATCTCCAAATTGTAACTCTAAGTTCACAGGTAGCTGAGGTCATAGCTTTATATTCTGCTTCTACACTGGATCTTGTCACAATACTCTGTTTCTTACTTTCCCACGAGATCAAGTTATCACCAATGGAGACATAATACCCAGATGTGGATTTTCTATCAGAAAGAGATTCTGCCCAATTAGCATCTGAGTAGCAAACAACTTTTATATGGTTATTAAAATCTACCATCCTTTTCCAGAAGATTTTTTAATATACTTCAATATATAAATGACTGTATTCCAATGATCTTCATATGGGAAATTAAGAAATTGGCTTACCACACTGACTGCAAAGAAAATGTCAGAACGAGTAATTGTAAGATAATTCAATTTCCCAACTAATCTTCTATACTGTTTAAGATCAGATATAGGCTCCCCTGATATGGTAGAAGTTTAGTATTGGGATCCATGGGTGTATCAACAGACTCTGAACTCATCAACCCAGTTTCCTCCAAAATATTCATGACATACTTCCTCTGAGATATAACAATATCATCATTAGACTGTGTCAAATCAATACCAAAAAAATATTTGAGTTTGACAAGATCTTTGGTCTGAAAATGACGACAGAGATTTTTCAACTAAGAGATGTCATGGTTGTCACTACCTGTAAGAACGATGTCATCAACATATACTATTAAGTAAACACATCCAACACTCAAGTGTCGATAAAATACAGAATGATCTGTTTCACACCAAGTCATACCAAATTGTTGAACAACATTGCAAAACTTTTCAGACCAGACCCTAGGAGAATATTTTAGGCCATATAGGGATTTGCAAAGACGACATACCATCCCAGAAGACTCTCCTTGAGCAACAAACCCAGGAGGTTGCTTCATATAGATTTCTTCTTGCAAATCACCATTGAGGAAAACATTTTTAACATCCAGTTGATAAAGAGGTCATTGTTGAAGAGCAATCATGGCGATAAATAAACGAACAGAAGTCATCTTTGCCACAGGGGAAAAGGTATCTCCATAATCCAACCAAAAAATTTGAGTATAACCTTTAGTTACAAGACGAGCTTTGAGGCGATCAATAATATCATCAGGTCCAACTTTGATAGCAAACATCCACCTGCAACCAACAATAGATTTCCCAGATAGTAACGGGACCAATTCCCAAATTTCACTATTATGAAGAGCATTTAATTCATCTATCATGATCTGAAACCAACCAGGATAGGCTAAAGCTTCATGGATAGTTTTTGGAATGGTCACAGAAGAAATAGTGGAAAGACAAGTATAAAAAAATAATGATAGTCGATGATAACTCATAGTAATATAATGGGAAGAGGGATTACGTGTAAAACAGATACCTTTTCGGAGGGCAATGAGAAGGTCACACTCAGATGTCAGAGCCAGAGGAGACAGAGTAGTTAGTATTTGAGTGGAGTCACATGGTGGTGGTTGTGATCAGTTTCGGCAATCATAACCCCGAAGGAGAAGTGGACAAGAAGCTGACTATGGAGCAGGAACTAATGGTGAAGAAGAAACAGTTAGAGGGTCACAAACAACAGGAACATTAAATGTACTAGGAATGTTGACAGGATTGGATGGAAACAGAAGTGAAGATTGACTTTTAAAATAAAAGGGGAACTCATCAAAGTTGACATCTACAGACACAAAATAACGGTTAAAAAAATGAAAAAAAACATTTATATCCTTGTTGTGATATTGTAAACTCTAAGAAAACACACTTATGTGATCTAGGAGAAAACTTGTCAAGACCAGGACTGAAATTATGAACAAAACATGTAGACTTGAAAATTCTTAGGTAAAGGATGAAGAGGTTCATGAGAAAATAAAATGGAATAAGGTATTTTATTATCTAAAACTAAAAAAGGCATGCGATTAACGAGATAACATGCAGTAAGAAGAGCATCACCCTAAAAATGTTGAGGAACCTCTCCATGAATTAAAAGAGTGCGAATTGTTTCAATAAGATATCTATTTTTACGTTCAGCTATACCATTTTGTTGAGGTGTATAAACACAAGAAGTTTGATGCAGAATACCGTGAGAAGCCATGAATTGTTTAAAAAAATGAGAAAAATATTCACGATCATTATCATTGCACAAAACTTTAATAGAAATATCGAACTGAGTTTGAATTTTATTAAAAATAATTTGAAAGATATGAAATAATTTAGAATGTTTTTTCATAAAAAATAATCAAATACATCTGGAATAATCATCAATCAAAGTAACAAAATATTGAAAACCTAAAGTAGACTTAACGCGGCTACATCCCTAAATGTCAAAGTGAACCACGATAAAAGGGGACAAAACACCACATGTGACACTACGAGAAAAGGAAGTACGATTATGCTTGCTTAATTAACACGACTCACACACCAGACTAGACAACTTGGACAAGGCAAGAACAAGCTACTACAACTTGACAAGATTTGGATGACCTAACTAAGCATGAAGAAGAGAGGTAGACTCCATAATTGCACCAACATGTGTAGAGGGATGAAGTTGATAAAGACCATGAGACTCACATCTGTGCCAATCACCTGTTTCGAAATCCGATCTTGTAAACACACAAAATTGTTGGTAAAAGAAACCACATAATCAAGAGAACGAGTTAGACAAATGATGGACATCAGGTTAAAAGGAGACTTAGGGACATAAAGAACATTATCAATAATTAAAGAAGGGAAAAGTTTAATAGTTCCAACACCATGAGATGATACTCTAGAGCCATCAGCCAGTGTAATAGAAGACAAAGGATTAGGAGAGGATAAAGAGGAGAACAAAGATTTGTTACCAGTAATATAATCAGTAGCTCCTGAATAAAAAACCCAAGGACCAGGAGAAGAAGATTGGGTCAGACCAGCAAAAGATGTACATGTGTGTGCGACAGATACAATGGAACTAGAAGATTGTTGATCTTTATACCATTTGAGAAATTTGTTGAACATAATAAGTATGTCGAATGAAACAGAAGAAGGAGAATCCCCAATAGACAAAGGTGGGGAACGATTGGTCTGAACAACTGCAGTAGATTGAGGGGAACGACCATGTAATGCATAACACTTGTCAATCTTGTGACCTAGTTTGCCACAATGTTCACACTATAACACTGGTCAATCTTGTGACCTAACTTACCACAATGTTCACACTTAGGACGTCCTTTTCCCTGTTTGCGAGAGCGAGTCCGGTCATCAAGTTGAGATGCCAATGTAGAAGAGTCATTAACAGAAATAAGTGTATCACGGTTAGGCTTTGCTGGTACACGCAAAAGAGTAAAGCAGGTCAAAATCAAGGTGGAGACAACTGGGAAACCCAAAATCCGATCACGGATATGCGAATATTGATCAACAAGTCCATGTAATGCCCCTAGCATGAAGAACTTTGATCGTTGTGCTATTTCGGTGGTAGGGTTGGGGGAAGGAGGCAATAACTCATTGAATTCATGAAAAAGAGCATGAATTTTGCCCATATAATCAATCATAGAGTCTTGATGTTTAGAGCCAATAAGATCTACAAATTTAGAACAGACAACATAAAGACGTTGGGTATCATTGGTATATAATAACTTGGCATGTTCCCACATTTTAGCATACGTTTCGTAGGAACGAAAAATCTACTTTAACGAGGGGTCTAGAGTACCCTTGAGAATCACATATAATTGAGCATCAATGGTGTCCCAACGGTCTTCCTTAGCAGGAGTGAGAGTAGGTGCTTTCGGGGCAAGATGATCAAGATACCTCTGACTCTTAAACCATAATCTGACGTCTGATGACCATGTGGTATAATTAAGGTCAGTTAACTTGTCAATGGATAAGTGCACATTAACATAGTGTAAATGGAAGGATCAGACGCAGTACTGACATAATTGGAAGTAGTAAAAGAAGTCATGAAGGGAGATAGAACAAACCCTAAAAAAAAAAATTCAAAATAGTCCAATCAACCTACGAAGCACAAATCCAAAACGAAAAAACCAAAACACGTCCGTCGAGACTAAAAGGCACTGGAGACAACGGACGACCAACTCCGATAGTGGTGATCTCAACTGTACGGTGACCGCCTGACCGAGACGAGAAAAACCGTATGTCACTGGTCAAAAATGAAACCCCGGCAACCGCTCCGACGAAAGCTGCAGCGGCGGTAGTGTCAGTAGACAAAAGCAAAAAAAACTTTTAAAATAACCTTAAGCTCTAGATACCATGTTGAATATAGAGAAAATAAGATTTGAGATTAATCTCCCTTGTGTATAAACCACAGGGTAATCTATTTATAATAGAAAGAGGTACAACTAAAAAGAGTAACTAAAAAATAATTAAAGTAAATAGAAGATATTGTTTGATATTGTGATTAACAATATCTAACAATATCAAACAATATCTAAACAATAGCTAACACTCTTCATTCACCTTTCTTCCTCTTTCATTGTGTAAATCAAAGTGCAATTGATTCTTCCCTTCTTGACGCACGTTCAGCCTCTAAATTTCCCTAAGCAACGCTTGCTGCATTACGGATTCATATCACGCATTTGCTCAAAAACCATTTGCCACACTTGGAGTGTTCCAATGGAGACATCCATATTCTGCACCTGAGTTTCAAGAATGTTTACCCTCTCGTTCATTCTTGTATTCATGGGGTTTATATAGTACATATGCCAAGTTTTTGGCTCGAGTCTCTCACTTAACACCTAGACCTCCTTATCGGTCTAACCCGCAGCAATTTCCAATTACGTAAAAGTACCATTCCCAACAGGGTACATTGGCTGAAGGTTTAGTCATGGTTAGTTGTATTAAACAAGGTAGTGGATACCAAGTCAGAGCAAAAATGGTCACTGTTTAGAAGGAGGACTAGCATGTTAGTTCCAATAGTGTGCTGAGGAAAGAAACTAGGAGAGGAGTCAAATGTGAGACAAATGGAGGGAAATGGGAATGGCAGCGGGATGGATTTTGGCTGGAAGCACTGCCGCAGGCAGCCAGAAGAGGGATACACACAGGGCTTCACCAATGCACAAGCATATCACCAAAGAGATGTCATTACTGATTGGTCTAACAGTGTATGGTGATCTGATGAGGTCTTCAACATAAAAGGAATGGTGATCTTCATATGCAGAAAAAGAATTAAGAACTACGAAATTGCAAAAAAGGGAAATAAAAATAGCAATAAAGACAGTTGGGAAACAATTGCAACAGAGGCAGTGATTTGCAGAAGCAATATCTCCTAAATAACGTGGTTTAATACCATGTTGAATGTGAAAAACAAAATATGATTTCTGAATGATAGAAATTATACACAACATGACAACATAATCCATCAAGACTTGAGCTAAATTAACCAATTTCTCACCAATTAAGAAAGTCGGTTAACATCATTTAATTTCTCTAATCTCAATTTTTTTTTTCCTAAAATGGCCTTCATTGAAACATGATATCATGAAAAAAAAAATTAATGAAAATAGAATCACAATTAAATTAAGGGTATTTTATAAATGACATCATTATATAAAGTGAAATTATTGAGATTTTCTTATAGTTAAGTTTATCATACATAATTATGTCCCTAAACCAAAGCTATAGGTTCAGTAACTTATGCAAGTAACAAAGTAAGTTACAATAATTACAAATGCAACCAACACGAGACTTACACAACATTTTACTCTGTAATTGAACCTCACCAGTACCTCAAAAAATTCAGCTGAAGAAAACTTGATTCTCTAGACTCCACCAATTTGAAGCACATCATTAACATTATAAATAATGACGAGTAGATGAATGGCAATATATAATTACCTCCAATCATCGTCGGATATTAAAAAATATTAAATCATCCAATCCATGACTTAAATTGGAAACTGTAGGAGTATCTCTGAAATCTTCTGATTTTTTCATATAAATTTCTACCATAATTTTCCACTTCTATTTTCATATAAATTATATAATACACTCACATCGCCGACACATTTTGTTACATCTTCTACTTCTGCTCTGCCGAAGGAGAACCGTATCGAGCCTAGTGAGATAAGTAGCTCCTGGAAAAGAAAAATGCAAAACATAACTAAACATAGCTTCAAAAAACAAGTAAAATAAATTTGGTTAGCCGGGAAATTCATGATACTTGCAAGATGCAATCAAACAATTTATAAGCACATACAAGGTTCAAACATAGGCATATATATATATATATATACAAAGACAACCATAAAGGGACAAAGAAAAAGACAATATATAAATGAGATTCAAACCTTGAGTCTTGGAGTTGCCCAATTGTTCAGACTTTTTTCCTCCCATGTCCCGGCCTGCATTCATTATGCACCATTCAGATTCATGGATACAAGAAAAACCCGCGGTCGAGATATAATCATTAAAAGAGAGAGAACAAAAATGAAGTTCATATATACACGATTCCAAACTGAACCAAGTGTGGCAGGCTGAGATTGAGATTGACAAGAGGGAACATCTTCTTGGGTTAGCTTAAGAGGAACCGGCAAAGGCGCTGCATCATTAGTTACTTTCCTAACCCAATACCTATATGAGGCTCCTTGCTGCCCTTCTTTCTCTGAAGATTCTAGGGCTCCATACTCCATTTTAATACTTCTCCCAAAACACTAACAGATTTTAAATTTCAAAGATAACAACTTTAAATTGCCCAATTGAATTATACACTGATAAAGCTCCAATGGATGGTTACCAATCTAAAAGTATGCACAGGAGAAGAGATCTACCAACAAATGATGGCTGTCAAACTCATAATAGTAATAATAATAATTCCTCTTCTGGAAGTTTCCTAAAGGGGAGAAGAGGGAACTGCAACCTGGAAATGTCAAAAGTCAAAATTATTATATTTGTAAAAAAAAAAAATGGTAACACAACTCATCTTAGAACACACTTTTATATATTAATAAATTTCATTAAAATTTATATATTTTCGTCTATTTTATTTATATATATATATATATATATATATATATTTTATAAAATAGATAATATGTTAAAATAGTTCTTCTAATATTCTTATAAGTTTTATATACTTTAAAATATAAATTGGGTTAATTATGTTTTGGGTGTTTGTATTATTTCGACTTTTTTTTTAACAGCTCATTCTATAAACATATATTTTTATGATAATTTATAAATAATATTAAAATATAAAAGTTATTTAAAAAGATATTACAATGTAATTGATTTTTATATGTTTTTATAATAAATTGAAAATACAGAATTAAATATAAGATAATTATTTTTAAAATTTAAAATAAAATAAAAAGTTATTAAAAAATAAATTATTTAAATAAATAATATAACTTAATATTGAGTTCTGTATATTATTTTAAAAAAATAATAAAACCTATTTAAAAATAATTTGATATTAATATAAATATTTTTATAGTATCTTTATTATATTTTAATTACTACATTTAAAATTAGATATGACCACATTTTTTTGGGTGATTGATATATTTATTTGAAATTTTTTAATATACTTTTTAAAATTGAATTAATGTTTATGTTCATATTTATTTATTTTTTACTTAAAAAATCAATTTTGGGGAAGATCTTATGCAAAAGTTATAAAAATTTTATCTATTTGATTTTTCAATTATTTATTTATTATTTTGTATAAATTTATCAAATTTAATAAAATATAATATTTATACATATTTCTTTAGATTTTATATAAAAAATGTAAATAATTTTTTTAAAATATTTGTAATAATAAAGTTTTTATTAATATAAATATTAATATAATAAATAAAATAATTATTTTACTTTATCTTCGTAATAATAATAACTCAGTGACCTTATCTTAGCTTCATCTGATTTTACTTGATTTTCTTTGTTATAACATATCAAAATGACTAATTTTTTTAAGAATTAACAAATTATAAGTGAGAATAACTCGGACTACAATATTAATATTATATTCTCTTACTGAGGCTGTGTTTTCAAATTAATTTAACTCAAATTGAATATGAATTTAAGACAATGTGGTCCTTCTTGTTTTCAAATTGATTTAATTTGGTCCCATTCACATGTGTTACTTCACTACAACACTCAAATTGCATATGAATAATCATTTATGGAAGATTCCATTTGACTTGATAGATATAACTGTATTTATCTACTCCATCAAAGTTCTTGTGACTTGTTCTTCTTGATAACCTCCTATATGTTCACAAGACAATCCTATTCTGTTGTGAGTCAATCGCAATTGCTACACACAATGACTTTGTTAGATTTGAGAAATTTAATGCTTTGTGAGACATGAAGTCAATCTCAACACCATCACCATATATTGTTTCCTCTCGGTAATAATGGTGAAGGAGGCGCATTCTGTGAATTTTTAAAGGAAGGAAATTAAAATTGAAAAGCAAATTTTTTATCTTGCTAGAGAGATTGTAATGAAAATTATGTTATTGTCTTAAATGTTTTTCTACTAAAATTTTGAAGTCATTGGCTGTTTTAAATTTTTTTAAAATGTCAAAATATATTTTTGATAATGTAAATAACATATATGGCAAAAATGGTCAATATAAATAATTTTAAAAACATAAAAATTAAAAATGATTTTTTTTTAAGTTAAAGAACTGAACATAAAAGATAAATGACTAAATGTAAAATTTAACCTTAATATTAATATAAAAAATTTGCAAATGCCAATTAAAATTTTGAACAACATTCATGGTCTTTTTAAGTTTTTTACAAAAATATTTTTTGTATTTAAAGAAAAAAAAATTGTTGTTGTGTTCTTTCTTCTTATTAAACTCCACTACAGTTAAAATTATGTACAAAATTGAAAAAAATTTGATTATTATAGTATATTATATATATATATATATATATATATATATATATATATATATATATATATATATATAATTAATTGATGTGTGTAGATAGACGTTTACTTCTGTAAAATAAAGGAACGATGATGTTTCTGATGAGGTTATTCAAGACCCATCATCAAAGGTAATAGGATGATATTTTTGAGAAAATATAATCAAATAATGATTATAGAAAACTCATCATATTGAATATTGACGATAGTAGTTATTCTGATAATGAGTATTTAATAATTGTCATTGTATATATTATACGATGATGATTATTAGTAATAATTATTGTTATATTTTTTATATCATATTTCGCTCACCTGTTTCTTTTATTTTTGTTGGAAATACAGATTGAGATCAAGAAGAGAGTTGAATTGATATAATAAAAAAAAATTACAACTTTTGATTATAAATTATAAATTTCAAAGATTTAAGAAACCAATTATTACTAAATTAAATAACAACAATCTTGAATGAATAAAAGAGATGAAAGAAGAACAAGAGCACCAAGTTTATACTTGGTTCACCCAATCCATTGGTTACATCCAGTTCTCAACCAAATTCTAGTTGAGTTCCACTAATCAAATATCAATTCATTACAAAAAGCAGTTACGAGAAAATCAATATATACCAAGAACTATAACTCAGTTCTTGAACCTATGACAACAACCATAATTTTAGTCGCTTAACCCAGATGTCCAATTCCAAACGCCAAAAATACAATGAACTGAATGAAGAATCAAGATATTTGAAGAAACTACAACAATGAAATCAATATACAGATGCAAAGATCCAATCACAGAATGAGTTTCCTCAAAAACAAGAATAAAGAGCCTCAAGAAAGTTTTCAAAAGAATTATAATGAGAAAAATGTGTTTCTCTCTTGGAAAAGATCTTTAAATATTGCTTGAATGATTTCTAAAATATGTGTTTTAAAACGTGAATGAAAATCTTTTTATATAAAGATTTTTTAATTGGCTGACATGATGAATCGATTAATTCACACTTTAATCGATTAAAATAACTTAATTTAAATGAATTTAACTGATGAAAATATTTTTTAATCGATTAAAAAGATTTTATCAACTTTTTCTAAGACGTTTTAACCGATAAAAACATGATTTAATCTAACAAAACAATTATGGTTATTTTCCAGAGGCGTTTTAAGCTGATAAAAATGAGGTTAAATCAATTAAAACGATTCTAGATATTTTTCAAAGTTGTTTTAATTGATGAAAACAAGGTTTAATCGATTAAAACAATTCTGGATATTTTCTAGAGACGTTTTAAATGATGAAAACGAGGCTTAAACAATTAAAACAATCCTAGATATTTTCCGAAGTGTTTTAACTAACAAAAATGAGTTTTAATTGATTAAAATTGTGATATAAAAATGTTTAAGTATTTTAATCGATTATTTCGAAGATATATCAATTGAAACTACGACAGAAAGTGTTCTAAAGCTTCTTAAGTAATTTTAATCGATTATTTCAAAAATGTATCAATTAAAGCTATGACAGAAAATATTCTCAAGTTTCTTAAGTGATTTAATCGATTATTTCGAAAATGTATAAATTAAAATTATGACAGAAAGTGTTCCCAAGTTTCTTAAGTGATTTTAATCGATTATTTCGAAAATGTATCAATTAAAATTGTGACAAAAGATGTTCTTAAGTTGTTTAAGTGAATTTAATCGATTATTTTGAAAATATATCAATTAAAACTGCAATTGAAGAACGTATTAATCGATTAAAATGAATTTTAATAGATTAACACTTGAGGCACTTTATAATTTGTAAAAGATAGAAACTCATGCTTGAGGAGAGGATAAATGCTTATACCTACACAATATAAATGCAGACACACTAATGGACTAACACAACATCTTCTTTTGACTTCATCAAATCTTCTAGTCAAGACTTCCAAGATACTTCTTAATAGCTTCTTCATCAGTCTCCCCCTATTTGATGAAGATAAAGAACCTGCAAAATCACTCTGATGTGTGTATAAGATGCAATTAGTATAAGTGAGCTATCCTTATCTTTTCCAATTCTGAGGCAACTTAAGAACCAGAGGTTGAAGAGCTTTGTGGAATACCTAGAAAATATTAAGCCAGATTTGGTCAGAGTCTTCTACTCCAATTTGATTGTTGATGAGTTAACCATTCGAACTCAAGTAAAGGGAGTAAATATAGTTATCACTCCATTAGTATGAGAACAAGTGGTTGGTCTTAGAGATGAAGGCGTGAAGGTCTCCAAAGGCAATGTCTCGGAGCTTCCAGAGTTCAACAAAATCCAATTCTTCCAATTGTGTCTCAAAAATAGTGATGACTCTATAAGAGTGTTGAATGCTGGAAAAATGCGTCTGAAGCAGAGGTTGCTTGCATTTATTATTTTTTTGGTATTAACACCCAAGGGGAGCAACCATACTCTCCTAAATGAAGGAGATTTAACCCTGATGTACTGTATTCAAAATAACATCAGAGTCAATTAGGTATATATGATCAAAGATCACATGATCAAGACTAAAAGACTGAGTGATTTTCGTCTCCCTTATGTCATGCTCATTAACAAATTTTTTAAGCATTTTGCAGTGGATCTAATAGGTGAATATGTGGAAGCACCCAAAGTTTCTAATGAAATTGATGATTTCATTCTATGCAAGATGAGCTTCATTCAAGTTGATGGAAGCTGGATCTCCAAATTTGAATCTAGGATGAGTGATGAAGAGGAGGATGCGCCACAAGAAAATGTTAGTATTGGGTCATCTCATGCTGCTGAACAAGCACAACCAGGGGCAGCTGAAGCTGAGCACATGGCTGGAGAGTTTCAGAACATGGAGTTGACTCCCTATTACGAACAACCAGATCGGGGGACACCTCTGTCACAATTTGAAAGGGCAATGTTGCCTCAAATGTCTTCCTTACAAGAAAACCAGAGGAAGCACATGCAAATGACTTTTAAGCACTATCATGAAACTAACAATCAATTTTTCAATCTCAGCAATCAAATAGCAAATATCTATAGCAAATTGGATGATATGCAGTTCAACCAAGGTCCATGGGATGATTGAGATTCTGCTACTACACACCAGGGGGTCTTTCTTATCATTGCGCTTCTTACCTAATTTATGTGTTCACTACTTATTTTTCTCTTTGTTGGTATGTAAACTTAACTATCTTTTGACGAGGAACTCTGAACTTTTACTGATTGCATGATATTTTTTTTTTGCTTGACTCATGTTTGATCTCTTTTATTTTGATGAAGTAAAAAAGGGGAGAAAGAATTGAAAAAGATAAGGATAACTCACTTAAACTAACTGCATCTGATACACACATCAAAGTGATTTTAATTGATTAAAAAAAGATAACTTCACAAATATGAATGACTTCCAGGATTTGAATCGATTAAAAGATAATTTATATCAATTAAATTTATCAGTATATGAGAATTTATGCAATATTTGATAAATCCAGAATACCTAACTCAATTATAATAATGTAGAAATGATTACGAGCTAAAGGTTTTGTAAAAATGTCAGCTAGTTGCCTATCAGTTTTTATAAAAAGATTTCATAGTCACCCTTAGATACATGATCTTTAATAAAATGATGTTTTATTTCAATATGTTTTGTTCTTGAGTGTTGTATTGGATTCTTGGTTAAGTTTATTGCACTGGTATTACCACAAAGTAAGGGCATTTTGTTGAGAGTCAAATCATAATCTTGTAATTGTTGTGTTTAGCCAAATTGATTTAGCACAATAACTCCCAACCACAATATACTATGCCTTAACAATTGATAGAGCTACATAAGCCTGCTTTTTTCTATGCCAAGATATTAAACTATTGCATAATATATGGCAAGTTCCACTTATGTTTTTTTTGTCCAGTTTGCAACTTGCAAAATCTGAGTAAGAATATCCAATTAAATTCAATTTGGACTCACCAGGATACCATAGACCAACATTCATAGTCCCTTTTAGGTATTTCAGTATCCTTTTGGTAGTTGTGAAATTAGATTCTTTTGGTGCATATTAGAATCTTGCACACACTGAACCTTATATCAGGCCTACTAGCCGTGAGATACAACAATGAACCAATGAGTCCTCTATATTTGGTTTGGTCAATGGGTTTTCCTTTATCATCTGCATCTAGATAATAGATTGTAGACATGGGAGTTGATGCTTCTTTGCAGTTCTACATCTCAAATTTCTTAAGCAATTCTACATAGTATTTGGATTGATGTAGAAAACTTTCTTTTTTAATTATTTGACTTGTAGTCCTAGGAAGTAGTTGAGTTCTCTCATCATTGATATTTCAAACTCACCCTGCATTTCCTTTATAAAATTCTTGCATAATGTTTCATTAGTAACACCAAAAATTATATCATCAACATATACTTGAACTAGTATTGTCTCACTATTTACTTTTTGGAGAAATAGAGTTTTATCAACTACACCTCTTTGGTAGTTCTTTGAAATGAGATAATTGCTCAACATTTCATACCACTGTCTTGGTGCTTACTTTAAGTCATATAAAGCCTTTTCAATTTGTACACAAATTTTGGATGTGTGTGATTTTTGAATCTAGGAGGTTGAGAAATAAAAACTTCTTCATTCAAGTAACCATTCAAGAAAGCACTCTTGACATTCATTTGATATAACCTGAAATTCTTCATAAAAGTATAAACAAGTAATAGTCTAACAACTTCTAATCTAGCAACATGTGCATATGTTTCATGAACTATTCCTCTTGTTAATTATAACCATTGACTACTAATCTTGGTTTATTCCTAGTGATAACACCATTTTCGTCCAATTTGTTCCTAAACACCCATTTTGTCCAAACAATATTAACATCTATTGGTTTTGGAACTAATTTCCATACATTGTTTCTAGTAAATTGGTTCAGTTCTTCTTGCATTACATTTACCCAATCATTATCACTTAAAGCTTCAACTACAGTTTTGGGTTCAATTTGTGAAACGTAGGCCATATGATTGCAAAATTTATTTAAAGATCTCTTAGTAGAAACTCCCTAATTAGCCTGTCCAATAATGTTGTCAATTGAGATGTTCCTTAAAGTCTTTAATTCCTTGGGTAATTGTTCTTCTAGTTCCTCTTCAAAATTTCCAGAAATTTCAAATAGTCTCTAGGTAATGGCTGAATTTGGTAGTTTTAACTGATACAACTTATCAGTAAAAATTTCGTCATCTGCATCATCAACTAAGTTTCTCTGCACTTCTATTCTGAACCAGGTTTAAGTATTAGACAATGTTCAGGTTCAAAGATGACTTTGTGACCCTTGTCACAAAGCTGACTAATGCTGACCAAATTATATGCTTTAGCCTATCAACATATAGTACACTATGAATAATTCCAGATTATGCACATTTAACATCACCCACTCCAAGAATTATGCCTTTGTTGTTATCATCATATATAACAGTTCCACCAGTTTTAAGTTTTAAATTTTGAAATATCTTCGGTCATATGTCTTGAACAACCGCTGTCTAGGTACCATAGATTCTCAGTTTGCTGTTCTTGAAAAGTAATTCAAAATTGTTTTGGTACCCTTTGAAAATAATACGGTCCATCTAAGTTATTTGCAAGAATCATTTGGGAACCCATTTCATTTTACCTACAAGAATTGCATATCTCTTAATATTACAGAATTTGATTGAATGACCTTTTTTCATGCAGTAAAAACATGTGATGAAAGGTGTAGAAACCGATTTTCTGTATGAAAAATAATCTTTGAATGCTTTATTTTTCTTACCAATAATAGATGTGAAACCAATGACAGCACGATCAATGACTAATTTTTGCAGCCCAAGCAAGATATCAAGATTAACTTTACCTTGTGCAACCTTTGAAACAATTTTAATCAAATATGCAATTTTCTTTTGTAACTCAGGACAGATTTCACAAGGTTTTTCTAAATCAATTTTCTTACACATGTAGTCAGAATTATTGTGAATCATCTTAAGGTTTTCAAAATTGGTTTTAACTTCAAGAAGTTCAATTTCAAGAGTGTTTACTCTACCTTCTAACCAATTATTCATTCCTTTCAATCTATTATTTTCCTTAGCAAGTCTCTTTGCTTCTTCATGCATTTCATTGAAAACTTATAGCAGAGAACTGTAATTCATAGAATTGTTGGAAGAGGTAGAACTTATACTACTGGTTGGAGATTCTTGACGAGCCATCAAGCACAAATTTGCTTCTTCTTTTGAGTTTTTGGTTGATGATGTATCATTATCATTCCAAGCAATATAAGTTCTCTTTTTACTCTTGTCACTTTTCTTGTCTTGGCTCTTGGTCTTTGCTGGACATTCCATTCTTACATGCCCCTGTTTACCACAACCATAGTTAGAATTATAGCTTGAGATTAAGAGGGAGGGTGAATTGATCTTTGAAAACTTTTTCGTACTTTACAGATCCAGATTAATAATTTCAACGATTAAGAAATCAGATTAAGAATTGAACCCAGAAAACAAGTAAGAAATGAACAATGTTCAAATAGATTTAAAGAAAATGAAAGAAGAGAAAAAGAAACACCAAGAATTATTAGACAAATGATATCTAGAGGGGGGTGAATATGTTAGACAAATGACATCTAGATGGGGTGAATAGATGCATAAATTAAAATAGATGCCAAATTAAAAATTTATTTTAGATGTCTAATAATTTATTAATTAAATTTTTATTATTAGATTGAATTTAGATAAAATGGAAGCGATATAATCAGAGAGATAAGGGAAAAAATACAAGCGCACAAATATAGGGAAAATAAAAGTCAAAATTCATAAAGTGAAGAGAGAAATATACACAGTAATTTATTTTTCCCAACAGCTATAATTCTTCAAAACAGATTTATTTTTCAAATTTCGAACTGCCATAATCGATTATCTTCCCAGCATAAGCAATTATGATGGAGAAAAATCAATTTTTCATTTTTAATGCATTATAATTGATTATTATACTTACATAATCGATATTTTGCGGTTGCGCCGAAAATGAGGGTTTTTTTTTTTCGGGTTTTCAAGAGTAAAAGATCTAAAAAAATATTGTTATATATTAAATGTTGAAAATTTTAGGATTTTTTGCACATATGTATTTTTTATATATAAGATATATGATATGGTGGACTTTATCTCTCCTGCGTATATTTTCATTATCAATTTTTACTTTAAAAACAATAGATTCCGAGTTATTTGAATAGTTATTAATCACGATTTATATGATATGTATAATTACAATCTATAAACCAATTTGCGGATTTGTTGATTATAGAATATAGTACAAGAAAATCTTTTTATACTTTATTCTTTATAACATTAACCACTTCTTATAATAATTTGTATATTTTTTTGTACGTTCCAATTGACCATATTTACAATATTTCACATCCGACCTCACCCATATTTTTCTTACAATAGAAAAAACACGTGATTTATTGTCTTTGTTCTTATTAGCATGAAAGGAACCTTCACTAGTTTGATATAATAACATGATCTCATTTTATCAATTTTCATTACTATTGCATTTGTAAAATGGGTAACACTTCTACCAAATATAATCTCACATAGATCCTTTATGTTTTTATCTCTTTGGCATAATTACTAGAATTTTTTAAACTAGTTAAGAACTTGAAATTTTTTACCTAACAATTTTATCTTATTAACTATATGTAATAATTTACTTGAAGATTCCTTAATTGTTTCAAAAATTTTCAATATTTATATGTAGGGATGTCATCATGAGTCTCAACTCGTGAAACAACTCGACTCAACAGGACTTGAGTAGAATTGAGTTAAAAAAATTTAAAATATTTTAATAGTAGGTTGAAGTGAATATGTTAATTTATGGATTTAAAGTTTGAGAAAAAACTATTTTAATAAATTAACCCACCTAAACCATTTATATTTGTAAATCAATCCATCTAACCTACTTATTTTAATAATTTAAGAAAAAATTAAAAAGACACATATTTAAGTGGGTCAACATACTTAATTCATTAACTCATGGTAGTTCAAGTTTGTAAAATTTTTTACTCATAACCAAAAAAAAAAAAAAGTTAAGTTGGCACATTTTTAGTATAACTCACTATCTCGTATAAGTCGGATTGACTCACTTTATCATTTATATTTGTATATCAACTTCTTTAGGTGACTTTAAAATTATAATTTTAACAAAAATCATTTATAAAACACCCAACAAATAAACATGACTTTCTTTTGTTTTCCTATTTTTATTTTCTTCTATATTTCTATATTTTAATTTGAATTATTACAAAATTTTCAAGGAATAGATTAATAATAAAATTCTTTTACAACTTTTCATAAATCTAATTATTAAATATAAGATTATATTTTATTAACTCATAAATCATAACATTTGTTATCGAAAATAAAATATCATATAAGCTTTCAACATTAAATAATCATCCAAAACAAATGATCCACAATTTGTAAAATGAAAATTTCAATAAATACATATGAAATTATGAATTAATATCTGTATCCAATCTTAAAACATTATAATTATATCAATTTCTTTTTATCTGTTTAAATGGAATAATTACGTGAAACTAAATATAAGATATTTACATAATATTTCTCTTTCTTATTCAATTTTATAATTTCAGGCTATTTCGAAAGGTTCAAATATAATTCTAAATACCATGTTGAGAATATAGATATTAATCTTTTCAGATACCATGTTTTCCGGACAAATTTATAAATACCCTTCACCCCCTGTTTTTTTTTTCAGGAAAGCCCCATTCAGAACCAACATCCAAAAGCACTGATACATCCACTGAGCTCATATCCAAGCCTTCCTTCCACGGAAATGGTGACAAGAAACTGCACATCCCACCCGTCACCAGTCAAATAGTTTTGTAGGGGGTGCAGTAAGAAATAGTCACGGTGCAGTAGGCAACACCCTTTTGCTTAAAAGCGACTGCTTTATCTTGATTTGAAATAATTTTCAGGATAAAAATAATTCAGCACAAACACAACATTAATCAAATTAAAAAAGGCAACTAATATTCATCATGCCCAAATTTCTTTTTATTGCTTTTGGTTAATGCTATGAATTCCTTCTTCGCATAACACTATAATAATAACGACACACTGAATGAATATAGTAAGTTACAGGCTTATAAATGCTCAATTTTCAGATAAGAAAAAAACTGACGTGTTAATGAACTAGATTTAAACTAAATTAACTGTGGCACTCATGACCAACAAAACCTTTAAAATCCTACAAAATTGTTACGTCTATCATAAAAATGATTGTAAATCCTTACCAATAATTTTGAACTTGCAAGCATGGAAAACCCTTGTAATATTCTTACATCAATTAAAATTCATAATGGTAGCTAGAAGCCTCAATTAATCTTTGGTTTTGGCCGCCTTGGTCTCAATACCATATAAAGGCACCCTAGAATAATCAAGAAAGCTGGTATGGTTGTCATATCAAACACCATATGTATTTTCCTCTCTCTTGTGCAATTAATTGGATGAAGAAAGGCAAGAGTCGCATTAACTTGATCAACAAACCTGCATGAGAGATTGCCAGAGAAAAGCTAACCAAAATTTCTGAAAAATAAAATTTAATTGCCTTTGAAGTCGAACATAAAGAAAAGAGAAAGTAATTTTCTTCACTGAAGAGGGTCTACATGAAAATACTAGTTTCTAACCAATTAAGTGCAACATAAAAGTTAAAATAGTTGAGCATCCCGCTCTATTTCCATCTACAGGTAAATATTGTCCAATTATATAAGAATGAAAAAACAAAGGAACGAAGGGCAAGGACAAACAAATTCATGTAATAAAGACGGCTAAACTTCAACACTTCCTCTTGAAGGCAAAGAGATAAAAAAGTTAGTTATATAATTCCACATTAAGTACTTTAGTTTAAATAGCTTTTTGATATGTAAGGCAAGAAAATATAAGACACAAACGCAATAGCGCTAGCCAGCCTCTCTGTCTGTGCATATTATAATTGTCACTCAGTTTAAACAGCCATATGAGCTGAATACCAACGTGAAACCAAAGCATAATCTTAACTGGAAATAGACTCTCGCCATACAGATACCAAAAATGAGCAATCAATACTCCAACTAGATGCACCAAAGAACTGTAAACAATTATGCATCATAGAATTTATTTTAGTTTACCAATCCTTTAGATCAATTAATATTTTTTTTCCAACAGAACGCATCATCCAATAGGAAAGGGGATATTACAATGTCTAAATAAATGGTCTACTGTTTTTGAGGAAGAAACCAATAATAAAGTGCATTCTCAATTTGTGTTGAGTAGATTGAGTTCAGAAACAAGTTGCTTGCTGAGATTATGGTTTATGTTGTGTTTGGATGAATAATTTGAAAAAGGTAATTTACTTAAGAAAATTTAAAATGATTTGTGATGAAATGAACGGTTTTTTGGAGAGGGAAGTTAAGAAGAAATTGAAATTGTAGAAATTCATGAGTATTTTGTTAAACTTAAAATGGAAAAATTTCAAATTCTACTAAAGAAAAAAATAATTTAATTTATTTTGTTCTCTCATCACACTTTTTATTCTCACAGGATTATACACCTGAACCAAAGAGGGGAAAAAAAATAACACTTTTCACCAACTAGCCCATTCTTTAATCTTTTGTGCAACAGGATCTCAAAGAGAGACAACTTGCCAAAAACCTTCGTACTCAAAGTCCACCTCAAAGGATTAGTCGTTAATTTGGAATGTTGTGCTTAATAGCAAGGTTTTGACTTTTGAATTGTGGTTGCATATGATGCGATCTGCAACTGGGTGATGATGCAATTGTGGCAACTGCATTATAAGATGTAACCTGCTATTTTGTTTAAAGCCCTGCTATATAGGATTAATAAAGATAACGTTTTGCAGGTATTGTGTATCCTAAAATTTGCAGTGTTTCTTAATTCACTTCACTTTATTTATACTTATAAACTCCAAATGTTAGATATTTGTAGTGAGGGCCGTCTTTTGTTGTTAGTGTGGAGAGGTATATTAAAGGGATTTATCTGCTAGGCAAGCAAAGAGATTGGTCAGAGCATTGAAGAGCTAGATGTTATTTTCTTTGCTGTTATGACTTTATCTTTTTCTGGTTTTCTTTTGGAGGTACACAACAGTTTTTACTCTCTCGTACAATTATATTATTTTCAGTAAAAGTGCTTATTGCAGAAAAGTGCCCAACCTTTTGGATGCATCCTCCAAGGTGTTAAGTAGTCTCAATGCATCAGCGTAACGCAATTCTCCAGTGACCGTTGACACCTGAAAATACAACATTTGTAACACATTCATGAAATTAATTGTTGAAGAATATAAGCTACAACATAACTATCACTCACCCTTTTCCAAAGGCTAACAACATAACTGTACTTGTTCACAAGCTCATGCTCCTGGGAGTGGAAGATCCTGAACGTTTTTTCAGCTTTATTTTGTTAAGAATTCTCATTATGTGTCTCAAGAAAAACAAAGGCCCTGCAATACTACGCAAATACGAAGGGCAGGTTTGAGTTCACATTGTTTAATTCGATAATATATGTGCTTCAATATTTATTTCTCACGCAAGGCAAATACAATGGATGAGGAAATCTAGGCACATGGTACATTGACTATATCAAATACTCATTTAATTCTTCAAGATACATAAAATATTTTCCCCTCATGTTTTGGATATTAAGCGTTGACAAGTGCTCTTGCAATCCCAGTCCACATTTCAGAGTGATGCCCCATTTGCAATTGTCATATATTGTGATAATATTGAGCTTCGATCATCCACAGACATTACTTGCTAAGAAACAAAACAATGAAAAGATTCAGCTATTAACCAAATTACTTTGCATGCTTATTGACTTATGACTGGCCGTCCCTACCATTGTCTTATCCAAAATTCACTCTTAAGAGTAAAGAAAGCAATGAGTTGAACCCATAATCACTTGATCACAGAAGGCTTTCATATGATGATTGACAGGTAGCCAATAATCCCATGAGCTTAAGGTTTAAGACTAAAGTTATGTTGAGATATGCTTTCACTTGATTAGGATTTGGGATTGGGCTAAGACCCATCCTCTTTTGTATTCTCTATCATCGATAGATATAACAATAACAGTGTGATTTGATGCTGTCTTTGTACCTTAAATATTTTTTCTCAAGTTAATATTAGAGCAAGAGAGATCCCAGACTGATTTACTTTGTTTTTGTCATATTTGGTCAGTCTAGGCCGTCGTCCACCGTCTCCAGCCCCATATGCCATCATCACCGATGTCAACTGGTGCAGTTTCAATCAGCAAGACCAGCATCTAGTGAACCTTGAGGAGCACGACCCATCCTTGCCAAGAGCATTGTTAGTCGGTCCTCCACATGCTGTCATGCATTGTCCCAAGCACGGTCTGTTTTTGTCACATGGACATCACACACCTCATTCTAGTGGTTGGAATCAAGGTCGATCACCATTGTTCTTCTCTTTGGCACCTTCTGCTTCCAATGGTGCCCTTATTTCTTTGTTTTGATGTTTTGGGGGTTAGGTCTCGTGGTTCTTCCTCTTTACTAGGGTTTTCTACCTTGCTTTCTTTGTTTGAAGATGTTTACAACTAGATCTTCTTCCTTCTCTGTCACTCCTACTATTACTACCGCCAAGCTCAACGTAAATAATTATTGATCTTGGTCTACATATGTGAAGTTGTGGTTCCTAGATCAAGGATACCATGACCATTTGGAAATTGAAACTAGTTTCATTTATAATGTTGAAAGGTATCAGTGGTAGAGGATAAACATTCAACTTTGTGCAATATTATGATATATGTTGAACCAGAGGGTTTAGAAATTCTCAAGTCATTTAACACATGTTCTTCAATTTGGAAGAAAGTTCAAGATCGTTGCTAATGATATTTAACGTCTCTTTGATGCCACTCAAAGGCTTACCTCTCTAAAATAGACTAAGCACAACATGGTATCTCATGTTGCAAAGGTTAGGGCTGTTGTAGAAGAAGTAAAGAGGTTTCTTGCGGCGAGCACCTTAAAAGAGCTTAATACAAAACTTGATAAGTCGTACATGTTATTGATTATGAGGAGTTTATATGCTAATTTTGATCAAGTGTGTGATCAAATCTTTGCTACTAATAAGGTTCCTTCAATGGAAAACTTAGTCACTAGACTTATTTGTGTTGGTGTACCCAATTTGATGAAGGATGAGAGTCAAGTTGAGACTATTGAAACTTCAAAAATGGTTGTTCCTCGTGGACAAGGAGGAGGACACAATAGTTGAGGAGGACATGGTGGTAGAAGCATATGCCCTTAATGCTCCTATTGCAAGAGAATGGGGCATAGATAAGAAAATTGCTACTCTTGCTCAAACTTTTACATGATCGTTTGAGCCACCTAAGTTTATCAAAGTTGAAAATGATGGTTAATCTTACATAACTTCGAGCCTTAGAATGTGAATCTTGTCAATTAGGAAAACATGTTAGGTATACATTTCCTAAATAGTTCAAAACTTGATGTAATTTTCCTATTTCCAACATTCATTTTGATATTTGGGGACCGAGTCATGTCTCCTCTTTTGGTTTTCGATATTTTATAACCTTCATTGGTTTACTTAATGAAAAACCAATTTGAACTCTTATATGCATAGTTGTGTTTTTTTTAATGAGATTAAGAACCAATTTGGGAAGCTAATTAAAACCCACAACAGTGGTAATGCTAAAGACTATATTTTTACTACTTTTTCCACTCTTTTATCTTCCCAAGGGTTTTGCATCAATCCATGTATCCTCCCACCCACAAAATAATGGTATAGCTAGAAGGAAGAACAGGACCTTATTGAGACTACACACTTTCTAATATTGAATGCTAATATTCTTGTTCATCATTAGGGAGATGCAGTTCCCACAACTTGTTTTGTATTTAATAGAATGCCCTCTTCTTTTCTTAAAAATCAAATTCCTCACTCATTTTTTTGGAAGATCCTCTTTTTCATGTGTCTCCACATGTATTTGGATATACCTGTTTTGTTCATAGTGACTCTCTAGGTCTTGATAAACTCGGTGCAAAGGCCACTAAATGTGTTTTCTTGAGGTATTCTCGCCTTCAAAAGGGGTATAAATGTTATTCACCTTAGCTAAAAGATATTATATGTTTGCTAATATTAAATGTGTTCTTCCCTTATGGAGCATGTTCCTCTTATTCAACACATTCTCTCCTATACCCTCATGTGATCAACTTATAACCCTTGCTCCTCCTCCATCTCAGCCTATAGGGAACACTCGTCCTTGTGATTCAGATTCTCCTCCTTCAGCTTCCCATGCCATGGATCCGTCCTCCTTACCCTCCACTTTTGATTCTACCTTTGGTTGGCCTATTGCTCTCCAAAAAGATACTCATTCCATTTGTAATCCCTTTCCCATTTATATCTTTTAAAGTTATCATCATTCCTCTCCTTACTATTCTTTTCTTGTCGACTACCTCTATGGCTACTATTTGTCATTGGTCACTCCATCAACTTGACATTAAGAATGTCTTTCCTCATGGTGCCCTTGAGGAAGATATTTACATGGAACAAACTCCTAGATGTGTTGCTCAAGGGGAGTTTGGTTTGCTACGTAAACTTCGCCAATCACTTTATAGTTTGAAGCAATCCTCCCGAGTTTGGTTTTGTAAATTCAGTTATATTGTGCAAAAATGTTTGGCTTGAAAAGGAATGAGACAAATCATTTAGTGTTTCATTGTCATACTTCTTTAGAGAAATGTGTTTATGTAATCGTATTGTTATTACAGGAAATGATTACATTAAGATTAATCAATTGAAGAAACATTTGTTTGGTAACTTTCAAACAAAAAAATCTTAGTTATTGGAAGTAATTTTTTGGTATTGAACTGGTCTAATCAAAGGAAGGTGTGATCATCTCATAAAGAAAATACGGTCTTGATATTTTGAACGAGACAGGCTTGACAAATTGCAAACCCATTTATAGCATAAAGGATCCTAGTCAAAAAACAATGGGAGACAAAGGTGAAACTTTCTCTGATCCAAGGAGATATAAGAGGTTCGAGGGAAATCTCATCTATCTTACTATTACTAGACCATATCTCATGCAATTGGAGTAATAAGTCAATTCATGCAAAATTCTTATGTTAATCACTGGGATGTGTTTTTTTGCATTCTTAGATATGTGAAAGAGGTTCCAAGACAAGGATTGTTGTATGAAGACAAAGGTAATAATCAGATACCAAGATATTGTGATGTAGATTGAGCTAGTGGTCCCATTGATAGAAATTTATTACTGGGTATTATATATTTGTTGCTTGATCTAGTATAGAAACTGAATACAAATGTATGGTTATTGCTACATGTGAGCTTGTGTGGATAAAACAACTCTTTCAAGAATTGAACTCTTGTGACAATGAACAAATTAAGTTGTATTGTAATAATTAGGCAACTCTCCATATTGTCTCCAATCCAGTGTTTCATGAAAGAACAAAACATATTGAGAATGATTGAGAATGATTGTCATTTTATCAAAGAGAAGTTATTGTCCAAAAAACTCAATACCAGCTTTGTGAGCTCCAATGAGCAACTTGCAGACATTTTCACTAAATCTCTAGGAGGACCTAGGATTTAATTTATATGTTTCAAGCTTGGTACATACAATATGCTCCAACTTGAGGGTAAGTGTTGAGATATGCTCTTACTTTTTGTCTTTTTTCTATATTCCTAGGATTAGGGTTTGGGTTTAATGTGAGGCCCAACCTTTTTTGTATTGTCTCCCTATAAATATAACAGTAAAAGTGTCATTTGACAGTGTCTTAAAATATTTTTTCTCTAGTTCAAAATCTCACTCTAAATTCATCACAGTATATGAATTAACATATTCTGTCCTATCTTTCTTTCTCTCTACATCTAACTCTAAGGTCAACCTGGTATTAATAGTACTCGTACCATTAACCTGTCCCGATAACAGTTTCACTGCCACATTCCTTAAATACAGAACTGTTTTTTATTTCTGGAAACATTTTTTCCTTGTTCTAATTTTCCGTAGTTTTCTTTTTTCATTTCTTCTCTCCAGTCACTTGATCTTGTACAGAACGTCTTGCTCCTATATTTCTTTGCTTCTCTCCTCCACCATTGATCTTATTGTTGGAAGTGACAGTTTCAGTCAACTTTCTAATTTCTTTTCCAATTTCTTTTCCGAGTAGTTTTTCTGGTGATCTTTTCCTGCTGTCACGTCCAGCTATTTTATAATAAACTATGTCAAATATCCTGCTACTGTTAGTGTTCAGTGGTCTTTTCTTGCCTGATCAAGCTTCATGTTGTCTTTTGCATTGAGTTTACTGGATCCCATATTAGTTAGACAAAGATTTATTTGCAACAAGCACAAAGCTTAGCACATTTTAAAATAATGTGCAGTTCATTTATCACACTTTGAAGGAGTTCATGCATCACATGTTAACTACATTAGTTTTCATAAGAATAACAATTTGGGAAGTGGCACGCATTTACTCTGTTAGCCTAGGAAATAGTACCAGCTTAGTCTATTTCTCTCTCTCTCTCTCTCATATATATATATATATATATATATATATATTTATATACAAAGTTTAATATCTCATTTTTGTCTTCACTTTGGGATGAAAATGTTGATATAGGAATAGCTCTTTAGAAAGGAAATATAGAAAATTACAGAAATAGAGGATATGGCAGATTTCAATAATGATCTCATTGATTCTTTTGAAACAGTAATTTCTCTATCATATAAATGGCTGCAATATACACAATAAGGATACTGGTACGTTCCATTAGCAGAAGATGAATGGCAGAATTAACCAGTTGTATTGATTCTTCAAGGGTAGTGATGACATAACTCCGAGCAATTGAATCAGACTGGAACTGTGATACGTGCCAACCTTGTGATGTAATGGAGAAAGGGTTGCATCCTACTGACCATAACCAGTCCTGCCATGTTCAGAGATAAATCTTACGACATGGGATAGCATATGGACATTGACTGTTTTAGGTACTTGGGACACAGTACACACACTTGCTAATATCTAAATGAATATATGTATTTATTATGAAAGCAATAAATATCTGCAATCAGATTAAATTGAAAAAGGTTTAGCTTTCTGCAGATCCATTTGCTACATACATCACTTTTGTATTTTGTGGATTTGGGGAGAGTTGCAGGGTAGGGGTATGGTAAAATTAACTAAATTGTTGCGTTTTAAGGGCTTAGGGATACCCAAAAACGAGTCACATGTTCCGGCCGATGCACAAGAACTGAACCTCAAATGTAAGATATCTGGGTTGAATTAGACTAAATCACCAAATGTATTATAGAAATAGATTGGACTCCAAACACAAAATGTACCTCAATTGCGGCCTCATGAGCATGACCATAGACAAGATGAAGGGGAAGCAAACCAGCAAGATGCTCAGAAGTGGCGGCAACTGCAGCTTTTAGCGGCTGCCTTTATTGTCCAGATAAAGGATGAAATCATGAAAGAACTGATGAGTGGGTTTTTATGCAATAATTAAAGGTATTATCACAATTGTTCAATACAAATTTCTATAGAAGTTAACCTATTCCCCTTTCCCGGTGAAATCAATAAAATACAATGCTGACACAAATATAGAAAAGATAAGTCCTATCATCAACAAATTCCGGGATTTGAAAGATAGATGAATAAGCAAATTTAGAAAGTTAGGTAGGTTTTCTGAATCTTACCTCAAGTCCAGTAGAAGTGAATGCCCATTACAATGTAGATGGCTTTCCCAGGAGGAAGGCTCTGACTGAACGACAATAATCATGTCAGACAGTGCTTTTGCCTGAAAATATTTGTCTATTAAAAGTGGTTCACTGTAGATGAACCAAAAGACTGGAACCTCGAGCACTGACCTAGAATGTGCATGCCTACCTGCACCATTCATAAATATTATTACATTTGTCAATTCCCAGAAAATCAAGAATAAAAGAGACTTTTTAAAACTTATGTCAAAATGCTAGGGAAAGGAAGAAAACAACCCGGGTCATCAAAACTATGTCCACCCGCAATAGGTAACCCCTACATGCTTGATGTGGAAAGTCCTTGTTGAATATAGAGGAAATACTATTTGAGATAATCTCCCTTATATATAAACCACACATAGGATAATCTATTTATAATAGAGAGAGATACAACTAAAAGAGTAATCGAAAGTAAACAAAAATAAACATAATATATTGTTTGATATTGTGGTTAACAATATCTAACAATATCTAACAATATCTAAACAATATCTAAACAATATCTAACACTTCTCCTCAAGTTAGAGCATACAAATCGTATGTGCCAAACTTGTTACAAATATAATCAATTCTAGACAAACTCAGTCTTGATGTCTCCAGAAATAATCTTTTCTCGAATGAAATGACAGTCAATCTCAATGTGTTTGGTCATCTCATGAAAGACAGGATTAGATGGAGACAGAGGTGAAGATTGACTTTTAAAATAAAGAGAAGAAAAAAAACATTTGTATCCTTTTTGTGATCTTGTAAACCCTAAGAAAACACATTTATGTGATCTAGGAGAAAGCTTATGAAGACCAGGACTTAAATTATGAACAAAACATGTAGACCCGAAAACTCTTATAGATAAGGAATGAAGAGATTCATGAGGGAATAAAATGGAATGAGGTATTTTATTATCTAAAACCGAAGAAGACATGCAATTAATGAGATAACATACAGTAAGAAGAGCATCACCCCAAAAATGTTGAGGAACCTCTCCATGAATTAAAAGAGTGCGAGTTGTTTCAATAAGATGTTTATTTTTACGTTCAGCTACACCATTTTGTTGAAGTGTATAAGCACAAGAAGTTTGATGCAGGATACCGTAAGAAGCCATGAATTGTTTAAAAGAATGAGAAAGATATTCACGACCATTATCACTGCGCAAAACTCTAATAGAAACACCGAATTGAGTTTGAATTTCATTGAAAAAAGTTTGAAAGATATGAAATAATTCAAAACGATTTTTCATCAAAATAACCAAGTGCATTTGGAATAATCATCAATGAAAATAACAAAGTATTAAAAACCTAAAGTAGACTTAACGCGGCTAGGTCCCCAAATGTCAGAGTGAACCACAACAAAAGGGGACGAAGCACCACGTGTGACCCTACGAGGAAAGGAAATACGACTATGTTTGCCTAATTGACACGACTCACACGCCAAACTAGACAAGGCAGGAACAAGTTTCTGTAACTTGACAAGACTTGGATGACCTAACTAAGCATGAAGAAGAGAGGGAGACTCCATAACTGCACCAACATGTGTAGAGGGATGGAGATGATAAAGACCATGAGACTCATATCCTGTACCAATCACCTGTTTCGAACTTCGGTCCTGTAAACACACAAAATTGTTGGTAAAAGAAACAACACAATCAAGAGAACGAGTTAGACGATTGATGGATAACAGGTTAAAAGGAGACTCAGGGACATAAAGAACATTATCAATGGTTAAAGAAGGAAAAAGTTTAACAGTTCCAACACCATGAGATGATACTCTAAAGCCATCAGCTAGTTTAACAGAAGATAAAAGATTAGAAGAGGATAAAGAGGAGAACAAAGATTTGTTATCAGTAATATGATCAGTGGCTCCTGAATAAAAAACCCAAGGACCAAGAGAAGAGGATTGGGTAAGACCAACAAAATATGTATCTGTGTGTGCGAAAAACGCAGTGGAACTAGAAAATTGTTGATCCTTATACCATTTGAGAAATTTGTTGAACATAACAGGTGTGTCGGATGCAACAAAAGAAGGAGGATCCCCAACAGACAAAGGTGGGAAAAGATTGGTCTAAACAACTGCAGCAGATTAAGGAGGACGATCATGTAATGCATAACACTTGTTAATCTTGTGACCTAGCTTGTCACAATGTTCACACTTAGGACGCCCTTTTCCCTGTTTGTGAGGGCGAGTCCGGTCATTACGGTGAGATGCCAACACAGAAGAATCATTAACAGAATTGGAAGTAGTAGAAGGAGTGGAAGAAGTCATGAAGGGCAGGAAAACAAACCCTAAAAAAAATCCAAAGTAATCCAATCAACCCATTTAGCACAGATCCAAAACGAGAAGACCAAAACAAGTCCGTCAAGACTAAACGACGTAGGAGACAATAGACGACCAACTCCGATAGTGGTGATCTCAACGTCACGGTGATCACCTTACCAAAATGAACAAAACCGTATGTCACCGATCAAAAATGAAACTCCGACGACGGCTCCAGCGGTGGCGGCAATGACAGCAGCGTAAACCACTACACCAAGTAAGTTCCAAGAAAAAGAGATGGATCACTAATGGATACGCTTAAATACCAAGTCTTTCCTTGTCATAACCTTCCTAGACATGCACTTTCACACTACCAAATAATATCCAGTAACAAAGATAACTTTTTCCTGATGTGGAAGATTAGTTTAACCGGCAGCAACGGCGATGGCGACTTCAGCAGTGGATAATGGCGAAAAAATTTCAAAATAACCTTAAACTCTAGATATCATGTTGAATATAGAGGAAATACAGTTTGAGATAATCTCCCTTGTGTATAAACCACACATAGGATAATCTATTTATAATAGAGAGGTACAACTAAAAGAATAACTGAAAGTAAACAAAAATAAACAGAAGATATTGTTTGATATTGTGGTTAACAATATCTAAACAATATATAAACAGTCCTTGTTATTGTTAGTCACTAATATTTTCACACTTCTACATATTAGAGTATACTTACAACGGTTTATTCAAATCCAACATACACTTGACCTCCCTGTATCTTTTTCTTCTATGTGCAAGCAACACTATAATAAGTTATTAAGTTAGGAACAACACTTGGAGAGCCAATAAATAATAGAGTCTCATCACTGAACATGAAACTTCTCACTTTTCAAAAACAACAGAAAAATCAGTTCATTCTTTTCTCTCAAATCCTTCTACTCAATATGATATCCAAGAGCTAGGTTTCAAGCTCTACACTAGAGTTCATTCATCTTTTCTATCTTCACTTGGGATCAATTCGGTTTCTCTTTCTTCCCTCCTCAACCTATCAACACCCAAAAGCACTACTGTGTTCTATGAAGATCCTTCAGTTGCTCCTCAATCAGCTGTTGATGCTACTCCATTCACTGTAGCATTGCATGCACCAAATTAGTTAGTGTCATGTTACGTAAGATCCTCAAAATTATCTTTATGGGGCCAACAGGTTGAACATGTGATTCATGATCATCATCTTCACCAGTTCTGAATCCTCAGATTCCAATGCAGTTTCTCACTCTGGAGAATCATGATGCTGGTAGTGTCTAGAAAACTTACCCTGCCTGGGAGCAGCAGGATCAGCTGCTCTTTTCTTGGTTTCAATATACAATCTTAGGAGGCGTGCTCAAGATTATAGGCACATTATCTCTTATTTAGAGGAAACCTTATATCCTCCATTTATATGTAAACCAAATCCCCAATACAGAAGTTAAGGATATAAGAATAACCTTTAAGAGAACCATGTTTATTCAGCCTTTGCAATTGATATTGCAGAATAGAAGAATCAAGATATGTTCGGACAGTCTTTCGGTAGGTTCCATTGACAAGCAGTAAAGGTACAGCAGCTGCTCGTCGTGCAACTGCAAAGGCCATTGCTAAAGCAGGATCCTCCGACAGAGGCAACCTAAAATCATAGTTATGTAAGTAAAAAACTAGGGACAGTGCACAGTTTTATAGGAACACATCAGGCACATGTTTAGAAAACATTTCACCAACCAAATGTTTAATTATAGGTTTTCAAAGGAAAGGTTGAATTAAAAATTCATGACATACATGTGCTGACTGAATGTTGGTTTCTGAGAAGAAACCGTCAATGAGGAAAGGCCGTCCTTTATAGAATTCAGATCCACAGGAAGCTGTTTATTGTGCCTAACTTTCTGCAAAAAATTAATTCAAGGGCAATATCAGTATTCCTGTTGCAAGACTTTTCAAATGATCGAACACCCACTTACTTCTTGTGTAACGAAAAACAACTGAAAGGATATCTTCTCATAATAATGGAAGGCACCATCAGCAACCGAAGGTGACACAATATGTCGCATAGATCCCCACAGTGTTGCACCTAGATGTGCAAGAAAAGAATCCCGTGCAACTGTGTAATTTTGGAATTCCTGCAAAGGGACAAATCCTTGAATTAAGAGATCCAACTAGAACTTTAAACTACAAAAAAAATTGTGGCCATACAACTAATTATATTAATTTACTAACATAACAAAGATCAACTGGTTGACCTCATATGTGTCACTGAATAGATTCCAGCTCTCCATCCGTTTCAAAGCTTCTATGGCCTTTTTCTTATGACTTTCATCATATTCTTCACCTTCAAATGACTGTAGCTCACTTCTCAAATCCCGCATCCTCTCATCAAGTTCTGAAATTATCATACAAAATAAAATAAAACCATGTAGACTTTTAATCTACTGAAGGTGAGCTGTGAAATCTACAAGGTTTGAGTTAGAAAAATATAAAACATTATTTAAAGGCTTGATGTGAGCACCTCACTATCAGAGAGCACAGTTACTTCAAATGATTACCAAGTCAATGTATTGATTAGCAGAATATTTGTTATTATTGGCTATTTGTTAGTTACAAATCTTGCATAATCGTATAGCTATAATTATGTAATTATCTCCATAATTAGTTAGCCCAGCTGCAGGATAACATTTATTGCAGAAAGGCCAGTTTCAACGCTATAAATGAGATTGTATTATCACTATTTAATGGAAAATTGTCCACAGGAGAACAAACTGTTATGATTTGCATTTTTCTAAGTCTAATATACCTTACCGGATTATGTTGAATCATTGTACTAATGTAAGTGGGTTAGTGTGTACAATGGATAATGAATCTCGTAAAACATTCACATTGTCAAGATTGGTATTTGAACTGAAATCATTATGTAGAAACGCGTATATCTTAAACACAAGCTCAAATTAGCATTCTTTTGTTTATATGCGTATGTAGATCTTTACAATTTGTGTTTAAATTAGTTTCACGAATATTAACTACATATATTATTTCCTAACTTTGTTTTGTCCTACATATAGCTTTAATGACATATCTTGGGTTGTATTTGTTTTCTGATGGGAAATTAAAGAAAACCATTTTTTACTGAAATAAAAAGGGGAACAAGACAAATTTAAAGTTCAATTAAAATAAATAAAGTCCAAGCTACACAATGAGATTACCTTCACAAAGAGCAAGCTTAACTTTTCTTCCTTTGCAATGCTTAAAAGCAAAAAGCTCATATATATCAATCTCAGCTAAAAGAATATCAATGGCCTGGTGTTCTTTCTGCAATATTCAAAATAACAATAGACACTTTGAGACACCAATAGAAAAATGAGTAGGTAAAGAAGGGACATTCATTAAATATGTTGGATGCCTAAATTCCACTAAACATTCTTATTGACATTCCAATGATATCCAAATCTATAAACACTCGATAAAATTCCTGTCAGCTTGAGAAACCTACAATAGAAGTGTTTATTTCTATCGCAATTTGTTTCTCATCCTAAATCATTTCAGTTGAACCACATTACTTTTTCTTTTGTTTCCAGTATTGACAATGTATGAGGGTATGGATTATAATAAGTATTAAAAATTAAGTACAACTCTCTAAAACCCTGTTCTCAGCAGAACTAAATGGAATATGCAATATATTGTTAGATCCGACATATTATACACACATCACCAAATACTGCAAATTTCTCCTGAATAGCATCTTGCAATCGGTTTTCAGCTTCTTCTTCTGAAATTTCTGCAATCAGCAAATAAAACAAATCAAATAACCAAAAATATAACATGGCATCAAGAGTTAATCCATGCATGATGAGCAGAATAAGTAAGATTCAAATTCGCAAGCTAACATAATATATCAAAGTTCTTGAGTATTTTTCTTTTTCTTCCTCACTATCATGGCTTTGGAGCGTTGATTGGACTACCTACAATGTTAACTATGATATCTATGAGTAGTTCAATAGCAACCCGATAGTGGGTGGCATGATAATTTTAATAAAGCTCACTACAATAGGCTCTAATACCATCTTAGAAAATGAACGCCTAACTCATTCTCACAACCCTGGCTTATAAGGTGACGCTTATACCCACTTTTAACAATTATTTGGAAGAAAAGAGAAATAGTGCAAAATGCTACTGCAAACAGAACTTGATTTTCCTAAGGATCCTATCTACAGTTTTAATGAATTGGAATCCAATTTCAAATCCTTAACATGGTACTTGAAGCAGCTCGAGGTAAAGAGATGGGTAATGGACAAGAAGCTTCCAAATTTGGTAACCCTTTCTAAATTGTTTAGAGTGAAGCCTTATAAAACACGCAATGTTAGAATTCCAGGGAACATACTGTCATTGCAAGTGTTCATTTTAATCGAACTGCTGATGTTTTTTGTTTTACTTTTAACCAGTCCTACATCTTTATTCTGGATCTCTTGAAACCCCCCAACCAACAAACTCACTATAACACAAACTTGATTAGAACAGGGTTTAGTCTTTGGAGCAGTAAATCTGTTTCTGGAGAGGGGTTTAGAGAGAATGTCTGCAAGCTGACCCTGGGAAGGTACATGAAGAACTTGAAGCAACTTTTGAGCCCCTTTTCACAATCAAAGAATATGATTAATTCCATGTGTTTCCTTGTGGAATCCTACACTGGATTGTGATGAGAGCAACTTTACTAAGGTTATCACAGTAGATAGTATGTGAAGAGAAAGGAACTTGAAGTTCTGTGAGGAGAAATAGGACCCAGAGTAATTCAGAAGCCACTGCAGCTAAGCTCCTATACTAGACTTCTGCTCTTGATTTGGCAACGAGTTTGTTTCTAGACTTCCTAGAGATAAGATATGGTCCAAGGAAAAGAAAAGCAGGTGAAGGATACCTTTGAGATAGCAATGTATCCTTCCTACAGCCTGCCAATGAGGTCAGTGACTTCGCTATGTACCGGAGGACTTCATTGACAATAAAACCAATTTCAGGCCAAGTAATTGTTTTAGATATTATTTAGATATTGTTTGATATTGTTAACCACAATATCAAACAATATCTACTTACTTTAGTTATTCTTTTAGTTGTACTTCTCTCTATTATAAATAGATTATCCTATGTGTGGTTTATATATGTGTGGTTTATACATATAGAAGATTAATCTCCAACCCTATTTCCTCTATATTTAACATGATATCAGAATCAAAACCTAAAATCTTTTCAATTATTGTCTTGGACCAAGAGTTGCCCTTCCGTTATGGGTCAAAAAGTACCCCTTTGTTTGGTCCGGCAGACTTCGTTGGAGGGGGTGTGTTGGAAGTCCCACATCGCTTACCTCAGATTATTTGGTATGGTTTAAATACATATTAGGCTATTCCACATATTACCAATTGATTTTATGTTGGAACCATAACATGGTATCAGAACTTAAGGTTATTTTGAAATTTTTTTGTCTAACATGTATTTAAGCTTAAGGAGTAGCCTAACATGTATTTAAACCATACCAAATGACCTGAAGTAGGCGATGTGAAACTTTCAATTCTGTTAATAATTCTTCTACATTGGCATCTCACCGTGATGACCGAACTCATCCTCGCAAATAGGGAAAAGGGCATCCTAAGTGTGAATATTGTGGCAAGCTAGGTCACAAGATTAACAAGTGTTATGCATTACATGATCGTCTTCCTTGATTTGCTACAGTTGTTCAAACCAATCTTTCCCCACCTTTGTTTGTTGGGGATCCTTCTTCTTTTGTTGCATCCGACACACCTGCTATGTTCAACAAATTTCTCAAATGATATAAGGATCAACAGTTTTATAGTTCCATTACGTTTGTCGTACACACAGATACATATTACTGGTAACAAATCTTTGTTCACCTCCTTAACCTCTCCTAATCATTTACCTTCTGTTACACTGGCTGATGACTCTAGAGTATCACCTCATGGTGTTGGAACGATTAAACTTTTCCCTTCTTTAACCATTGATAATATTAGTTATGTCCCTGAGTCTCCTTTTAACCTGTTGTCTATTAATCGTCTAACTCATTCTCTTAATTGTGTTGTATCTTTTACCAACAATTCTATGTGTTTACAAAACTGAAACAGGTGATTGACACAGGATGTGAGTCTCATAGTCTTTATCATCTCTGTCCCTCTATACATGTTGGTGCAGTTATGGAGTCTCTCTCTTCTTCATGCTCAGTTAGGTCATTCAAGTCTTGCAAAGTTACAAATACTTGTCCCTACCTTGTCCAACTTATCTAGTTTGGCGTGTGAATCGTGTCCATTAGGCAAGCGTAGTTGTACTTCATTTTCTCGTAGTGTCACATGTGGTGCTTCGTCCCCTTTTGTCGTGGTTCACTATGATATTTTGGGACCTAGCCGCGTTAAGTCTACTTTAGGTTTTCAATACTTTGTTACTTTTATTGATAATTATTCCAGATGTACTTGGTTATTTTTGATGAAAAATCGTTCTGAATTATTCCATATCTTTCAAACTTCTTTTAATGAAATTCAAACTCAGTCCAGTGTTTCTATTAGAGTTTTACGCAGTGATAATGACCGTGAATATCTTTCTCATTCTTTTAAACAATTCATGGCTTCTCACAGTATTCTGCATCAAACTTCTTATGCTTATACACCTCAACAAAATGGTGTAGCTGAATGTAAATATAGATATATTATTGAAACAACTTGCACTCTTTTAATTCATGGAGAGGTTCCTCAACATTTGTAGGGGTGATGCTCTTCTTACTGCATGGTATCTCGTTAATCACATGCCTTCTTCAGTTTTAGATAATAAAATATCTTATTCCATTTTATTCCCTCATGAACCTCTTCATTTCTTACCTCTAAGAGTTTTTGGGTCTACATGTTTTGTTTATAATTTTGACAAGCTTTCTCCTAGATCACATAAATATGTTTTCTTAGGGTTTACAAGATCACAAAAAAGATACAAATATTTTTCTCCTTTTTTTAACCATTCTTTTGTGTCTGCAGATGTCCTTTTTTTAACAATTATTTTGTTTGTGACCCTCTACCTGTGTCTTCTTCACCATTAGTTCTTGCTCCGTCGTCAGCATCTTCTCCACCGCATCATCAGGTTTTTAGTCGCCGAAACCAATCACAACCACTACTATGTGACTCCACTTAAGTGTCAACTACTCTATCTCATTTGGATCTGACACCTGAGTCTGACCTTCCCATTGTCCTCCAAAAAGGTATCCGTTCTACACGTAATCCCTATCTCTATTATATTGCTTTGAGTTATCATCGACTGTCGTTATCTTTTTATACATGTCTTTCCTCTATTTTTTCTATGACCATTCCTAAAACTGTCCGTGAAGCTTTAGCCCATCCAAGTTAGCGTCAGGCCATGACAGATGAACTAAGTAATCTTCATAATAGTGGAACTTGGGAATTGGTCCTGTTACCGTCTAAAAAATTTGTTGTTGGTTGCAGGTGGGTGTTTGCTATCAAAGTTAAACTTGATGATACTATTAATCACCTCAAAGCTCGTCTTGTGACCAAAGGTTATACTCAAATTTTTGGGTTGGATTATGGAGATACCTTTTCCCCCGCGACAAAGATGGCTTCTGTTCGTTTATTTATCGTCATGGCTACTCTTCAACAATGGTCTCTTTATCAACTAGATGTTAAAAATGTTTTTCTCAATAGTGATTTGCAAGAAGAAATCTATATGGAGGAACCTCTTGGGTTTGTTGCTTAGGGGGAGTCTTCTAGGATGGTATGTCGTCATTGTAAATCCTTATATGGTCTAAAACAGTCTCCTAGCCTAGTTTGAAAAGTTTAACAAGTTTGAAAAGTTTAACAAGGTTGTTCAACAATTTGGTATGACTCTGTGTGAAGCAAATCATTGTCTTTTATCGACACTTGAGTGTTGGATGTGTTTATTTGATAATATATGTTGATGACATCGTTCTTACAGTTGTGACAACCATGACATCTCTTAGTTGAAACAACATTTGTAACCATTTTCAAACCAAAAATCTTGACAAACTCAGATATTTCTTGGGTATTGAGGTGGCACAGTCCAATGATGATATTGTTATATCTCAGAAGAAGTATGTCATAGATATTTTGGAGGAAACTGGGTTGATGAGTTCAAAGTATATTGATACACCCATGGATCCCAATACTAAACTTCTATCAAATCAGGAGAGCCTATATCTGATCCTGAGCAATATAGAAGATTGGTTGGAAAATTGAATTATCTTACAGTTACTCGTTTTGACATTTCCTTTGCAGTTATTGTGGTAAGTCAATTTCTTAATTCCTCATATGAAGATCATTGGAATGCAGTCATTCGTATCTTGAAGTATATTAAATGATGTCCTGGGAAAGGATTGTTATATGGTTCTAATAATCATACAAGAGTTGTTTGCTACTCAGATACTTATTGGGCAGGATCTCCTTCTGATAGAATATCTACATCTAGATATTGTGTCTCCATTGGTGGTAACTTTATTTCGTGGAAAAATAAGAAACAGAGTGTTGTGGCAAGATCCAGTACAGAAGCAGAATATAAAATTATGGCCTCAGCTACCTGCGAACTTGTATGGCTCAAGCAATTGCTTAGAGAGTTACAATTCGGAGATGTCATTCAAATGACACTTGTGTGTGACAATCAGATTGCTCTTCATATTAGCTCTAATAATGTCTTTCATGAGAGGACCAGACACATTAAAATTGACTGACATTTAATTCGAGAAAAGATTATGTCTGGAGACATCAAGACTGAGTTTGTTAATTCAAGTGATCAGTTAGCAGATATTTTTACGAAGTTTTTACGAGGGCCTAGAATTGATTTGATTATATTTGTAACAAGCTATGACAACTAAACACTATATTTTATAATCAAAAGTACGATTTACGGCCGAATAAATTACACATAATCAAACACATCATTACTACCTGATGCTGAACCAATAGTTTTTTCCACACTCGGCAAACTTGCTTCCGTACGCACACCTTCTCCACCAACTGCAGGTCCCCATGAAAAGGGACCAGCACTTAAATCAATAAATGCCCATCTGGTACAAAACAATAATGAATGTAAACAAATAGAAAGAGATGTGTATGCCTTAAATTTAGCAATTTATGAAGCAAAAGAAATTGAACCTATCCTTTCCAATCCATGTGTCGGTGAGACATTCTGCTTGAAAACCACTGTAGTCTCCAGATTTTAATGCTTTTTCTAGACTAAGCTTCAGATCTTGATCCTTCCCTTTCAGTAACTAGAAATAAAGGGTAAAAATGGAAAGCTTCATGAAAAATTGTAAGGCAAAAATTTTCGTAATTAAATATACTTTCTTATGTGAGTGGGGATACATATCTGATAAGTATATACCTGTAAAGCTTTGACCTCAATGATCTCAGCTATGTCTTTCCCCTGATACAACCTCCGAAAATTATCTAGTGCATCTAGCCAAAAATTATACCATTCCATCTGCATTTTGTTGTTATACCAAAACAACAAATATTTAATAAAAATTTACACTGCCTACACTAAAAAATCCATGAAAGGGACCAGACCCAAAACATAAATGAGCACTGAGCAGGACAACTACATTTGTAATGCTGCTAGTTACTCTTTATCAAGTAAGGAAATATATAATTAGAGACAACACAACGATTACGATTGTGATTTGTAAAATATAAAATCCATGTGCAAAAGGGTTTCTTTCTCCTTTATTACAACTTTTAACACATTGAAATGATCCTTTCACCTTTCATTCTCCCTCTTATCAAACGTGTTAATTGTGGTTTTAGTCTCCAACAAATTCCAAATTTTGATTTTTGTTCCAGCTTTCAAAACGTCGGGTTTTGTCCCTATATTTTTTAAATAGACAGACTTTGGTCCCTGTATAGAGGGAAAAAGTGTTAGCTTTAAGGAATAAGTTTTGGTTATTTTAAAAAATATGGGCATGAAAAACTATTGGTTTTAGAAGCTGGGAACCAAAAACAAAATTGGAAACTTTTCAGGGACTACAAACTCTGTGAACATTCCTAGCTAATTTCCAATTTCCTTTTGTGTTAGCTCTAGCATGTTGTTCATTGATAAAGAAATCAAACTTTGGTGTAGCCATAGTTATCAAACTCTAAGGTTAACTCATAAACCCTTTCAAGTTTATGAGTTTATTGTTGGATCACAAGTTTACTCGTGTAAATGCAATTTTGAGCAAACTCGGACCAAACATGGTGGACTCGATTCAGACTAGCAAGTTTAAGGCAATTGAATGAGTTTGGAAGAAACACCCAATACGACACTTACCAGGGTCATTTGGTTTAGTTCCAAACTTTAGATCTTGCCTATTTTGTTTAGAAGTTTGGATTTTCATTTTGGTTTCACAAGTTTGTTTGTCTTTACATCTCCATTTGTAGTCGCCAACATTCCATCTTGTTGCCATTCTAGCACCTTTTGGGCTCAACGCTGTTTGTGGTTGTTGATGTTCACACTTGTCATTGTACATCCTTTGAAGCTTGTTGTCGTTATTGCTCATAGATTATCATTGTGGTATGTATCAATGTTCCGGGCTCAGTTGTCCTTGCCTACATCGGCATTCACATTCCCAATCACTATTGTCGTTGGTTGCGGTTGTCGCATCTGTTCATATGGTTCTTGCCTTGCTAATTCGAGTTTAATTGAAGCTTTCTTTTCTCTCATTACAATTTTGCTCGGTTCCTATTTCAGGCTTTTTTTTTCCAGAATTTAGTTATTGTTTGGTTCTTCTCAAATCATGTTTTTCAATTTGGACTCGTATTATTAGAGGATTAGATGAAAAAATAAAAACTTGATAACATTTGTGTTTTTTAGTTATTCAAATGTTATTTTATCATTTTAAGAACTAATCATTTGTGATTTTTAGTCATTCAATTGTTAATTTATTATTTTATGAACTTATATTTTTTTAGTGTATTATATAAACATTTATTTTCGTATTATGGAATTGATATGATGCTTATATTGTTTTTAAATTGGTGTGTTATTTTTCACATAAAATAGACTCTAAAGAGTCTATGAGTCAAGTGTACCTACGAGTTTAAGTAGATACTCGAGTATGATAATCTTTGACGTAGCTAAAGTAGAAGCCAATGATAAATACTAGCCATGGAGAGGAAGAGTGTAGAACAATCTTTTCCAAATAGGTAGTTTTATAGGTAAATGAAGTTCAAAATAAGTAGACGAAGCAGTTAAAGCTTCTACCAATTGAATTTGGTATAAGACTATCATAAGATCATCCAATCATGTGAAAAGCAAAGAACATATGCAAAATAAAAAATTAATGAGCATATATGATTTCACCACACAAGGAAATCAAATACTTACAATATCAGCGTCCTCGGTTCTTGTCCAAGAAAATTTCATCATTGGATGCTTCACATACAACGGTCGTTGAATCTTAGTAAGAGCTGTAGAGCAATATTAAGTACTTAATGAGGAATTCTATGTAAAAGAAAGAAGAAATGAAGAGAGACTGCAAACATCAACTGCAGAAGTAGATCAGAAGTAATAAAAAATTGAAAAAAGCATTGCTGTTATGAAAAGATGTTGCAGTGTTAATTTTCAAGAGAGATGGTAGGATATCAGTTGGTTTTCTACAATGTGAGAATATTGTATAGTTGAACTTGTACATTTCTTTCATACCAAGAATAGTTTCAGCAATGCTTTCTTCTTGAAGAAGCTTCATTTGCAAACTCTTATTCTGCAAAAAAATGGCAGCTGTTAGTGTTGGCACCGAAGGAGGCCTTGATTGAGTAGAGATAAATATGCAGTTACTAGGTTTTGCTAGTAAATATTTCATAAACTCTGCATAAGAATGCCAAACATAGTATATATTTTACAAAATCAACCAAATCATAATAACAGTGTACGTTTTAAGGAAAAAAGACAGAATATTTCATATACCTCCTTTAGCAAGTTTATTTCGGGCTCAGATAAACCTCTCCTGAAATATTTTGCAAGTAAATAAGAGAATCCATATATACAAACATGAAGTTATAAAAGGATATAGCCAAAACAGATAATGTTGATAGATACCCATATGTTAGTTAAGATAGCAAATCATTTTGATTGTCATTTGTAAGTAAATTGGGACCTTTGGGCAATGGGAGGTCTAGTCAATAAAAGTTCTGCAAGTTAGGCCTTGTCTTAAGAGGAAAAATCTCTTATTCTTTCTAATAAGATATCAGGTTTCTATCATATTTATATTTTGATTAACACTTCTAATTTATAATATATAACAAATAGGACTCAAAACAGTATAATATTGTCTCAGATAAGGAGAAAAAAAAAAGAAAAACAACTATATTTTGGTAAAATTAAAATTATAAAACATTCATACTTATTACTATGATATACCAAATATTTTTACATAATTCATTCTAAAAAAAATCATTAAAAGAGAATAGTAATCTGGAGGATCAGGAATCCTCATAAAAAGAGAAAAAAAAACAAATAAAAATATTTCTTATTCTTGTTTGCATTCCGAAAATAAACACATAGCTCAGGACAGTGGGGAAGCTTCTTTCTTTGTATAGGTAAAAGAAATTTTACTGAATGAGAAATAAAAAAAGTGAGATAAGATAAAATCCCTTCAAAATCGAAAGAAACAATTATATAAAGGAAAAAACAAGCAACGACACTAGAAACAAGAAGCTTTACAATTTCTTTGCATGTATACCAAATAGAAATTCTGTTTTGAATGTGACAAAGGCCAACGACACAATCCTGTGTTCACAAAAGTTCAAACTTTTAAAGACATCGCTGTAGAGTATTTGACTTCAACAAAGAAACTGGGTCAGAATGAAGAACATATAGAATAAACCCTCAGCTTCCAATAAGAAGAAAGCTGCAGAGAATTAACTAAAACCAAGATTGCAGGTTCATATCCAATAAACACCACCAGTTTACATGTGAAATTACTCTTAATATTTTATTTTGGGACAAAATAAGAAAACTTGTTCTATGAATGAATTAGTGAAAATACTGCTACCATAAAATCACAATCAAACGAATTGTAACTGGAAAGATATGAGACTAGCAAAGCTCTATGGTAGGGAATGTGTATAGTGGTATCATCAAAGGTTGACAACTCAGCATGGTTCAAGTGAGATGTTACACGATCATTGATTACTTAAATGGTGTTTCCCCTGGTTCTTGACCTAGTGAATGGTGATTTCATTGAACATTGTTGACATTACATTATTTTTATCATCTCAATGTGTAGCCTACCTTAGTTGTGGTTTCTTGGAGGCTGGCTTAACGGAAGTCTCAAGGATGGTGGTTTATTCCCACTTTAACCAGAGATATAAATAAAATGGATGTTATAAAGTTTGGCAGGCCTCACCTGACAATCTGGTGTTCTGAATTGACTTAGGCCCTAATCTTAAATTCTAAGAAATTTCCAGAGTGTATGTTAAATTCATATTTGAGCCACCTGCAATTGCCTTGGACATGAGGGGAGTGTTTTGAGAGCTTCCTTAATCCCTCAATAAATATAGATTCGCTAAAATAGAAGATTGGATAGCCTCACCTTCCAAGATATTTTGTGGGATTGAGTGAAACTCTAATCTTAAATTCTATAAATTCCCTTTTGAGAAACATTCCCTTCAATCAGATCTTCATTTTCTTTCTCCAAACTCATTTCCCTCCCTCACACTAAATACCAGACTACTCTGGGCCTTGAACCTAGGCTTACAACTTCATGAGTTTGAACTGGGTACAAGTCCAAGATTCTTAATGAAAGAGGTGACCTTCTTGGATTTTATATTTATAATAAATAATAAATGACAAAATTCTACAATTACTTACCGATACCCATATTTAGGTTTCCTCTCATCAAGCTTGGGATTTAAAATAAAAATATTGTATGCATTTTCAAGTTGAAGGTATTCAACCAGGCTAGAAAAAAGACCATCCAACATCTCCACATCTACTTGCCAACTACCACCAATATTGTCCCTGCAGTGAAGAAATTGGAAGAATAAGAAAAAGCAAGAAATTCAAAAGACAAACCAAAAGAAGCCATGTTATGCTCCTAAGGTAGCATTTATCTTGACTTCTCTAGAGCTTCGTAACTACTCTGAAGCTGGAATTAAAAGTAAGAGCCTTAAATTTGGTAACTGGCTAAATGGTATTTTGGTCCCTAAAAGATTAAATTAGCATCAATTTAGTCCCTAAAAGAATGAAAATTCTTATTTAGTCTTTGAATGAGTAAAAAGGACACTCACATCCTGTTGTTAAATTTTGTGAGACTATTTTGTCATTAAAATGTAATAATTTTGGACCAATATGTATATTCTATATAAGAGGTCAAAAATACAACATTGATAAAGGCAGATTGAGATGATCGAATGAGAGACTTTTGGTTAGTTGTGGGGATAGTGTCTGAAATCCACATTCAAAAAGCATAAAGAGAGAAAATATTATGAATATTTCATTTATAATTATAACATAAGAGTGTGTATGTATGTATATGCATGGCTATCAAACTCTAAAATCAACATGCAGACTCGGATGAGTTTGAGTTTACTCATTGGCTACCAGTGGACTTTTTTGTAAGCTCATTATGGTAGACTCGAGCACACTTGGTAGACTCAAAGCAGACTCATACTAACTCATGCAGACTCGATTACCTTGAAATGATGTCATTAGAGGATTAGAAACATTGAAACTTGAAGACATTTGTCCTTAGTTATTTAATTATTATCACTTTATGAACATATGTTTTGTTGGTGTATGAACTATTTTGAACTTATAATAGTCCTGCAATGCTAAATTTCTATACTTTAGTATTTTGGAATTATTGTTTACTTATTTTGCTTAATTATGATGTTGAAATGTTGAATTGGTATTTTATTTATTGATATTATATTTATTTTTCACGAATATATACAGACTCTCTATTTTGATAACCATGCATGTATGTATTATTATTTACCATAATTTTAAATTACAATTAGATAAATATAGAGATTAATAAATTATTTTATTATCAAATAGGTTAAATAGCTCAACTCTAAACAAGTTAACCATTCATACTTTTTTTTTTCAAAAGCAAAACATTATTTTTAATTAAAATTGACCTCTTACATACTTTTTTTTTTTTTCATAAACTTTAGTGATGTTTTGGTTATTTTTTATACCCACTAGGGATGCTCCATTGCAATGCTCCATCACTAGGTAGCTATGGCATGCACTTTTCCACTTCATCCATTGCAATGCTCCATCTCTATGTAGCTATGGTATGCACATCTCCATTAAAGCAATGGAGGGAGTCAACAATATGGATAGCAAAACGGGTTAGGCCGGCGGGCCGGCCCGCCAGCTCGCCATAATATGGTGGGACGGGTTGGTGTTTTCAACCCACCGGCCCACTTTGGCCCACCCCGCCAACCCGTCGGGCCAACCCGCGGAAGGGACGAGCCAGCCTGCTGGTCCGCCTAATTAATAAAAAAATAAATTTTTATTGTAATAAAATTAATTATAAAGATAATATATAAAGTTAAAAATTTTAAAAAGAGAATTAAAAAGTTTCAATCTTATAGAAAATATTCTCCTTACTGAAACATAACCTTCTCTATCATATTTTCCTTGTTTATCCTAAACATTGATTATTTTTATCCTTATTACTTGAATTAAATGTGTAAGAATTACCCAACCAAAAATAATATTAAGTTTTATCAAATAAAAAATATATAGGTATTTGATTTTTTCAATATAAAAAATATAAATTTTATAAGTTTTAACGTTATTTATATATATATATATATATATATATATATATAATATATATATATATTTGTTATTATTTATTATTATGTAAATTTTATTATTATTCTAAATTATAATTTCTTAAAATAATGTTTTGATTTATATTATTAAATTGAAATAATATATATTAAATTATTGACAAACAAATAATAATCTTATTATTAAATTTATTAAAAAATTATTTAAAAAAAATTATTTTTTTCTAAATTATTGTGGGTCGGCCCGCTCCTTGGCGGAGTGAGCCAAGGTCTACAACCCGTCACGACTATAACGGGCCAGCCCGCCCCGCTTTTGGCAGGCCAAAGGCGGGGGGGGGGAAACGGGGCAGGTTAGCCTTTTTTGCCATCCCTAGTCAACAATCTTCCTATATCAAAGCTATCTTTTATCCCTTCCATTGCTCTCTTTGGTATTCTTAAGATTTCAATATAAAACCAATTGGTGGGAGTAGCCAAACAAGTGTTTAAACCATACCATATGACATGAGGCAAGTAATATGAGACTTCCAACAAGCCCCCTCCAACGAAATATGTTGGACTAGGTAAAGGGTACCTTTAACGCACAATAAAAAGGTAACTCTTGACCCAAGACAGCAACGGGAATGAAATTAGGTTTGACTTTAATACCATGTTAAGATTCCAATATAAAATCAATCAGCAATATGAGAAGTAACCTAACAAGTATTTAAATCATACCACATGACATGAGATAGGCGATGTGGGACTTCAAACACACCTCCTCCAACGAAACATGTGTTGGGTATTTGAGGGGAATTTACTGAGGAAAGACAACACCATTGAGACACAAGTCCAATCTACATAAGTTATTGAAATCACTCTCAATCGAAAACCTTACGGCATTGGGTTATGGGTCTTTTTTTCCTTATATGTTGCTCAACTTTATCATTCTTACTCAATGTGGGACTTAAGTCACACTTGGATTACCCAATAATATGTTGGACTAGGCAAAGGGTAGTTTTAACCCACAATGAAAGGGTAACTCTTGGCCCAAGGTAACAACGGGAAAGAAGTTAGGTTTTGGCTTTAATACCATGTTAAGATTCCAACATAAAACCAATCAACAATATGGGGAGTAACCTAACAAATATTTAAACCATACCACATGACATGAGGGAGGCGATGTAGGACTTCAAACATACCCCATCCAATGAAGTATGTCAAACCAGGCAAAGGACACTTTTAACCCACAAGAAAAGAACAACTCTTAGTACAAGACAAGAACAGGAAAGAAGTAGGTTTTGGCTCTACTACATGATAATATTCCAACATAAATCAATTAGCAATATTTAAACCATACCACATGACTAGAGCGATCAAAACAGACAACCCAACCTGACCTAACCCTTGGAATCAAGTCAAAATATTTGATAGCCCAACATAACCTATATTTTAAAACGGATAAAAATTTTAGCCTAGTCTGGCCTTACATTAGGCCAACGGTCTAATTGATTAATTTTGGTCTAATTGAATTTTTAAAAAAATATCAACATATCTATAAAAAATCAATTAATTAAAAAATATTTAAATAAAAATAAAAATATATATTGGAAATTTAAATTTTATTAATGAAATTAATTTTATTTAAGACATAATAATTTAATATATAAATTATAAACAAATACATCCATTTAATCTAAATAAAAATTAAAAATTTACTCTTTATTATCATTATTTATTTTTTAGTAATTTATTTATTTAAAATAATAATTAATCTTAATCATTAAATCTTGAAATAAGTGATTATTAGAGATTTATATTGATATTTATTCTTAGAATAAGTGAATCTCTTATCAAATTAATTTATAATACATATATATTTTTAATAAAATAATATTTCTTTTATTTTTATTTAAAAAATATTTATTATTCTATAAAACGGACTAGTCCATAAACCTACAGAGTTAAGCTGACCTAAGCTCATGTAGGTCATGACCTTAATAGGCCCGGCCAAAATAGGCTTGATTCTATTTAGGCTACAAATTTTTTGACCTAGCCTAACCTATTTCTCAAATCTTTCAGATCGGCCCATCGAGCTAAGCCTATTTTAACACTCCTATACATGACATGGGAAAGTGGTACCACTAGGCAAGGAGATGAAAAGGACTTTAAAGTGAAAAGCCATATGAGTAGTTCAAGAGATAAGAGATTTGAAGAACTTTAAAGGAGGCTCTCAACTTGAATAGCAACCTTGGATGAAAGAACCTTAACATGGCAATGACATGGCCAATTCATAGAATAGGACATTTTGTAATTTTTCATTAGACATTTTGTAACTTTTCATTGATTACTATTTGGGCAAATAGATCTATATTGTTTTTGTTTAGGTTTACTAGTAGTTAGGTCCACCATTAGACAATGGCCCAAGCTAGACCCAAGATATAAATAGGACAAATGTTGACCATTAGAGGACATTTTATTAACTTGACTTCTTTTCCTAAAGGCTTGTTCGGTATAGTTTTGTTTTTTTATTTTTAAAAACAATTTTTCAATCAATTTTGAAAATAAGTTGGAAAAAAAAATGTTTGATAACTCTAGCTTAAAAATTGTTTTGAATGAAAGAGGAAAACATCAAAGATTATAAAAAATTGCACTAAAAGTCGAAAACAATTTTTTATAACCGTTTTTGAAAACTATTAACACAAAAGTTATCAAAAAAGTTTTTAAAATTTTTTAAAGATTAAAAAACTGAAAACTGTTTTTAAAATAGTAAACAAACAAGCCCTAAGTCATTTTTTTTTATATTTTTCTTACATGCCCCAAAATTTGCAGAAAAGCCTTCATAAATTTCAATATTTGCAATAAACACCGAGACACTCTCCAAACAAATTAATTTGGATCAAATTAGTGTTATACACCAATAACACTATAAGGTAAGTTCCTAAAAAATTTATGAAATTGATATATATATGCACATATAATTATATAGATGTGCATATTAAAGTGACAAATCGTTATTATCACACCAGAAAGGCAAAATTGGACTTCAATTCAACATGACATACGAAAAACAATATAATCATATAAATCAACATGCCAATAGCAGTAATTATATAGTAAACACCTCATGGTAGGTACCAAACAATAAGTCAATATCTCCATCCTAGTTACCAAATAGAATTTTGTCCAGTTAAAAAACAATAATCCAACTAAAGCAAATAATCTTGCAAGTGAAAATCATAATCACTCAAGAGATCTCCAACTCTATCATTTTCCAATTTCATCTCCTTCACAATTTCAAACCAATAATGCCTAAATCATCATGAGGTCTAGTTTCATTCAAATCCAAGTTGTCTACATCTAGATGTAATCCTTCATTCTCCCCTAGATACATGGACAATAATTTCTGCACTTTACCTACCATACAGGGTAAACAAAAGAGGACAAAAAGAATGGGATTTGAATATCAAAACGAATATTCGAACAGAACTCATACTAGTTCTATAAATAAGTAGTCCAACTGAAGAAAAAGTTAAATTAAATTTACCGGCTGCCAACTGGATCATCTCTGCGGCCAAAAACATTTATGGCATGCTCAATTATAGAAGTCACCTTTTCACCCATTTCAATAGCATGAACAGAAAAGCTGCACCACAAGGTCTACAGTCAGAAAAAAAAATTTCTCGCCAAAGGAAAATTGCAAGAATAATGTGGAAAAAATTTATATCAGATTCACTTGGGAGTGACCATTCCAATCAAGAGGGCCCAAAGAAAAAGATATACAAGTGTTATTAACATGGGATACAAAATGGCTCAAAACCAATATTTAATTTTTTTTTGTTTAAGTTGATTAAAAAAAATTGTCCTTATATCATGCACTTCTCTTCATTCTCATAATATATCCTTTTATTAAAAATCAATGAATGATCAAAGCACAATCAAATAGATCAGATGGAAAGGTTTAGTTTTAAGTGTATCACAGCCAAGAATCAACGAGTGCAGCCATTATAGGCCCGCCTAGTTCTCTAAAGGAAGAAACTAACACAAACTTTCAAAATTTGGTCCAGCCAATTTTCCTCTTGATACATATATTAGACTTAATCGATTTGAGGCCAAATCAGACTGTATTTGTGTTTCTCCACAAACTTCATTATCAGTCAAAACACCAATTCCATTGAACCTTAAAACTGATATCCATTTTAGAAATGCAAAGCATATAATTTATTACAAAAGCAAGATGCTGCCAAGCACTAGACTGTAAATTCCACACCAGATGAAAAGAAAACAAAAAAGTTACTTGTAATTTATGTGACTGACAACAGGAAGGTGGTGCCATCGCATTTTATCAATACTGGTTTTGTAAAATGGGGTTAGAACTTCCTCATGTCGAATCCGAGTGTGTTCAAAGATATGATCAATTTTTGTAAACCAACGCTCAATTTCTTCTGGAAGAAGCTTGAATTCTGAAAGACACAAAGAGCTATAGAATCCACAATCCAATAATATGAAATAACCAAAGGTTAGTTTTCATCTACGTACCATGGCTGCCCTTCCCTTCAAATCCTATAAATATAAAATTCATAGGAATTGGGAGGTGGATGGAATCAACTTCCTGAAGCTTTAGATAGTTAGCAATGTTACCTGAAATACAACAAAATTATTCTTTAAGACTAGGTGCTTATTTTTCAAAGTAAATTGCATAAGATTTAGCCAATCCATGCTTAAAGTATAGCCCCGACTCTTTTTTCAATCAAGATATAATAATATATGAAAATAAGACAAGAATATAAAAGAGAAAGATAAGCTGGAACAAAATTATAATAGGATAGGAGTTAGTCACTTAGACATGAGAGAACCTATCATCCAGCAAAAGACTGGCATCGAAGAGAGGAGAACTATCACATGAACCCAGCAAACAAGATGAGATAAAAGGAATACTGGAGAATATCGTTTTATTTATACATATGTATATTTATAAATATATATATATATATATATAAGTCATCTCTAGCCAATCAGAGCCATTATCGTCGTCGTCAATCGCCACAATTTTCACTGGCGAGAACAGGCCTTTAGTACACCATAAGGAGTGTGACCCAATCCTACCAAGTGCGATGCCAACCGTTGCTCCATGCATCGATCCAAGTGTGGTAAGTTTCTGGGGCGTCGTCAAATTCTGGCATGTGGACATCATGTATTGCCTTCCAATGGCCGAAACCATGTCCAATCACCTCCATTCATCTTGTCAGCACCTCCCGCTTCCAATGGTGCCTTTATTTCTCTATTTTGAAATCTTTGGGGGTTGGGTCTAGTCTTTCTCCCTCTTGGTTAGGGTTTTCTGTATTTGAGATGTCGATAACCAAATCTTCTCCCTTCTCCACTCCTATTATCACTAGTGTCAAGCTCAATTGGAAAAATTATTTATCTTGGTCTGAATTTGTGGAATTGTGGTTCCTAGGTCAAGAGTACCATGACCATTTGGAAATTGAAGCCAAGTCCATTTTTTATTCTAAAAGACCTTAGCGGAAGATGTCGATAACCAAATCTTCTCCCTTGTCCACTCCTATTATCACTAGTGTCAAGTTCAACAGGAAAAATTATTTATCTTGGTCTGAATTTGTGGAATTGTGGTTCCTAGGTCAAGAGTACCATGACCATTTGGAAATTGAAGCTAAGTCCATTTTTTATTCTAAAAGACATTAGCGGAAGAAAATAGACTTTCAACTCTATGCAACATTATGCCAATCTATTGAACCGAAGGTTCTAGAAATTCTTAGGTCATTTTAGACTTGTTCTTCTTTTTGGAAGAAAGCACAAGATATCTTTGCTAATGATATCTAGCATCCCTTTGATGCAATTCAAAGGGTAACACCTTTCACACATACCAACCATGATATGGTGCCTCATGTTGCAAAAGCTAGGGTTGTTGTAGAAAAAGTGAAGAGGGTCCTAGTGACATGCACCTTGGAAAAGCTTAGTACGAAACTTGATAAGTTGTACATGGTCATGATTTTGAGAAGTTTAAATTCAGATTTTGATCATGTGCATGACCAAATCTTGGTTGGTGATCAAGTTTCTTTAATGGACAGCTTAGTCACTAGACTTATTTGTGCACCCAACCTAATGAAGGATGAGAGTCACGTTGAAGCTATTGAAACTTTAGCAATGGTTATACCTTGTGGATGAAAGGGAAGACGCAAGATTCAAGGAAGACATGGTGGTAGAAACATACATCCATAATGCTCTAATTGCAAGAGAATGGGGCACACAAAGAAAAATTATTATTTCTTGCAAAGATTTCCTAACTGTTGGAAGTCCCACATCGTCTGCCCCATGTCATTTGGTATGGTTTAAATACATGTTAGGTTTCTCCACACTTGCCAATTGATTTTATGTTGGAACCTTGATATGGTATCAGAGTCAAAGCCTAACATCTTTTCGGTTATTGTCTTGGGCCAAGAGTTGCCCTTTTGTTGGGGGCAAAAGTACCATTTGTCTGGTCTGGCAAGCTTCATTGGAGGGGACGTGTTGGAAGTCCCACATCGCTTGCATCATGTCATTTGGTATGGTTTAAATACATGTTAGGTTACTCCACATATTGTCAATTAGTTTTATGTTGGAACCTTAACACTAACATAGTTACCCATGTTTCTAAATCCAAAATGTCAAATATGACGATTCTTGATTTAGATTATCAAGAATTTTTTAGGTTCAAATTTGAGAAGTTCAGCAATCAAGGCCAACATTCTTAAATGCCAAGTGTTTCAACAACATGTATTTCTCAATATATAGAAGGTTAAAATTCATGGATTCTTGATTTAGGTTCCTCCGATCATATATCTATTAACAATTCTTCTTTTTTTCTTTGTGTTTCATCCTAAAAATCTTCACTTGGTTACTGTGGCTAATGGAGTTGGCCAAGTCCCTTTACCACCTTCACTAAATTTAAACTTGGTTCTTTACATTCCTAATTACCCTTATAACTTTATTTCTATAAGTCAATGACTCGCTCTCTAAATTGTTTTGTAACCTTTAATTCCAATTCTTTTGCTATTCAAGAACTTGGTATGGGTCGTTTACATGGGGAAGGACATGAATCATGTGGCCTTTATTATATGAATCAAAGCCCTTCTATGATGTATCTTGCTACTCTTGCTCTAAAACTTTTACATGATAGTTTAGGCCACTCAAATTTATCAAAATTGATAATGATGGTTTCCAATCTTACATAACCTCAGGTCTTAGAATGTGAATCTTGTCACTTAAGAAAACATGATAGGTCTACATTTCCTAATCATTCTAAAACTCAATGTAATTTTCCTTTTCCCAATGTTCATTATGATATTTGGAACCAAGTCATGTCTCCTCTAATGGTTTTTTATATTTTGTAATCTTCATTGATGAATTTTCCAGATGGACTTGGGCTTACTTAATGAAAGACAAATCTGAACTTTTATCCATATTTGTGTCTTTTTTTAATGAGATTAATAACTAATTTGGAAAGATGATTAAAATCCTCATAAGTGATAATGCTAGAGAATATTTGTCTACCCCATTTTTATCTTCACAAAGGGTTTTGCATCAATCCACATGTTCACAACCCACAACAAAATGGTATAATGAAAAGGAAAAATAGGCACCTTATTGAGATTGCACGCTTTCAGATGTTGAATGCTAATGTTCCTCTTCAACATTGGGGAGATGTAGTTCTTAAAAATCAAATTCCTCACTCTTTTAGTTTTCCAAATGATCCTTCTTTTTTTTATGTGTCTCCATGTGTATTTGGATGTACCTATTTTGTTTATAATGTCTCTCCAGGTCTTGATAAACTTAGAGCAAAGGCCATTAAATGAGTTTTGTTGGGGAATTCTTGCCTTCAAAATGGGTATAAGTGTTACTCTCCTTCAATTAAAAGGTATTATATATCTGTTGATGTTACCTTCTTTGAAGATATACCTTTTTCTTGCCCCACATATAATGTTCCTCTTATTCAACATGTTCTCCCTATACTCTTGTGTGATCCACTTATAATACCTGCACCTTGCCTACAAGTAACACTGATACCCCACTCATCTCACATATCAACGTAGGGTCCAACCTATTTCTTTTCCTGTACCTGAAGATCCTTGTGATTCAGATTCTCCTCCACCATATTCCCATACCATGGATCCTTCCTCCTCATCCTCTACTTTTGATTTTGCCTCTGGTTGGCCCATTACTCTTCGAAAAGATACTTGTTCTACTTATAATCCCTTTCTTATTTATACCTTTTTAAGTTATTAGCATCTATCTCCTTCATATTCTTCTTTTCTTCTTTCCTTATCTACTACCTCTATCCCAAATTGTTCATAAGGCACTTGATCATCCTAGATGACAATAAGCCATGATTGATGAACTGCAGGCTCTTGACCACAATGGCACTGCGGATCTTGTGCCTCTTCCTAAGATTTGGTTAAGGTTTGGGCTTGAGACCCAACCTCTTTTCGTATTCTCTCTCATCTATAAATATAACAATGTCAATTATTGGACATATTTAATTCCATACAAAAGAATGAGAGAGTATACCTCAAACATTTTTTCAAAAGTTTAATATAGTCTCCAATGGATGAGAAGGCAAACTATTTAATCTTTGGTATGAGTTTCTACATACGAGGCAAATAAAACAACTAGCAACTGAAAGCTAAGAGTTTAACAAAACAAGTTAAATTTTGTAGCAATTAAAATAGAACAAACTCATCTTGCTTCAATAAATATTCATTAAATAGAAGAATATGCTACATTTTCAAACAAGAGTAGTTCAAATAAACAAAGTTACTTTGTGAAGAACTTTGAAGAATGCATGTGTACCTGCATTGGTATAATTAAATGCGTTTAATTTGCCATGGTTTGAAAACTTCAAATCATCAAAATCTGAAAAACCAACAAATTAACTAATGAGAATTAAAATAACTTTTACAGGACAATGAAAATATATGTTTTGATTCAATGAACAAGGTGTCAACATACCATTGTGTATAACTTCCTCACTCCAAAAGCGACTCTTTTCTTTGAGGTTAAATAGTGAGAATACAGATGATTGACCACTTTTGCGAGGTTCAATAGGAGATCCAAGAGAACTAATGGCAAAGAACTGATAAAAATCACAATGATCATTTAAGTAATGAACGTCTTTATTTACAAAAATGAAAAACTTATCACACGGATGTGATGTGGCAGCAAGCACTAGCTACTAAAAGGAAAATAAAAAAAATCAACAACCAGAATGGCCTAACAAATCTAAATATATTCATCTCAATATAGCAAACAAAACACTTATGATTTGTATCACATCTCTAGATGAATTCTATCATTGTATCATGAGCTAGGTTGAACCAGATGAATCACGATTCATCTCCCACCCTGATTTGTACCAGATATACAAATTTAGATGACACAATTTATACCAGATATACAAATGATAAAAAACTAAATCAACCAGTGTCGTAGCAGCATCTATGTAGAGTGGCGTATTTTTCCCAGAATGGTGGTAGCGATGCTGGATT